ATCCTGGCTACAGAACAGTCGGCTGTCTCTGCAGTTCCCAGGATGTATGTGTGTGTGTGTGTGTGTGTGTGTGTGTGTGTGTGTGTGTGTGTCCGTGTGTCCGTCACACATTTCAATAGATTTTGCCACCATTGCATACTTTGACCGAGACCACACACTCGCTCATATCAAAGGAAACGATTAAATATGTGTGGGATAAGAGGCTAATCTGCTGAGCTACTTTGAGAGAAAAAAGGAAGTGTTTCTACCGTCCTGATAATCTGAAGGATTACAGAGAGCTGTAATTCTTTTAACAGGCAGCCTTCCCCTCAAACAAAGACTGGAGCATGTCACCAACACAGCAAATTTACATAGAGCAAGTTCCCATAGTGGACTAAACAATTGTGTAAAAGCAAATGCATAAACCACAACTATCAGGAGGATCTGCAGGGGGAAAATGCTGAGGGAAGTTGTGATGATCTGTGCATGAAGCTCACTGGACTGAAATCAAAGAGCAGGACGCTGACTGCATTTCACTACACTGATTAGAAAGACCCGAAATTGAGCATGAAATGCGTTCCCTGATTATGCAGTTGTCGGAGGGAATAGACATATGTAAGCAATTTGATTGGTCGCTGGTTGAGCAGATGAAAAGTGAGGAAATATCCAAAGACAGTGAGCTTTAGGGGCGTCCCAGACTAAGAATTGACATAGTGGAATCTGAGTGGTCAAATCTTTTTTTTTTTCTTTTTTTACTCATTGATACCCTTTTGTTTAAGCTCTATTTATCTGTAGAAATATAGTAAATAGAACTTTTGGTCCTAATTCCATTTTCCGCAACCGATGAGAAGCTACAGGTCAGTCAAGGGGAGAAGCAAGCTGCAAACAGCTGTTACATGTGCCTTCCCCAGCGGACTGTAGAAAATCTAGCCTCTGATAGTGTTAGCTCCTATGTGAGTGCTCTGGTTAATAAATGTATAGGCCTAATCATTGACTCTGAAATAGCCATGTTGTTAGTTATGTATGATAAATTATCTTTAACCACATTTTCCCGTCACTAGCATGATTCAACTGTGAGATTGGCAGTCAAATGAGGCTGAGCGCAGCACTGATATCTGGAGGATAAACCATTTTGATTTTGCACACTACATTTGCTTCGCTAAAGCACCAACCTCAGACCAAAAATGTCATTTTTTACACAAGATTTTAAATATCAATTGCCATATTCACATAATTTGACGTAGATATTCTTAATCCAACAAGGATTTATTCTAACCCTAACCCTTCTGAGCGAGGCAAGCGGCGTTACCACGGTTTTGCACTCAAGTTACCGCAGTCTTGGAGAGGGAGGAGTGAGCTGAGGGGTATTCAGTTGCTTGCAATCTGTAACCACACCGCTAGATGTTCCTACACGCTGTCCCTTCAAGCCAAAGTTATGCACAAGAATCCCAACAAGCTCCCCAGAGGACGAATCCATCATCTATTCAAAAACACAAATTTTAAGTGAGAACAGCAAGGTTCTGAGAACAGAAGAATATGCTGTCCGTTTTCAAAATCACACCACTAAACAACAAAAGAACCCAAAACCACAAGCTTCGTCACCAGTAACAGTTGTTAAGGGATTTTCCCTGTAAGCGCCTAATCAGAAACTGCTGCTGAACAGAAAGTCAGGACAAAGTTTAATCTGAAAGGTTTGTATTTCATGACTCCTCACAGAAGACGACGATGCTAAACTATGACCTTATCGCTTTGCCAAGAATGTTTTTCCCCATAAAGACTAAATGGTGAAATGTGCACTGAACGTCTGCGTGATTATGGCCAACAGCTCTTCTTCTGTGCATCTCAGTGGTTTGATTGTTAGGATACAACCGTCTCACTCTGTCCCCTTGAAACGGTCTCTCCCCATTCGACTATTTGAACACTACCTAAAAACTAGGTATCCTTCCACTTAATAAGACACACATATGCTCCAATGTAAAACGCAATATAAAGTGTTATATTCACCTTCTATGGTCATGCGTACTTTGTATAAATAAATAAATCTCCAATCTGTTACATCCAGCGTCCATAACACAACTTCATTGCATCTCAAATGAAAAAATGTCACACATTCCATTTTTTAATTTTTTTATTATTCTACTCATTTTTCTATCTTTTTTCCATCTTCAGTTCCTGATTTCTTCTCTTCCCAAAATGCCCATTGACATAACAGATGTGAACTTTGTGCTCTTTTCTTTTTCTTTTAAGTGTCAGAGAAAACACAAGTTCTATGAGCTTTTCCAGTTGAGTAAATGCATTGTATTCAGCAGTGCTTTTCTGCAATTCTTTTCTCTTGTATGGTTTCTCCGCATCATTTCACCTTTAAATATGTTTTCAAATTAGTTTTCTTCTCTCTTAAAGAGTCTAGTTCCTGACTTCCATTCCTTTGAGCACTGTCAGCATAATTACGGTAAGTCATTGGTTGAACATGCAACAATCACACACAGACACCTGCACCCATACGCTGCATGCATCAACACACACACATGCAGACTACTCACACCTGCGCTGTGATCTACCTCACACCAATAAAAAGGCTTTCCTGCTTTCCCAAGCTGGAGGTATGTACTCTTGGCTGCGTCGCCGCTCGAGCCTGGCTCTTTGTTTGTTTTTTAATGAGTTTATGATTCTTCACTGATGCCGTCACCAAGGTATGCAGGTCGACGGCTCATCGCATCCCATCCCCGGCGCTAACAGGTTGATTTGATGAGGGAGATTAAGGATAGATGGGTAAGAGTGGACGGCGTCCCCATTTGTTAGGCCTCATTCCTGATTACCCCCCCTTGGGAAACAGATTCCCTGAAGTGAAAACCATTTAGAGGAAACAAGACTTTGCCTGTGTTCCTATATCACCATAGGAAAATGTGTGATCCCCACCCTGAACCATCATCATCATACATCCTTATCATCTGAGCGGTGCTGCCCTCCCTCTAGCCGATGGACACATTGCTAAAACAATAAAGGAGACAAAGTCAAAAGTTACTCTTTCAAGATTGAGGACGGAGTGGGATGGACAGACTTATCTGAACTGCTGCAACAACAACGATCACAAGGCAAAAAGTTCAAATTGTCAAATGCGTTGTTAGTGTCCCAATCACTCCTATTGAAATGTTGGACGTTTGCACTTATTGCATCATGGAGCCTCCGGGGAAATGGGGAAATGAGGAAGGAGCAGTGCTATGCGGTGAAGTTAGCTCAGGCTTTCGTCCGTGATATCAACGTGGAAAGTGGGGGTGTGAATTATGGTATTACGGCAGCTGTGAGCAATGTTGAAAGTATCTGCTGTGGTGTGAGTGGGGGTGTGCAGCAGGCCAAGTGGGACTGGATTGGCCCAGGAGGAGGATGAAGTGGATGTGGAGAGACTGTTTAATTTTTGGGGGGGGGGGATAAAGTTGAGATAGAGATGCTACGATTGCTCACCGAACCTCGGGGAAGTTTTCAGCGTTTCCTTCTGTCGAAACGTTTTTGTCTCTAAAGCGTCAGCTTTTCAAATTGACATCACTCTCTATTTTAGACTTTATCCAGTGTGGTTTTGAAAGTTTCCCGGCCTGCAGAGGAGCCTGAAATCCTCTTAACTAAAGTTTGAACAGAAAGTAGAAGCGGTTTTGGAAAATTTCAGTTCAGATAGATCACCTTTCTTCTGATTTCCTAAACACCCGAGCACTTGTTGTAGTATCCCCTGTGGCTAACCAAAGATCTGTCAGCTGAATCAGACGCAATATATACAGCAAACTCCGAACTCACTCGTGTGACCGTGAAACCAGTCACTCCACTCTCATGTTTGAAATTATTTGGGCAGTAGGAAAACAATTATCTAGTGGGTAGCAAAGAAGTGATTACGGAAAGTATAATTCACTACGACTCTTTCCACAGAGCCGCATTGACCACTGTGTCCCGTGTAGGGAGGGAGGGAGGGAGGGGTTCAAAGACATTGTGAAATAGGTCCAATATGTGACTGTTGCATATTCACCCACCCCTCTAACCACAAGTATTACTCTGCATCTGTGAGCTGAAACAATGCTGTTCTCCATCACTTCTTTCCCTCTCCGCTTGGCCAGTGCCACAGGTATTTGTTTAAAAGAAACTGCAACAAAAGGGGGAACAAATAAAGCAGTGTGTGTGAGAGAGACAGAAAGGGGAGAGAGTTTAAAAAAAGAGATGGAGGGACATGACGGTAACAAAGATCTGTCCTCGAAAAGTAGAAGGGATACGAGCAGAGATGCTGTGGTGAACAAAATGCAGGTCCATATCTTTAAAAACAGTGTTTTATCATGTCTTACACTCTGATTGCAGTACTTTAAACACAGAGATCGGGACTCAGTGCTTCCTCTGATGACTAAAAGAGAGAACAAGTCTCAAAATTGCAGCCATCAACAGCCAAGATGTCTTTTTCTGGAAGAGTAAGGCAGCTTATAACCATGTAACCCATTGAATAGACTACACTTAAGAATAATGAAGAATTTATTCCAAAAATAAATACAACATAGGCCTTGAAAAGTCTTGAATGTTGATGAAAAAGCTGCATTGTAAACATTACTTATCATTTATAACTTATTGCAGCAGCAGGCTTTATTTACTTGACAAGATAATCAGTAATAAACATTATTTAATTCGTATTTTGGCTGAATTTCTTTATGTTTCACCTTCCAAAACATGTTATTTCGAGTCTTTGACTGTCTGTTTTGAAAGTCCTTGAATCTGTTGACTTTATTGATTACTCTGTGGGGCTCCTTTCTATGATTCCCTTCGTTTTTCACCTGGTCTAAAAAGAAACGCTCACGTGAACTGCATAATACACCTCTGCACTATATTTCTAATAACATTCATACATACGTCGATAGATTGCATTTTAAACATCTGCGGATTGCCTGAATTCCAGTAAATTTAACAAAGCGGTTAATCATGCCGTCAAAAGCACGATCACACTTTTTATATATTCTGATAAACTACGGCTTATATTCGCACAGTATGCATGCACTCACCCGTGAGCCCGGCTTCTGTGCGGAGACTTGAGGCAGGTAGCAGAGGAACAGAGGCGCCCAAAAGCGAGAAAAGGTGAAGAGAAGCAAACTTGACAATAACATAGTTGATGGTCGGTGAGCTGCAGGTAGTCTCTGTGTGTCCGTCCGTCACACTGATGATCAACAGGTCCAAAAAACACTCCTTCACGCACTCCAATCTACTTTCCTTCTAGTTATTTCCCTTTTGTCTACTTCTCCAATAACTAATCACATAGTGCCGCGCGTGGGATGAGCAATCATGACTCGGCGGTGATCATGGTCATCGGGTTTTTTTTTTTGGTTTTTTTTTATCCACTGCGGGAGGATCAGCTGTTCATCACGGGCGGCTTCCACAGGTTGAGTCGCGCTTGTATCCATTGCGGCTTCATTTAAAACGCAAAGGAGGGAGAAGCAGCGCTGACTGACACCCACAACCGTCCAATAGCAGCGAGGGACGGCGTTAGAAAGCCACGCCCACCTTTAAACTGGTCCAAGATTAACTCTCCACGGAGGAGAAAGGGGCTGCTGTGGTCAGTCAGTCAGGAGAAGCAGCAGCTGCAGGGACACTCAGTGTATTATCATCGGTCTTTGAGAGCAGGAACAATGGCCGAGCAATTGTGAAGTCAAATTTTAGGTTCTCATCCCCATTCAGAGACATATAATGCTCAGAGACATATAATGCTCTATAATAGCCGAGTATCCTTCTGCCGTGACATTTAGCCTGTGTACTTGGGTTACAATAGAAAACATCTATTGAGTAAAGTCAATAGCTGTCACAAGCACCGCAGGGGGTCGGTGTGTGTGTGTGTGTGTGTGTGTGTGTGTGTGTGTGTGTGTGTGTGTGTGTGTGTGTGTTGAAAGGATGGGGATTCAGAGGTTGGTTGGGCAAAAACGTCTGTTTGTGACACTTAATCCCTAGTTATTGTTCGTGGTTTAACTTGTTTTTAAGAGTAAACCTTATTATTTGGAAGAGTATGGTGGCTGATCACTGTAAAGAAAGCAGCAGTAATATATATTAATATTAATATTTGCCTAAATTCATGAAAAATACAACCATACATAATAAATATTTTTGCAGTTGAAAAATACCAAAGTAATGCTACACTTCCTCGCCCTTTTATTAGGTACACCCAGACAATCTAATGCAACCACTACAACCTCTCCACCACGAATACCTTTTACAAAGCTTAAAGTATTCACTTTTTGTGAAACTTTCCGAGAGTTAACTCGATTACCTTCTAACCTCTGAGATTGTACTTAGTGCTGGTGTTTTATCGGACTATATTGACAAAACAGCAACACTTCTCAATATAATGCTGTCCAGTTTAACAACAACCTCGAAACATATCGTTCAATTAAGACCTCTGACAATGAAAAGTGAACATATCGTTTATGGCTTAGCTTGGTGTATTGGATTGCATTATAATTTACAGGTGTACCTAATAAAGTGGCCTCTGAGTGTATATTTCAATAAAACAGATGTAAGTAAGTACATCTAAAATATTCAAATGTGTAATAAATACATTTTTATTTTTACTATACTGACAAATATGATGTATTTGTACATAACTTTGTATTTGCATTTCACGCTATTTAATATTTTTAAATGTCGGGGGGGGGGGGGGGCTATTGCAGTTTTTACTCCACTAACTGAATTTACTTTCCAGTTGGATTCCAGATTAAGATTTTACACGTCAATCACATGATGATCTTTTAAAATATGACTCACTTTTAAGTATTAAACCAACCAATATAATGCAAGATAGTTATAATCGACAATAATAAATGAACATTTTTCTGTATTATGGGTTCTTTGACTTGTTACTTCAAGTTCATTTTTCTAATAATACTTTCAACTTTTACTGAAGTGACCTTTTCGATTTCAGACTTTTACTTGTGATTGAGTATTTTCATAGTGCAGTATTGGTACTTTTACATAAGTACATCTGAATACGTCTCCAACACTGATCATATTGCATTGATGTCCTGACTGGAAAAAAACAACCTTAAATGGACTCATAAAACTGGCTCCGCACTGTAGTCGTTCTACAAACTCTCAACTTCTTGCTCCCACGTCTTCTTTCTCTCTGCGCGCTCTCTTTCTCCATCTTTTCTCTTTCAGATAAATTGTGTGGCCCATTGAGAGCGAGCTAAAAAGGAGGAGGAGAGACCGAAGAGGGAGAGCGAGGGAAGCCGAGTGTTGAGTGCAGGTGGCCGGCTTCAGAAACTGGGCTTTTAAGAGCTGAAAAGGGCCATCCGGTCACCCTTTGCTGGAATGGGTGACCCCCCCTCAAATCCCCTTCCCTCAGTCTTTGTCCCTATAGATATTTTTTAATTGTTGCCGATGACAGTTCAGCGGCTTTTTGAGTGGCTCAGTGAAGAACCTTGTAATTAGAGCTATTGAGCTGCTGGAATTGGCACAATTAGGGTCAGCATTAACGATTTCTGTGAGCACCGGGCGGTTTCAGGAGGACTATTTTCTCAGAGAGGATGGAGAGAATTTGTGAAGAGGGTCAGGCTTCTGAAAAAGGAAGTTGGACATAAAGGAGAGGGAAAATGGAGGCCTAAACGAACTGGAGACAGTGAATTGTCTGGATTCGTCTTTATCGGACCACCGCAGAGACTCAGCAAAGCGCCTGAGTAGTATCATTATCAGAGCTGTGAGAGGTTGGATACGCCTCACTCGGGTGCTGTTTCTCACCCCGGGGGCATGGTCTTCCCCTCCCTTCCTCTCTGCTCTGTGCCAGCCGGTCCACTCATGACCTGGTGTGAGTGTAGAAATGCTGTGGGAGGTGAAGATGAGGAGTAGGGGAGGGGGGGGGGGGGGGGGAACAGGAGTGTCTCTTGGAATGTTAACGAGATCAGTTTATATCTGATCTTCCCTCTCGCTTCAGCCCCCCTAACAAAGAAGACAAAGTTTTCTGGGGTGTAAAGCTGTTGTAGGGAAAGCATGGCTCTACACTTTAATTCTGTTGTCATTTGGCCGAGCATGAATGAAAACCTCTCACAACAAAAACAAAAAAGGAATGAATGGGCATACTGAAAGGAAATGTATTTCCCAATTACTGCAGCCCCCCAGCCGCAGTCCCCCCGCCAGCTTACACCAACTACATACGGCCGAAAATTAGCAGGTGTCTGTAGACACAGAAACAGACGGAGCAGGACAGAGGCCACCCAGAGATCTGACGGCTAGGGAGGGGGGGGGGGGGGGCACACAGATGTTCAACCATGATGTCACATGTACGAAATGTTAGACACACACAGAGAGTTCAGACGCGGTATGCTTAATGTCGTGGGTAAAAGTTATAACATTTAACTAGTTAGTTGTCCCATTAGATTTTACAGGTATTCACAGTTTTATACTATGTGAACCAAACACTTTTCAAAGTAAAAGCTCCTTTTACATTTTTTCGGTGTTTTAGTAGCTTCTCGTTGTTGATCATTTCATAATTATTATTTTTACCTGAGTATTTACATTCTGTGCAACTTTATACTTCAACCACATGTTTTACTGGGAAATATTGTACTTTTTACTTTTCACTACATTTATTTTACATCTGTATGTATGAGTACTTCACTAAATGTCTGACATATCCACACGGTATAATAAACTCTTTGATATGAAACTTTGCATTAAACCATGATAGAAAGTAACAAATACATGAATTAAAGTGCTGTACCAAAGAACAATTCTTAAATATTTTTAATTTTGTTTTAATTTTGTCCGGACTACCTTAATTTGACAGCTGTAATTTATACGTCAGATTAAATATTGAATTATTAATATTCAACATTTAAAAGCAACTATTATCTTATCTCTTAATATTTTTAAAGAATAACTAACTTAACAGTTTTCTACAAGATAACAATATCTGAAAAGTCCCACTTTGAATAAAACATAGTTTTTCAGCATACTAATACTTCTGTTAATACTTCGACCACCGGAGTCGTTCAGTATTGAAGTACTTGCACTCCATGTTATGGGACTTTGTACTTCTACTCCTTTACATTTCAGAGTGAAATATTGTCGCTTTTCTCCAATTCATTTTCTGAGACTTTCTGCTACTTTTTTAAATATTTGTTTTACATGCAAAACATATAACTTTGTAAAATATGTTGTTTATTTAACTACCTAAAGTATATCTCCACTGTCACCAGCCTTAACTTTAATGCAACTCAATTAATGCATCAATGATCCAGGAATATAATATCAATAATAACACTCTGAAAGGGGCCATTTTGCATAATGAGTACTTTGAATTTTGATGATACTTCTGTACTTTTACCTGAGTAAATGTTTATTTCTTGTTACCAAAGCACTGATGTGCACACGTCTTCCTCTACAGTTCCCTGTTAACGGTCTGTGTGTATGACGGCTCTAGTGAAGTTAATGTTGTCAAACATGAGCGCTGAATGAAAGACAGACAGACAGGGAGGGGTTGGTGGTGTCCTGTGGAAAAACCGGAGGTCGAAAGCCCACTCCTTTTAAAGGGTCATCTGGATTTCATTTAATAAATTCCACATATTTTACATGTACTGGCCGCAATTTTCATTAGCTCCTGAAAACGAGGAGCCGCAGATAGCCGTCGACTGGCCAACAGGTCTGGACAGCAGCAACCTGGCCTCTTATTACCCTCTTCAAACACACACGTGCACGTAAACGAACACACACATACGCACACACACACTGAGGCTGATGTAGCAGCATGCCTAGTGACGGAAACGCACAGCAACAAATAAATAAGCCCCACAAAGCCAAATTATCTGTGACATTAATCAGAGATTCGAGGGATTTTTACATAGTGAGAGAATGAAAGAGAAAATGGCAACAGAGTGCAAAGGGTGTGAAAAGGGCTATTGAGTCTGGACTTGGGTGTCCCGCACCTGCGCTGTCTATTCACCCCACTGTTTACACACTGTCATCCACAATTAATACCTCATGGGGCCTGGGCTGCCTGCCCTCTCCGGGGCCCCCAGACCCATCTAGAGCCCTTATGGATGCTTAATTGAGCATACCGCTCTTCTGATTGAATTAACAGCTCCATCTCGGGGACCTTTTCCCCTTCCACCGAGGAGGGGGGACTATTCCACACCCGCATGGGACCCCTGTACCCACAGAGGGCAGAGCGGAGGGGGAGAGGGAGGGTGTGGGGGGGGGTGCTTCGTGGCTGGAGAAAGCGAAGGGTCAAAAGGTGGAGTTGTTGAAACTGTCCAGAAAACGTGTCCTTTTCTGTTTGCAAACCGATGCTGGAAATGTGAACTGGGGGCAACCAGAGGTCTCGGTCTTCACAGGACCAGTGAGTTCCTGCAGGGCAGCGAGTGTTCAGGACATTGTTGAGAACATACACAACATCAGCCTACAGTACTACAGCACTGCATTGAAATGATCATCTGGTACCTCTAACTTTCTCACATTCTGGTCTGGGTTTCTTTGCTTTATTGTTCTTCTTTTGTTCTGGTTTGCAGCGCAGATATGAATTATTAGAGTTAGACTTCTGCTGTTCTGTATAATACAGTAACACCTAATCTGACAGGTCCATAGCTTCCTGGAAGAAATTTTTCTAATTTTGTAGCAGTTATACGGAAAAAAGCTGACCTTCCAATCAATTAACTGCTTGCGTAACCTAGAGTCCTTTCTCAGTGGGACAGTTGAACATTCATAATTTAAAAAATTGGTAAATTAAAAACCTGTATAATAAAGCTTTACTCATAATACAATATTCTATTTTGTTCCAATAATCAATATATTTACCCATGACTAAAGAATTAAGAATTATGATTGAATTTGTTTCTTGACAGGATGGGAAAGCAATTTGAGAAAACTTAATTTATATGATGACCCAGTAATTACTGGGTCAACTGCAACAATTTTAAAAGATCAATCAACTCTGAGGATATATAAAAATAATAAATGGAGAATTAATTCAAAAAATTGTAGAAGAAAATATGTTATTGCAACTTGCAGCTGTCGTTGGCTCTGGATCGGCAGAAACCTACATTAATACACACATTAGAAGTGAATGACAAATATCTTAAACTATAGATTATAATGTATTATTCACATGTTTCTGTCTTAGCAGAAAAATAGCAGAAACAGTTTGGTAATGTAAAAAGTGACTTACCATCACTCAACTTATCAGAATAGCATCACTCACACTTTAAAGAGTGTTTCTCTCTGGGCGGACACCCCTATAGTGTCCTCTTGGCACGAGCCACTCCAATAGTAGTAAAACATAATAATGTGGAAAATCAGTAGCCCTCCGGAGAGGTGGAAGTGCACATAGACCGGCCGTATCCTCTTTATTTCCAGGTCTTTAAGAGAGTTTGCCATGTCTTTATCCGCTCTTGTCAAAGTTCAGCACACATGTAGAGCTGACAATCAGATCGGCCTCTTGGAGGGAAATTAAATGGGTGAATTCATCTCAGCTGAGGCTGTTGAGTCATGTAGCCAAAGGTGGTTATAGCCAGAGTGTCTGTCTGTCTGTAATCTCTTGGCTGGATTCATTTGTTGCCTCTGTGTAGAAATAGGCCTCGTTCATTGGAGTGAACGGCACATAGATCCTCTTAACTGCACAGATTCTGCCTTCACTTTGTTATTCTAATGCAGACCTCTTAATCAATCATTTGCTGCAAGATCTCCCAGAACTCCAGCAGAGTTTCCAAACTAGGAGAGCTGATATAGAATCAGCTTGTACTTGCATTAGCAGACAGACTTATTTACTAAAAACTCTGCTTTATTACATTTGAATCGTCTATTTTGCTGCCTTTGGTCATCATGTTCTTGTTTTTTAACAGTACATGTATTTAGTCAGTGGTAGAGGAAATACTCAAATCCTTTCATTAAGTAAAAGTAGCATTACCACAATGTAGAAATACTCCTGCAGAATGGCCTATTTCAGAATAATGTATAATATATTATTGACTTACAATTATTTATTATAATGTTTTTTTACTACATATCTCGGGGAACTTTTGAATTTCAGCATTTAAGTACTGTATTTATCCATAACATTACATCATACTGTATTAGTTTGTTATATTTTGCATTAATAATCAATATCTTTCATGTAATGGAGTAGAAGTATCAGAAAATGTGTACAAGTACGTCGAAATTGTGCTTAAGTATAGTATTTGAGTAAATGTATTCGGTTTCAACCAGTCTCTCAGCAAATAATCTTATATTTAAAGTTTACCAACGTGACAGGAACCCAGTTTTGAAGAGCCAAACAAAAAAGCATGAAAAAGGAAATATTGATGAATTGAATTGACTGATTTCTTTGATGAATATATTTATTAAGTTTCCAGGTTTTTCCAAAGACATTATTAAGAAAACACAAAAAGAAGAGTAAAAACGTATCCGGTTAATTTGTTTTCTTAAGTATTTACTGGTTGACTGACTCCTTGATTGATTTATTGATTGATTGCAGTAATTTTACATTTTGGGTTTATATTTTAGAGAAAATATAAATCATTACAGTCACAGTCCTGTTTATAACATAGTAAAGTAAAAGTTAAGTAAACTGTTATCTTATTAGTTAGATAACAGTTTACTCTGTAATATGTTGTTTGCTGCACCATCAGGGTTGACAATAACATGAGTGTGATTTTTGTCATTTAAAGCATTCATAATTCAACTAAAAAAATATTTTAGGGTGCGAGTATGGTTTAGGTTTAGGTTTAATTTGTAAAATATTGAAGTACAACTATTATCTGTCAAATAAACCTATATTTGTCCTTAAAATGTACTTGGAGTCCTGAGTGCCACGTATCAAACCCCTGTTCACATGTTGTACTTTAAAATGTACTGCTACTCAGAAGGTTTTGGCACCTCTAGACTGGTTCCCACTACAACCAGTATACAAGGGCACCCTCAAAGGCTCTCAACACCAGCTGGGCATTGCAGTGGTCTCCATGACTGCACAGAGCAGCTCACCTCTCGATGAACCCCCCAGTCCAGCTTTGGTGGTGGGGAGCATGCCCTACCAAAAACAAAAACACAAAAAATTCTGTCGAGCATACCCCCGCACCAGTGAACTGTGCAGCGACCACACCATGCCCCGCTCCCCTTTGGCCCCCATCCCAGACCCCATGCCCCCGGTTAACAAGCCAGCCAGCACGTTCCCTGTTGTCACTTGTTACCCGCTCTCCTCCTGATACGGCTCACGGGCGGGGCCAATTAAACTCGCACTGTTCCCCACACCGGGTCAGGAGTTTAGTGGGTCATCATCATCACTGTGATTTTCACTCAGGGTTATCTAATCCTGATTCAACTGCTCCAACTGGACCGAACCAGACCAGTCTGCCTCAATAACTACACTACAGTCATTCATGTAGTAGTGGTGGAAGAAAATGGTCACACAGATACACAGAGACAATTACCATTATGTTTTACTCCTTCTACCACATATATACAGATAATGAAACAGTAAAACACAGTTCTTTTTTTATTTTGTCAGCATGGCACAGTACAAACAGATGTCAAGTTTGTGTTAGTGGGTCGTATTAAATGAATCACTGTGACTAGAGTAATGTGCAGGTATGTCGAGGAGAGAGAATTAAATGCATACATAATTAATTAATACATACATGGTACTACTATAACTGCTGTGATGTTTTTGTGTCTTCAATATAATATCCATCACAAGAGTTTGAAAGTTAATAGATATATATGTAGCTTGTCTTTAATAATAAATGTTAATATTTAATGTAAAGGGGTTTAGCAGAAAAAGAAAAAGAAAAGAAGGTAAATAGTCAGCAGCCTGGAGTGAAGTCATTGATGGGCTCCATACAGCAGGTCACATTTCATACAAATCTATTATTCCATCCTTATGAGCTCCAGCGGCGGAATGTAACTCAGTACATTTACTCAAGTATTGTACATAAATACACATTTTAGGCACTTGTAATTTACTCGAGTATTACCATTTACTGCTATTTCAAAGTTTTACTCTACTACATTAAGGAGGCAAATATTGTACTTTCTACTCTGCATCTGTCTGACAGCTGTAGTTACTAGTTACTTTGCAGACTGAGATTATACATAGAAAACATAACAATGCATCATGTTTTAAAAGTAGATTGTATTTTTTTGTTTTGGAAAAAATATACAAAATTACCCAAAACTCTAGTTCAAATCAGATACAAACTACACATGAATGCATCAGTAATAAGTATCTAATAATACTATGAATAATTGTAAAACACTCACAGGGGGCTTTTTTTCAGCAATATAATAACTTTTACTTTTGATATTTTAAGTAAATGTAGGTGATAGTACTTACATATAAGTATGATAATACATACTTGTAACTCTTTTTTGGTATTGATGCTTTTCCTTAATTAAAGGATCTGAAAACTTGTTCCACCGCAGATAAACTGTGATGATGCTGATTGGCTGCTAAACCTCCTTTGTCTGCAGAGAAAGTGAAGGCATGGTATCTATTATATTATAGTGCCCTCTCGTGGCTGGTACGAGTAATTGCAGTATATTTTATTTTACACTTAAAGCAGGGTGGCAGATGGCAGCTGTTACATGCGGTGATGTGACTTTTGATAGACAATCAAAATCCTGCACAGATTAAACATCTATTTATAGATGGATTCGACTTTCATATAATATATTTTACTTGTATTTGTATATTGCTTTAAATGCAAATATTAAAGCGGTGAATAATATAGGAAACTGAATAACAATATAATTAAGACACGTCAGATGTATACATCTCTGGTTGAAACACAGGCCTATAGGAGGATCTGTGCTCGAGGCTATCGCATTAGGCCAATGTTTTGTCACATGTTAAAAGCATGTAATTTGAGTGTGCGAGCGCTCGGTTAATTACAGCGTGCAGACCGTATTTTTATTTTTTTTTAAAGCATATTTGCCAGAAGCAGGCGGAGCTAAGGAGGCTGAGATGGAGGGATGCTGCTGAATAGCAGGTGGAGACCGCTGATGTTTACGCGATGCGCTCTGCTGAGGGAGGATCAGAGGAAGCTGGATAGCAGATTATTTTCGACGTGTCGTGAACATTTCTCTCTGGAGGGTATTTATTTATTTTTTTTGCCATTTTTAATCTTGCAGAGCGCAGATTTACTCCCCGCCGCTCAGCAGACCGACCGGCTGTGAAAGGCTCCGTCTGTCTGTCGAGTCGCTGCAGGTCGCGACGATGTGAAGCTCCATCGTTGGGTCGACGGCCGCAGCCTTTTCCCTGAAACCTGATATTATGCAGGGAACAAGGGGCACTGCACGGATTCAAGGGGAACAAAGCACCGGTTCAGAAAACGTTTTACAAACTGGCAGGTCAGTGGGTGTTTTCTGTGATGCGACGCCGCATGAAATGCAACCAAACCACGGGATGAAACCACAGTAAAATATAGTAAATATTGTTTTGATACACAGCAGCAAACTGCAGCTAAACAGGTCTAATATAATCTGTCTTAGAATTTGACCCTGAGTTGTTTGTGATATTCAGATGTGTTCTGCCTCTGTGCTGCTGATACAGAAAAGTCGAGGCCTTTACTGTTTGTGAGGTGTGAGTCCATGATGGTGAGCAGAGAGCAGAGTAGATCTTAAATCCAGCTTTTTTTATACACTGATGAGTAATATATATATAGTATATATGTTGCAGGACCTGGTTTGATTTCAAATGTATTCTTAGGTCGATTGTGTGGTGTAGAGTGAAAAATATGGCTGTGAGTAATCAAATTCTTCACAGCCTAGTAACTGCCAAAAATAGACTCTCTATTAAAGGACTCTGGTGTTTTTTTGTGTCTTATGTCACTTCCCTGAAGGGGAAATGTCTCATCTGGTGTAAAAATCAGTGCATGAATATGTGTTCATGCATGCATGCATCTCTGAACATGCGTTGTGACCCTCCCCCACAGACTGCATCTCTCTTACGCTCTGGACTGAATGCTATAATCCTCTAATTGAAACCTCTTTCCACTATTTTTTCACATCCCCTCACATATCATACAACCCCCCCCCACATCGACCCCTACCCTCTTCTCTACCTGCAGTATCAGCCAACTATGGTCGACCCCTCGGAGGCTGAGGAGTGCAACAACAAGTGCAAAGGTCCACAGCTCGACACGCCAGCTGTGGCCACTGAAGACCTTCGTCTGCCAGAAGAGGCCGATGGCACGACAACAGAGGATGATGGGGATGCCGGTTTCGAGACGCCGCCCTCCGGCAGTTCTGAGCCGAGCCCCTGCCACACTGCTTTCCCGGCGGAGCCAGACGGCGCCTCTCAGGGGCCGCCCTCACCTGAGCAACCACAGACTCCGACTGCAAGAGATCCGTCGCCAAAGTTGCACCTGGACCTGTACAACTTTGACTCACCAGTCGCAGAGGGCAGCCGTTACGTGTTGACAAGCCCTCACTCTCTGGAGGCGTGTGCACGATGTGGGGTCAAACCCGTGGAGCTTCTGCCCCGCCCACTGGCTGACTTCGCCCGGGAGGCTCCCGGCCGCTCCATGCGTGTTGCGACGGGCCTGTTCGAAGTCTACGAGAGAGACCGGCACGGCAAACTGAGGCAGTGCAGGGAGGAGAGGGAGAGGATTGTTAGGGAGGAAAAAAGAAGGATTCTGCAGGCGACAGTCAATACCGGCAGCACTGCGTCACCCTCTGCTGTGGAGCAGCAGCGCAAAGCCTCCTCTGGCTCCTCTCAGCCAAATAAATCTGGGCCGGTGACCTCCAGCTCACCCCCTGATAGAGCCTCTAGAGCCACAGCATCAGGTCCAACATCTAAAGCAGCTTCGGCTCTGTTATCTAAAGCTCCCAACTCAAGTACATCCCCTAAATCTCAGTCCTCAAAAACTGCTTCCACAACCTCTACACCATCCTTTAAAGGTGGTTTCCAAGGATCTGCCAAGCATTCACCCGAACAAGTAAAAACCACACGGCCGCTCTCGTCCGGCCCTCCACCAGTAGTCATGAAGTCCTCAGGCGGTAAATCTTCTAACACTTTCCCCAGATCGACACCGAAAACCCCCTCCTTCCCTAGAGCAAACTCCACATTATCATCATCAGTGAAGAAGCCGGCAGTTCAGAGCTCTGGGACGCCTCTGAACGGCGTAACAGGAGCTCCGTTCTCTCAGCACAATGGACACCTTGGCCTTGACTCCAAGGTGCCAGGAAAAAGCCATTCGCTGGAGTCCTTACAGCGGAGGATGGATCCGGCCTGCTCTTCCACCTCCACCACCACAACCACTACTGCATGCACCTCATCAGAGTCGGGCGCTTCCTCTTCTTACAGCTGGGACGGCGCTCGAGATTACTGGGCTAAAGTCTCCAGTCCTCGGGCTCGCACCATGGCCACCTTCAACTCCCTGATGGGCCGCAGCCTCAGCCTCGGCGACCTGAGCCACTCCCCGCAGACGACGCAGAAGGTGGAGCGCATAGTGAGGGAGGTGAGGCGCCGAGGCCTGAAGGCCGTGTCCGAGCGCGACCGCAAGATCGCAGCTCTGATGCTCGCCAGATACCAGGAGGAGGACATCATGAGTCAGACCCGCTACGTGGCTCACCTTCAGTGGGACAGTGAGCGCAGAATGGACGAGCTACGGCGAGAACAGGAGGACAGGGAGAAGCAGCGCGCGGTGCTCCAGTGCCAGCGGGTGTGGCAGACCCAGGTGTCGATACGGCAGCGACGACTCAGCCAGCAGGAGCGGCTGTCGACGGCTGCCAAGATGCGACAGGCCGAGGAGAGTGAGGAGCGATGGCGGGAGCTCGCAGAGCAGCAAGATCGCAATCGCTTGCTGAGGTTACAGCAGGCGGCACGAGAGGAGAAGCATAAGAAGGCTCTTCAGGAGCAGAACCTGAAGGCCCTGGAGGAGGAGAGGGCGGCCATGCTGGAGCAGGAGAGGCTGCTGCTGAAAGAGAAGCTCACCATGGCCGAGCTGAAGAGGCAAGAGAAGGAGCACCAGAGCCATGAGGACAGACGAGGTCTGAACAAAGCGGAGAAGAGACGCCACGCCGCCCTGATACAGGAGATCGCCCGCAGAGAGCAGGAGGAGAGGGAGGAGGCCAGGAGGGCAGCAGAGGAGAAGCTCAGCCGCTCCCTGGAGAATTATGAACAGATAGTGGAGCGTCGAGGGCAGGAGCTGAAAGAAAAGGCCAAGCGCGAGGAGAAGCAGATTCAGAAAGCACGCAAGGCAGCGGAGAAGCGCGAGAAGCAGCAGCAGCAGCTCCTGGAAGCTCGCGTGAAGGAGGCGGAGAAACGGGCCCAGCAGGCATCTTTGGTGGCCGAGGAGAGGGCCAGAGAGAAAGCTCAGCGGGCCGTCAACACCCGGCAGGAGAAGGAAAAACTCCAGAGGGTCAACAGGCAGCGAGTGGAGGAGGAGGAGAAGCAGAGGCGTCTGGAGCTGCTGCAGTCCATCGAGAGGAAGCTGGAGAAGAGCGAGCAGATCTTCAAGGAGAAGAGGGCGGTGCTGGAGAGCGCTCGCTCTGTGGCCCGAGCCTCCTTTCATGTGCGAGACAAAGTGCGCGAGGAGACCAACATGCGTACGTTTGATAAAATGGCCCTGGAAGCTCTACTCAAAGCCAGCCTGGATGAGAAATAAACCCACGGCTCTGCTGTGGACCCCTTACTTGTGGTCATGTGCTTGATGCCTGCCTTCATCATGGCCCTCATCACCCAACAGCTTTACCCTTCTTCTCATAAAGACCCACAGTGTTATTGTTTCCTTACATATCGTCACCCTATCGATGTTCGATGACCTTTTTGACCATCATTTTTTTTTATCATAGATCCTTTCAAAGCAAACCAAATTTTGCATCATGGATGTAATGAGACTGCAAACTTAATCAGCTGACATAAATGAACAGTAAAGCCTGTACGGGACGTACAGTGGACTTCATATTAGATGAGAGGAAGAGAGCTGCCCTGTGCAGCGACACAACCCCTCCCCGCTCTTTCTCTTTGCCCTCTGTGCCGTCTATCTCAGCTACTGGACTGAAAGCTGTGCAGTCATGAAAAGACTCATTGTTTACCAGGAAGCACAACTCCATGACAACTGCAGAGGCTTTTAAGGGAGCACTCCTGCAGGGGGAAATCGAGCGCAAATGGTTCCACTCCCCCCCCAAAGTAAATGCAGGATCTTTTTGTCCTCGCACTGTGACACAGCTAGATATAGCATAGAAATAAAGCCCCGGGTTGGACACTTGTCTGTGCCGCTGACAATGCAGCGCAGGAGGGCCGTGTGCACGAGCCCCATGCTGATGAAGCATCAGAGGACACAGATTCCTGCTGCAGGGTTGTTCTACTCTCCGTCTTTTTCCCTTCAAGGACTCCCTCTGTCTCCCCCTCTTCATGTCAGATTACAATAAACAGTAAAGCGCTCTGAGAGACCGCCATCTTTTGACCAGTCGATCTGCTCCCAACACAACCGCCTGGTGACCGAGTCAAGGTCAACAGGTACGAGTTTTTATTGCTTTCACATGTTATGCAATCCCTTCTGTTTTGTTACATACTGTTTTCTTTCAGCGCTTGAAGTAAAAAAAAAAAAGAAACACAACAACCCTCGATCACACTGACCCTGACTAGACAGAGAAAAAATACATCAATCTACTCATGATGAGGCAACATGCAAGCCAGCAACAGGCTTGAAAGGCCTCTGGCTGCGCTAATCCTACAATCTCACAGATTAAAAGGAAAGGGAGATAGACATGGGGTTTTGCCTTGACACGTACGGAGGCATTGCCATAGCAATGGAAGTCAGGATGGAGCAGCAAAAGGTGAATGAGTGAGCAGAGAGTGCGTGGGAATATGAGGGAACTGCCTGCCTCTCTGGTGGCTCATTCTGTTTTCTTCTTTGGAAATAACAAGCCTTTACTTCGTTACACCAACATCTGTGTTGGGCGGGGAACATTTGGCAGCATTACTTCTCCTCATTAAGGCAGAAATCCTTTAAAACTGTCACCTAACACAGTCAGCCGCAGTTCCTGCAGCACCTCTGTAGCCCGGAAGTAGACTGGACCGCAGCATTTCAGACAGCCTGATACCTGCTAACGTCACTAACTACTGAGATAAAAGCCAGGCTGAATTTGAAACGCAGCATTAGAGCAGCAAAGGACTGACAGGCTTATAGACCACGCTGTTCCTACAAGATGATCATTGTTTTTAACCAACAATAAGTATGACTTTTTTATGACATCCTTCATGACTAATTTATGCTATACTATGTGACTTTTTTGCCATGCTATACTGCCTTTTTTTTGTCACTCTATACTATGATGTTTTTTAAAATACTCTTATACTTGACTATATTGTCTTTAATGAAGCTTTTTCAACAAACTTATACTATGACTTCATTACATGCTGTACAATGACTTTTTTCCGACATACTGTATACCATCACTTTTTAATTGTTTTTTTGACATGCTATACTATGACTTTATGGTATACTGTGTTATGAACTTATTATTCGCCATGCTATACTGACTTTTATGACGTTTTCTTTTCGACAGTATCTCATGACTCTTCGACATGCTTGAATTTTATGTTTATTCGACATGCTATACTAGATTTGTTCATTATCTTTTTTTCGACATACTGTATTGTTACTCATATTGATCACATTCTCATTTTATTTCCTTCAGGTGCTGGTGATGAACAAGCTGGTGATGTAACCCACAATCCTCCTTCTCTTCCCACACTGAACTTTATCAAGTGGAAAACACCAAACCTTTCCTCTCATGGAAACATCCATATCAAGAGTTTTTTTTTTCATTTGAAACTATTAACAGTGCTATCTATTTAGATGCATAAATGACATGACATGTACAAGGTTCAAAAACAGCTTTATTCGCATCAAGGCATGTTGTTCGGTCCCTATGAACCCTCTCACCTTACCCTAACATGTGGGCTTCTTTTCTGTATCATTTCTGGTGTTAAGTTATAATTTGTACATTATCCCAAAATGCTTATGTCAGTGATTTACATTGAGTTGCTGCGTCAAGGACAGATTTTCAGTTGTAGCAATAATGAAATGGTCAATTTAACACAAATAGGCGAGTAGTTTTCAAAAAGCCTCTGTTCATGTAAATGATACAATCTGTGCATACAGTCAAAACCAGGAGAATAAAAACAATTTTACAAGATGGATTTGCATTGTGTGTGCTATCTGTTCAATAGTAATAGTATCATCACAACATATCTTATCCGGTGGAGTCTAGAGTCCCACTACTATAGTGCAATGTTTCTAACGTTCATGTAGTTTACACTCATAATTACTCTTTTGCTAAATCAAATCGGGTCTTCTATCTATCAGGTTCGACAGGACCACAAACAGTAATGTGCAAAAACAGTTCCTCTTTTGGCTCCATAGTTTCTGGAACTGTTCGGTGGAAAAGGGCTGATGACATTTAACAGATTTCTGTGTACAAGAAAGAGGAACATAGAGGATCTCTAAATCACTCACTCCCCCCTTAACAATGCTGTCTCTCCTCTCAGTCCTCTGTTTTGTTCGTGGCGTCCTTACGAGCAATGATCTTGTACACGCTCTCTCTGAAGTCACTGTCAGAGGTCAGTCGTCGGGCCGTCTCTCGCAGCTCCTCCATGCTGTCGTCATTAGGACTGGCTGCAGCAAAAGACTTTGAGTGCTTTACTGTAACAGCAGGGAGAAGAAAAAAACAATTAGATACTCATAGCTATTAATAGATGCCTAGTATAGCATGCTTTTTTGAAGTCGTAATATATCGTGGAAAAATGTAAAACAAAGCATGGCAAACAAAAAGCCACTGTCGAAAATCATAGTATAGCATGTAAAAAAAAAACATAGTATAGCATGTCGAAAAAATACAAAAAAAAAAAAGTCAAAGTATAGCATGTCGAAAAAAGTCATTAAAAAAATCATAGTATAGCATGTCAAAAAAAATCATAGTATAGCATGTCAAAAAAAATCATAGTATAGCATGTTGAAAAAATAAAAAATAAAAAAATCACAAAAAGTCAAAGTATAGCATGTCGAAAAAAGTCATTAAAAAATCATAGTATAGCATGTCGAAAAAATACAACAAAATCACAAAAAGTCAAAGTATAGCATGTCGAAAAAAGTCATAGATTAGTATGTTGAAAAAAACGGTAAACCATCATTGCAGAGAAATCTCAAGCACCATTGTTAAACATCTGACAAACTATTAATGACTAATTTATTGTGCTCATATTGAAACAGACTTCACAAATTTCCTCACAATTCAGGATCAAATCCAAAGATCATTAACAGAGAAACTGGCCAAATGTTATTAAAAAAGAGCAATGAAATTCATCACTCAAAAAAATAAAAAATTGAATTTGATTTGGTAAGCGACCTAAATAAACAAGGTTCTCTCCAAGGTTTGCCTCGTGTATCATGTCTGTTGGGAATGTGGATGAATTCAGTCTTCAGCTATGTTGGCGTGTCCTTGGAGTTCATGTTGTGCTCATTCCTGTGTGATGACCAGACTTACACCAGTGGCGTCTGGAGGCTCTCCTCTGGATGCGGCAGCTCTTGATCCTGCGTGCGGCAGCTTTGTGCAGATACACGGCGTTCTTCATTATCGATGGAAGCTTCGCCTCGATCTCCGCTGCACAGATGCACTCCTCAAAGAATCCTGGTCAAACACACACACACACACACATTACAAACACGCATAAACACACACTCATTTTCAGGCCACAGCCTGATATTTAGTTTATTATTAGTGGCAAAACCTAAATGTGTAATTTTCAGATGGACAAAAATAATTTGATATAAAATATAAACATACTCTAAAGGCAAAGTCCACTTACTGTTGTGTACTTCTGTGTCATTGTGCGACTTAAGTATGGGAACAGAGAAGTAATGTAAGCGGATCTTGCGTTTAGAGTATGTGACACAGATATAAATATGTTACTAAAGTGTTAAAAATAATGGAAAAACAGTTACATTTGTGTTCATCCCATTGATTGAAATTGTAGCTTTTACTGGAACAAAATCCTAAATATTGCCAAAAAGTCAGTCAGTCTGTGTGACTTTTATTATATTTTGACATTAGAACTATGAACCATTAGCTCAATATTAAAACTTTACCATAAGATTATATGGAGACATGAAAATAGGAATATTGAATTATTACTCAGCCCAGAGTAAACTCAGAGTTTAGCATTTTAGAGCTGCAAAGATTAGCAACGTTTTTGATAATCAATTCAATAAGTTTCGTCATCTTTTCTTAAGCTGAAATACCTTGTTGCAGCTGTCTTTGGACATTTGTTCAAAATAAAATAAACTATATGAAGAGATCACCTCGAGGAATGATAGCAGGCATTTTGTGACATTTCATAGACTCTAGATAATTATTAGTTGGATTGGTAATGCTTGGTCATTTCTAGTGATTAAATGACATCAAATAAAAGTCTAAATGTTCTGTGGAATTAAGAACATTAAACATATTTCATTATCTTTGACTGATATCTGCTAAATATGATCAACATGTGATACAAACTCCATCCAGAGGAGGGCAGTCACACAGGTGCAAGTCTCAGATCAGATGATGTACTTTGTGTGTGTTTAAGAACATTTAAAGCTGTATCTAAACCCGTTAGAGAGCATAATATGCATAAACCTACTAAAATGCAGATTCATTTACCTATTTTACTGGGACATACTGATTATATTCTGGCTGCCGTCCTCATGTGAACTAAATGCAATGTTGGGGCACATATTAGACATGGGATATGAAGGTCCCAGTGAATGCACTCACTCCTCAGCTGAGTCACACCGCCCTTCATCTTCTCGTCGGTCTCTTTGGTCCGCTCCAGTGAGTCCAGGCCTTTCTCCAGGTCCTGCAGAGCCTGTTCAGCCAAATTCAGTCTCTTCTCCAGCTCCACCCGAGACTCTATCTCCGCCTAACACACACAGGGAAAACACACAGGATGTTGATTCAACTGAGTGGGTTACAGCGATATACTGAATCTGTATGTGGAAATATTGGGCTTTTAATGATAAACTGAGCTGATGTGATGGAGGAAAGATTTTCCTCAGCTGAAGAAGTCAGTTTATTAAAATTCAAACGGTCTCGTGACGTTTAAAGGACACACCACCTCAAAATGAATACCATTTTTCAGGATGAACTGAAAGCAGCACTACAAGCCTGTCCATCTGTATAGTTATAATTATTATTATCATGATAAATGTGAAAACAGGGATGATTTTCTTGAAGTGACTACTTTTCAGATGTAGAATTCTGTGTCAAAGGCTTTGAAACCATCTTCACACCTTCATGTTGGGAAACACACTTTACAGAACATATGATTGACCAGAAAGCTGCATAAATAAAATATATGAATGAAAAACAGATTAATACGGTCACCTTCAAACTGACTTTGAGCAGTGATTTATTGCTGAGTAATGCCAGCTGAGAGCAACTGAGTCATGCTTCCTTACCTTGAGCTCGGCCTCGGTCTGCTGTTTGTCCACAGTGAGCTGAGAGAGCGACTGCTGCAGCGTCTGAGCCTGAGAAGAGTAGTACTCCCTCTCCTGCTGCAGGACATGAGCCCGCTGATCGTTGTCCCTGAGCCTGGGCGACAAACACACAACATCATCATCATCATATACAACATAGAGACACGTCATGCATATCTTTATCCTAATGACAACATGTTCATAACTCAGATTTGGCAATTGTAAATGATTTTGGCATTATTTAAACCCATTTCAAAGCTCAAAGCTTTAGCCGTAAAGCCGTTAAAAAGCTGTAAATGGTGCTTCTGGTGGCCTTCACCGTCAGGACTGCAGAGCTGGGTGCCATGCTGTGCTCACTGAGCTCTACAGGACACAGAGGAATGCACACAAACACACACCTGGCATTTGATTTCAAGGTTAAAACAGGAACCACAGAGCTTTCTGTGAGACACTTCAAGGAATAGTTTAACACTTTGGAAACTTATAATATAACAAACCAATAAAAAGGTCCTGTGATAAATTCTTTACCATCATTTCTTTAACTACAGTTTCTGGTCTTTCTGCTACTTTTGCTCCTCAATAATGTAAATAACGGAACAAAATATATAAAAAAAACACCTTTCAAGGACGAAAGATATTTTTTTACACTAAATACATTGCATCAGTGGATGTATGTGTTTTCAATAAAAATACTTGTATAGACTCTAATTTAACTGCCTCAAAAACATCTCATAGATTTGAGTCAAAATGCAAACTAAAGTCATAGTCTCAACACAAACTGATATTTTAACCAGTATTTGTTGCAGGACTGTTGTTTTGCAAAGCAAGTGAGCATCAGTTTGATAAGAAAACTATTCTGTACGGGTTTATGTTTGTATTTTTCCATGCAGCTGCAGCTGTATGTGTCAGGAGGAGGAGAGTGAAGGCAGAGCTCATGGAAACACAACGTAATGGCTCGGATATTTCAGTGTTCGCACCAGAACATTAGAGCTGCACAGTCGATAGCAGCTGCCTGTAATATCCCACTTACTGGTGCTGATCAATGTGGCTGGTTGTTTAGGGATCAATACACATTTCCACTAGCAGTAACATCCTCTGTGCCATTAGCACATAGTGTTTGACCCTTTGGGTGCCACAACTTAACCGGAGCGCTCTTGTCAGCCGATATCACCTTCAATTCCTTTCAATTTTTGATGCGGTAACCAGTGAGACCCTGACACTTTAAATACAGTCATTTTTGTGAGAAAAACACTTCTTAAGAAGCTTTCAGCCTGAAAAACCGAACGACTCCGAGAATTTGAAGCCTTTAACTTTAAATCAACACAAAGGACTTCTGAAGATTTTGATAACCAGTGTTGATGTTTGACTCTGTCTCTAAATCGTCACTCACTTGATGACAGCTTGCTCCTTCTCCTTCAGCAGGATCTTCATTTGCTCCTCGATGTGTTTCAGGTCCTGCAGCAGGTGCACTTCTCCGAGATCCTCTCCGACCTCGGGCTCCCTGCAGGCTGAGCTCCCCCCCGCCGTCGCGGTCTCCTTCTGCTCCTTCACCCCCAGCAGCTCCAGAGTTCTCTGTTTCTCCTGAGAGAGCTCCTGCAGGGCAAAACAGCAGATTCATTCCTTACACTGGAAAAATGTCCAATAATAATGAATAAATAAATAACCTTCCTGTCTATTTGAACAAAAACAATCTTGTATCTCACTCATGACTTGCTTGAAAGCTCTGGAAACCTTGTCGGCTTTTTATTAACGATGATCACAAATTATCTTTTTAATTATTTTTCAGATGCAGCCCCTCTGCTTACATTTCTAAACGAGTAACATTTTGTTATTCTGAGAGAATAAGTCATGATATTTTTATGTTAAGGGGATCGTTTGACATTTTAGTAAATGTGCGTCTTTGCTTTTTGGCCGGGAGTTAGATTAGATAAACACCACCGACACCTAAACAGCTCCTTTTTTTTTTTTTAATCATACCTCGATGGATTTCTGCAGCATGACGGTTAAACTGCTCAGCTCTTCTTTTTCACTCTCAACACCTTTCAGGGACTGAGCCGTGCCGTCCAGGTCTCTGCCGCCAATCACACAGCAGAGAATATTTACAGACTTGTGAATTGTAAATCGGTAGCAGTTCACCTTAACTGGAACATATTTTCTTACAGTTTGATATGCTCCTGCTCCGCCTTCAGCTCCACCACCACCTCCTCAAACTTCAGCTTCTCCTCCTCCAGAACCTGGTTCAGACGCTCCAGCTCCTGTGTGGAGGTTAATGATCAACCAAACAAGAGCAGTGTGACAAATCTTTAAAAAGAAAAGGATTCAGCGACAACATACAACGTGAAAGAATGAATCAAGTAGTTGTTAGACAGAAAATGATTCTACAACAGTTCTGATAATTTATTAATTGTTTAGGTCATTTATTTAGCAAAAACCTTTGATTTGCTTTGTGTTTCTGTGTTTTATATCAAAGTAAACTGAATATCTTTGGCTTTTGGTTGGTTGCTGGTTGGATTAAAGAAGATCTTTGAAGAAGTCATCTTGGTTTCTGGGAAATAATGACTTTAATTAATGGAAGTTTATGATTATTTGGAGATTCTGGAGTTTGAGCATTTCCTTATTGCTTTATCTGATTGCAAAGTGTCATTCTATTAGGATCATCCACTGCAGGCATTACACACAGCAAGCTGTGGTGAGGTAAGGTTTTTTTCTTTTTCTGTTAAATTTGACTTTAATCTCAGAGAATATTCCAAGTTATTTCCTCATAAATTGAGTTTGTTCTCATAAATTTACAACTTAACTCTTTCCACCTAACATACTGTTGCCGATATGCGATGACACCAGTGGAGTAAATGATGGTCTCACCTCTCTCTGTGCTCTCTGATGACCGAGCTCCTCAGTCTCTTCCATCAGTTTATCTGGAGAAAGAAAACAACTTCTTGTAAACGGTCTGAGCTTGTTAAGCCTTTAAAAAGCTGCGGTGACTTCCGTCCATGTTTACCCAGATACACCTGCTTCTCCTTGGCCAGCTGCAGCCCCTGAGCCTCCAGACTCTCGATCATGGCCTCCCCCAGCTGGGCGTTCTTCCACGTGCTGTTGGGTGAACGCAGAGATGGTTTGCCATGAACATATGTCCAGACATTCATGGTTCACTGAGGAGGAATCCTAAAGATTTTGGTTTCCATTCAAAAACATGTCGACTCTTGGTCGGATTATTATGTTCCCCAGAGGATGAATTATAATTTATAATTATATTGATTATAAACACTTTGATCCTCAGACTTTTCTTCAAGCTCCATCATCAAGTGAAAGTTTCAATCTGTCCAATACTTTGATTTATGACCAATTACCTGGAAAACTAATGACATTCCCGTCAGCCCCAGCTGTACTTTGTGTTTAGTGCTAATTAGCAAATGTTAGCATGCTAACACGCAAAACTAAGATAGTAAACCGTTTAGTTTACATGTAATGCTGTTAGCATTTAGCTCAAAGCCTCAACTCTTAGTACTGTTAAAAGCTGCAGCAGACAAAGTGAAACGTAATTTCAAAATAAATTGTTAAACATTCTTATTTTGGTTGTTTAGGATCAGATACCGTTACACATTATAGTGACAGCTGTGGTTGAGTCAGGCCGTTATCTCGAACATTTACAATTTAAAGTCTCGAGTTTGAGCTGAAAATTACCGACAACTTTGGGATCGTCTGATTTTTCGACAAACAAAAACTTCTGCTATCAAAATAATTCTATAAACCAATGACAATTCAAAGAAAGAAGCTTTTAGAGTCATGTTCTGTCTGCGTCAGTGGACTACTCACACTTTCCCTGACTCCTGCAGCATCTCCATCCACTGGACCTGCTCCTCCCCAGACTCAGCGGCCAGGACGATGGTGCCCTGGGGGACGGATACACAGAATTATACATCAGCAGATTGTCAATAAAGATCTTAGGCTGTAAAATATCTTTAGGCTGCTGACACAGTAAAAATGTATGTAACACTGTTGTGTCTCAGTGTGCAGTTAAGTTCACTCCATTATGTGTCCCATTTGTTGCAGGATTAAGCTGATGTCTCACGCCATTACAGTTGTAAAAGTACAGTTTAGAAAGAGCCAACTCCGCTTGGCTCTGCAAGCTGCTTTGTCATGCAATCAATTGTGACACTGTGTGTTGCTATGTGTGCATAAATTGGTTGTCCGTCTTAATAATGATACTTTAAACCTCTGTGAGGCTGATACAGTAATGGAGTGAATATGTGACAGGATCAGGGTCTCACAGTGAAGTCTTCCAGGTCGACCACGATGGCGAACGGCATGCCCATGTTTTCATTTGCTGACACCACACATCCTCCCAAAGGAATGACCCCCTGTGACAGAAACACAACACATTATTTATAATGTTTCTGGATAATACAGTTCAAAAAAAAGTGACTTAAACACATTAGTTATTAATCTAAATCCTCCTAAATCTTTATGTGCACGTAGTCATCCAATAAAACAACAGCCACACATGTTCCACCATCTTACAGGCGTTCAGAGAGGATGCAGCGGCTCACCTTGGGGTGGATGTTCAAGTACCGGTTGGTCTCAAAGTTTTTCCTCTCGCTCTCCGCATAGTAGAGCAGGAAGCTGTCTTTGATGATGAAGAATCTTTGTACCGAGGAAGACAATGAAAGCAGCAGTGAGTGAATCCTGAGGGGCTGAAAGGAACCAACGTCTGCCGATGTTCTCAACAAAAGCAGGTGACTTGTTTGATTCCCTGATACATTTTAGTCGATGCTCCTGGCTCTGTTTATATGTAATTATTTGATTCATCTCATCGATAACAAGTGACCTGTAAAGTTCCTCCTGTGAACGAGCTGCTTTTTGCTGCTGCGGTTGTATTTTATTCTTTAGATCAGTTGTTCTGATCTTTATTTATTGATCTTTATATCTTTACTCATCACATCCATGTCCTGTCATTGTGCGTTTTAAAGGAACTTTGGAATTAACTTGGAAACAATAAAAAGTTAGTAAGTAGCATTAAAGAAATACAAATGATCCGCAGCAGAGGCCCAGATATCCTGACTCTAAGTTCCAGCTTCAAAAACTCTGCATCCTTAATTTCCCATAATGCACCTCAAAAGCATCTTTCTTTAGACCCTCTTGTCGCTCTTCTTTTTCAAACTCAGTGCCTCCGGTTGATAACTTAGGTTTTCTGTTTAGGAAGACGTTATACGGCTGAGTTTTACTCTTGACGACGACCCTAATGTGTGAAATCAGGGACGGCTGTCAACTATTCAGCTCATTCAAAGTCTTTCAATCGGTCACGCACATCTAAATGTCATCGCACTGATTGGCAGATTTGTTTCAAACGAACGACTTCCTTTTTTTTTTTTTTTTTTTTTTTTAAAGCTGGTGACAAAAGTAAATACCCTGAAATCTCTCTTTGGCACGGGAAACCAAATGAGCGTTTACCGAACAAAACCAAATTCTTCTGACCTTTATGACACAAGCGATGGGAAATAAGAGTGTACAGCAAATGGACTCTCTGGATCCACCGTGTACTGTCGTTTTAACTGTTACGTAAACTAAGAGCATTATCATGACATAAGGTACCAATCCAGGCATTTTAACATCCAGAGCTACACTCGTATCAGGACACACTGACACTGGGATGTGAAAGGAACTGTGTGGAATCTAAACTTCTGTCACAAAAATCAGAATTTTCTGTAATTTGTGAGATTTTTCTAAAAGGAAAAGTCACTACAGATATTTTCAACTGCAGCTGTAAAGCAAATAAAATAGTTTTTGCCTTCAGAAAAGTAGAAAAACAATATTTTATACCTGTGGTGTCAAATCAATAGTCAATATAAGCATTTTTTTTCTAAATATATCACAGCAAAGATTCACTTTTTAGTATCGTGTGACACTCCTTGGAAGGAAAATATGACCGTTCTCTAAGAATATTCAGCATTTTATGTCCGGAACGAGAAAAATGTTCTCCACCATAAATGTCAACTCTTTAAATATTAAAGAAAAAGCAGATTTCCTTTGAACTTTACCCATTGTTTTTAAAGTTAATGTAGCTTTTGACGAGGTTTTAATACGCAGCAGAGAAGCAGAAGTTCTCCCCAGAACTGCAGTGTAAAGTGCTCAGTCTGAGGTTAAAAGATAAAGACCACCAGGTGACTCACACCTCTCCCTCACCTGCGGGACCACTTGGCCGATGGCCGTCCGAAGGGCCTCTTCCACAGCACCCCGTGCAGCTGCACCTTGGTGCTGATGTCCAACGCTTCAGAGTCCGACTGCTCCATGGACAACCAGGGCGAGAACAGAGAGTTTCTGGACGAAGATGAGAACATCCTCTCTGGATTTCCACGCCCTGGGAGGTTGGGCAAAACAAAAAAGCTATCAATAAAATAGAAAAAATGGATAATACAGTCTGTCAATAACAATTGGCTGGATAACACCCAATGCACAGGCACTGAGGTGCACGGACAGCTGCAGGGACAGCTTCAACACACAGACAGAAAAGTAACTGTCCCAATAACTCAGCAGGGTGGAATGATGCGGCCGTCAATACGCTCACCACGCCGGAGGCAGACTGACCGCACAGCAACGGCGAGATGAAACCAGGGATGACAGGGAGAAAGAGGGAGGGAGGAAGTGGAGCGGTACTGGGAGGCGATGGGGGAGGGAGGGCAGCTTTAGGAGTGAGTTGCTAAATCTGAAGCCGGTCAATACATTCCAGCCGGTAAAAGCTGTTATTCAGATTACTGGAGTCGCCGCGGTCTCCAGCTCTTGGCAGGTATGAACTCTCCATCACTCACTCCATCAGTCCATCACTCACTCCATCCGTGAATTAGTAGAACATCTGGGGCAGAGGCGGGGCTGCACGACTTCCTGCTAAAGAGGATGGAGAGTCAGAGCGGTTGACATGCAGCTCAGCTTTGTTGAGTATCAGATTAATTTACATGTGTTGGAGTGGACGGACAGCAGATTATAAAGATATTGACAGCTCAGCCTCAACAGAGAAGAGGATGAGCCTGCAGACTTTTTTTTTTCATGTGAAAAACATCCCGTCAGGATAGAAATGACTCCGAATCAACATTTAATTTAAGGGAAATCACACAATTTGTTAAAAATGTGACCGAACGGAATGATAGGAATTCATAAATTCTTACCTTGATGAATACAAGAAATCTTCATACATGGGAAAACTGCTTTCTATAAACTGGCATCAAATACATTAAAAAAGTGATGAATTCTACCTGTTAAAATCAACAGGTAGCCGACATGTTACTGCAACATTTGTTGCTTAAACAATCAAAATATAGGAGAACATTTTCACCAGTTAAAAAACTTTAATTTAGTCGTCATAAAACACATCGCTTTACAACTGATTTTCACAATCAAAAGTATGGAAATAAGGCAGACTCATTCTGGAATGACAGAAAAAGACAGGAAATAAAGATACACCCCCACTGAAACCATTACAAATATTGACTTGATCCTGAAACTCCACTGATCCAAAACCTCCACTCAGCCCCAACATGTGCCATCATCTCTTCCTGTTTGTGTGGGAGACGAAGCATCAAACTCCACCCGCAGATATCGGGAAGTTTAACCAGTTTCTACAGTTACATTTTCTCATTTTATACGCATGTTTGATCAAAGATGTTTAGTGCCGACACTCAAAATGTGATGGTCCAGTATTTTAAATGTTCATGATGAAGCTTCATATTCATTCATTAAAAAGTTTTAACCAACAATCATAACCACGATGCTCCAGTTAGTGACACTGGAATCACATCATAAAGACATGGGAAGATGTAAAAGCCAAATCTCGGCAGGGATCCTGATGCAACACGTAGATGAACTGGCACATGATGGGGCTGTGTGTGTGAAGCAACACAGTGGAGTTCTTTCCCTTTTGTACACACACAGCGTCCCACAACAAATAAAACAGTCATGCAGCTGCTGGTCTGCATGCGACCCGACCCTTCCTCTCTAAAACGCCGCGGCAGGTTTCTTCTTCTTCTCTTCTTATAACTTGGAATTAATTGAAGAGTTGCATTTGTAGAAAACGTTCAATTTATACATAAAACAGAGACTCCTCAGACCGTTTGACACCTCGTGTCAGAGCCGTCCATCCATGTCCAAAAATGTAAGATTTAAAAGAAACAATGTGTTTGTGAGTCAGCAGTTCCGTCTCACACGAGATCATGATGGTGATGATTGTGGAAAGAAGCAGTTACTCTGTACAGCACACATACATACATACATACATATACATGAGCAGGCACAGTGATACAGTAATACTCACAATATCCACCCGTCCTGTCCCTACTTAGGCTTTAATGCATCAACCGGTTACTGTTTTAGTTGTACCGAGGCAGAGATGGGGGGGGGGGCTGCGTTCCAGAGGGTCGATCTGAATCACATGACCAGCGCTTTAAGGATGAAGGCAAACCATATGAAGCCATTTCAGACTCTGCCACAACATTGCCCCGATTCCATGCGTACGATTATTGCTCAGGTATGATTAACTAATGAGTAAGCCAAAAAAAAGAAGAAAAAATTTGTTGAAAATCCTCCTGCCTGGATCTGTAACATGTTTGTTCTCCTGAGCCGATGGTCCCTAAACGGTTTCATCCACTTAATGCCTTCTGTCAGGCAAACTATTCATTCAGAGCTGCTGAAGTATCCCTCCGCCTCCAGATAATCTTAGTAACACTCTATACAATCAATTAAGACAATTCTATACAGATTTGTTTCCCCTCCGACTTCTATTTATAATTACTCTCAAAGTAAAACAGAACAAAAGATAAGCACGTCCAGAAACTAAAAATAAAAGTGACTGCTGCGCCGCTGGTCGTGTCTTCTCCTCGTTCAGGACTCGGGTTTGAACCGACGAGAAACACATCATCAGTATCCGCATCGTAGAAAAGCTTCCCGTCAGGCCAAGAAACAAAAGGCAAACTCAAGAGACAAAGAAACGTGCGTGACAAACATCTGGGTGTTTATTCGAGCTGATCTCTCATCCTGCTTCATAGTCGGCTGCCAGAAAAAGATCTCCGTCGGTCAGAAAGATAAGTCGGGAACGTTGACGACTAACTGTAATGTCAATAGAAATAGTAGAAGGGACATTCAAATCAATGTAGCAGGGTGGTCAGAGGGGCGGCCATGTTTATGTGTAGCGTTCCTATTCTATTTCTGTGGCGACGTCCTCATGGCGCCGTCTCTTCAGGGATCGCTTTCATCTTCCTACTATGGCACTTGAAAATCAGCTCACATCTATCTGAGTTGTTGCAAAGAGATTTACACTTTGTACAATTATTTTAAAAAAGAGAGTTTGCTTTCTTGATATCAGCGGCTTCTTCAAATCTAAATCTCACTGGGCAACTGCCACCTAGTAAAACATCCCCGTGTTGAATCCGGGTTGGTTCTTTGACTTTGAACGAGCACGACAATGCAACACTGAAAACTCCACGATGATCGAAATAAACAGCTACTGGTGTCTCTTAAAAAGGGCTTTCTGGTGGAATAAATGGACACATACAGCAGCTGTGAGATGTTTCGCCGTCAGATAAAACATTGTCGTGATCCTCCGTTGTCTCTGCAGCAACTCTTGATTTCCCTACCGTCATTCAGTCCCTGTTTAAGTCATGAGATGTCCCCGCAATGAGCACCAGTCTGGTCCGCGAGGTCCATCAGCAGACAACAAGCAACAAGACATTTAGATCCACAATGTTTGAAGTCTCTGTCTCCGCTTTCCCTCCCCTGTACACCTGTCTTAAATCCGTCCTGCAGTCTGGGTCTAATGGTGGTGACCAACAGAGAGCACCAGAGGAATGAGGCAGCCCAACACCAGAGCTCCCACCTCCACCTTGCTCAGTCCTTTCCCTCCGTTCCCTCCTGCGGGGGCGTGGCTGTGGCCGCCGCCCCCGACCTCAGGGAGGACGTGAACGGTGGCCACGTAGAGGAAGGTGCCAGCAGAGAAGAGCATGGCGACGCCGGTGGCGTTGAAGTCTGACAGGGCCTCCTTGCTGCTCTGAGGAGGGGAACACACAAAGACAGTGTGAGGGAAAATGTCAAAGGAATTGTTAAAAATGTGTTCCACCGAGAAAGGTTTTCCCTCCGTCTCTTGTAGAGAGTCCTGAAGTCTCACCGGTCAAACTGGTTTTAAATTTCAAAGTAAACAACAAATACACTTACTGCCTCCAGGAGAGGGTTGCATCATTTTTTTACCTGACTGAGGCCTAAAAAGGTGAGCATGGCCAGGACGGGCGCTGCCAGGGAAAAGACCAGGAGATGTTTGCGGATCCGGTTCCTCTCAAGACCAGCATGCATCAGGAACGACACCAGGCCGAACGCTGCCGGGGCCTGTAGACGACAGAGCAGTAGAGTTCACATAGGCTCACATGTGCTTAGAGCGGCAACTAACAATTCCATTTCTATTATCTTTTGATCTGCCAATAAATTCTCGATTTATCATTTGGTCGATACAAAGTCGAAATAATAGGTTAAAGTGCCGATCACAATAACCTTGTTTCAGCTCTACTGCTGCTACACGGTAAAGTACATAAATGCGTATCCAATAAAACTAGATATTTAAAAAGGATCTTGAAAAGCGCTGATCTACTGTACGAGATATGAGCCGTTATTACCTTGTGCAGCATGATGGCTACAAAGACAATGAGCTGAACGCTGGTCTGAGAGGTGGAGGCAGCAGCTCCGAGCGCCACTCCATCAGCTGGAGACAACAGACAGTCAATGAGACATCTTTCATATCTGCACAACATCTACGAGGTTCTAATATTGTGAAAACCGCAAAAAGATAAGACAGAGAGCAACTGTTACTGCTCAAACGCTCTGTTTTTTAATTTTCCATAAAGCAGTAATTCTTAAGATCAGTTCAAAATGGGATTCTCAACACGTAAACTCAGGTGTAGCAGAGAATAACAGTTAAGTGTTCATTAAATGTAACTACACAAGATCACATCTATGTATATCTATGTATATTAAGAAGGCCATTCTCTATCACAGCACCAATTTGTGATTTAGACTAATGAGGATGATTTGAACATAAAACGTCTTATAAAGCATCTTTATGAGACAATAAATATTCAAGAGCAGACCTACCTGCAGCGTGGACCACCAGACCCAGGGTGGTTGTGATTTTTGAGGAGGCGACTCTTGCTGACTCTGGATCTAAACCTAAAAAAGAAATGTATATTAGGTTTAAGAAATATATAAAAGTAGAACCAAGTAATAATGAGAGAACAAAGTCTCCACACTGAGTAAGAACTGTGTAGCGTCACATGTTGGGTGCATCTGGGAGTTTGGTCCGGAGAAGATTACCACTTGATGAGTCTAATGACAAAGCTGCTGTCACCAAGCACCATCCTCACAAACTAATTCTCCACATATACGAGGGCTTTGGGTGCCCTAACAGTTGTGCTTGCTGTCTCTTGTAACACTGACCTTCTGTGCTGTGCACATGAGAGCTGCCTATCTGGTCCACCAGCAGCATGAAGACGAAGCCCAGAACCAGAGACACTCCGATGCAGGCGTGAAGCTGCTCGTGACTGTGCTCGTGTTTCCCGCCGACACTCAGGGCCGCGTCCGCTTCACCCTTCGCCTCGGACACTTCCACGGCTCCAGCCTGGCCGTGGTTGTGGTGTGCACCTGCAGAAACACAGGTCGGGAGAGAGCAGGAGGAGGCAGGCACATGGGCTGTTAAAAAAGACCCGATTACTCTGCTGAATACAGTCAGAATCCATCACTAATCCACGGAGCATTCGCTTGAGACACAGAGGAACCTGTCAATACAAATGATCACAAAACAAACATCTATGTTTGACTAAGTTTGTTGTGCAAGAACAGACGTCCACTAGTTGTTCTTTACAGCTTGTTGAACTTTGTTCTGTTTGAAAAAGACAAACAGTTACAGTCTACTCAGACGAATGTTTTCATATTATATATTTTCTATTTCTGGTGTCTCCTCTGAATGCGTCTAAAATGCTGGAAAAGAGGCAAAGATATTAAAGTTTCTTTAATTAGACAGTACACAGTAGAAAACTGACAGGAAATGGAGGAAGACCCCCGAGGCCACCAGGACGCCCCTGGCCGGAAATAGTTTTAGTAAATAAGTAAACTTTATCGTTAAAGCGCCTTTTGAAAGACGACGTACAAAATGCTGTCCAATAAGTTTCAAGCACAGAGCTTTACTGATTTTAACTGATGTTAAACCAGCAAACAATTCCACGTATTTTTTGGAATAACTGAACCGACTGTGTTTAAAAGTAGCCTTCAGTATTACTGTGACACCATCTGAACACAGTGGAGCAGATCTACAAGATGACAAACTAGTCTTCAGGCTTTCAAACTTAAATGTGGACAGACTGCTGCTCCCACTGACATACTTTAGTTGCCTCAGTTTGTTTTTATTACATGTACCCGGGAATAACTGGAGAGCAGCACTGACGCTGAGTGAATTATCCTTAATAAAGGTGATTGAGATCTGATTGACAGCTGAAAAGATTTGTCAATTAATCAATTAGGAAACTTCAGAAATTCATCAGCAAAATATTTGTTTATCAATTCATTGTTTAAGTTAATTGATTAAGTGATTTGCTGGGTTTGTCTTTGATATATCACAATACATTTGGTCTACATGGTATTTTTGTATTTTGGATAAAAAAAGCAATTTCAGGAAGGTTCCTTTGGACTTTGTTATATTGCGCCAGACATTATTCATGATTTTCTAACAATTTATTGACTAAAACAATCAAATTGTAGCCTAATTACGCCAAATTACTGGTTCAAACATAATGAAATGCAACAACATCTTCATCCAAGAGAGTTAGATAAACAGTTCCTAGGTAGTCCTTTAATACATTTGTGAATCAGTGTCTTGGTGACGTCTACCTTCCAGTATTTCTGCATAAAGTGCGTGGACCCCCTCAGGAATAATAACAGCCAGAGCAGTCCCACACAGCAGCCCTGCTCCCAGCACAGTTATCAGCTTCAGCTTCTCCTGGAGAAACACAAGCACAGAGGAACCATCAGCAAAAGTCTCATTGTTTTTAAGCAATGGATGATCTGATGACTGCACAGAGTTCATGCAATCACAGCTTCTTTAGATTAACAGGCACCGACAGAGATGAACTTTTACCTCCCTGTAAGTTTTGAAACATGGTCAAAGTTACTGCAAGCTTTCAGGAAGCACATTTTTAAAGCTTATTGTGTCTTAGACTTACCTCTGAAAAGTTGACTGCTAAAGGTATCGTCCCGGCCACATAACATCCCACTAACATCGCAAGAGACAGCAGGCTGATCGAGCTAAAATCGTCCATGACTGCACTTTTTTATCTTCAGCTTAATCTTCTAAACCATCAAAAACAAACCTGCAGCTGTACCTTTAACACGGTATTTTATATACTGCTTGACAAGTTTAATAACATGCATTCAACCTGTAGCTGTTGGTTAAGAACAGTTGTTGAATAAATGCATAAATACACGTCCCTCTGTATCTGGTATCAGTTCAGCTCGCTGCAAAACATCCACGTTAACCAACCAACGCTAAACTGATACGCTACAGCCTCTGGCCTCGTTAGCAATGCTAAGCTAACTAGCTTCGGTAACTGTCCGGCTCTCAAAATTCACAAATGATGAATCCTGACACGTTAACGAATGATTGCAAACATCCGTCACCGTGCACTGTCTATTCCAGATTCAACTGTCACTCAATAATAATAATAATAATGCAACTTGCAACCGACTTGGTTTTTGCGGCTAGCTAACGAACTGGCTCACGGTACATCCGCTTGTTTGGTGTTGCAATAAAGTGCTTCCGGGTCACAACTCATCTCCTGAACCCTCAACCTGTCGACGCAAACCTGCCACGTATCCGACAGTAGGAAGTAGAATGACAAATGTTTGTTTTTGTTGCTTAAAAATAATAAACAGAAGCAAACAACAAAATAAACAAGATATAAGCATGGCCGTGTTTAGCTTTGATATAGATTGTTTTTATTTTATATTAATTAATGTATATAATATATATCATTTTTCGTGGACTAAACGTGGATTAAAATCTGAAAAAGATTAGTAACAGCAGTTTAAATGTATAAGTACAATTAAATCCCCAACTGGAAGAACATTTTACGAAATATTCAAAGAAAATGAATAAACCGTTTCAGTATATTTATGAGGTCATAATAGAATATCTGTAATGTTTTAATTAATTTTAAATACAAACAAATGCTTCTATTTTGTAAATTATGCATGAATGTGTTATTTGTCAGGTATAAAAAAAATTTGTAAAACAAAGACCAGTTTAGTGACGAATATTACAAAATCTAAACTTTTATTTTGGTACATTTTCCCTGTTTCAATTAAGGTGCCTGCAGGGAGAACAATAGTTTGTAAAATGAGAGATTATGCTAATCAAATCTATTTATGGAGGTTTTATAATTTGAGAAGTTACTCGATATTGTAGTTACTGTTTTGTAAAGAACCTATTTTGGAGAATAAATACAAAAAACAGTGAGGGGGAATATAAAGAAGAAAAAATAAACTTTCAAGCATAAATGCATAAAAAATCCACCAAAATGAAGATAAACTATATAGTTAGAAATACATTAAAGAAAGACAGACAAACAATATTTTATTAAAAAAAAGCATATTTATTAGTTCACACAATGGAGCAGTGCCTCGACACGACAACAGTAAATCAAAGCAGACTGAGTCCAACAGTTTGGAGAACAGGTGGGGGGATAGCAACCATCTTTTGCCTGAACAGCTTCAACAAAGGAAAAAAATACAACCAAAGTTTCATCATGCAATATGTTTGTGCAAACCCTTTCTGTTCACAGCTCAGACTTTCCCTTCCAAACACACACACACACACACACACACACACACACACACTCAAGGCAGCAGCTCCTTGCTGATGGAATGGAGGGCGTATGGGCACGTTGTTTACAGTCTGCTGGACCAGAAAACTGTCGCCAGCAGAACTGTGATCTTAGGAAGTCAGACGGAGAGACACGTGTTCTTTATTTCACCAGACCGATCTTCTTTGCTTCTGTTTCATATATCAACAGCCTCCACATTTTTACTATGAAGACTTCTGCTTCTTCGTCAAGAACCTAAAACACAAACAGGTTGGTTAGACAAACTTTAAATCAAAACAGCTCGATTAATATATGCAATGAATCTGACTTGTTACATGAAAGTTACATGCATTACTTAAAACCAACTGTGTAACAATGTAGCAGGCTTAAGCTGCTTCACCTTAAATAATAACCGACTAAGACCAACATTCTGCAGCCCCGCTACTGAAGTGGATGTAGTCGTTGTGACGTCACCCAATTGTTTGTCAAGTTTTCTCTAAATGGAGCATAATTTACTAAATGAACATCATGCTGTTTTGAAGAAGACTTGTAACTAGAGATTGAGACCATAAACTCATGTTTACAATGTTTACTGAGGTAATAAATCAAGAGATAAGTAGAGTCATTTTCTCATAGACTTATTTACAACCAGACTTTTTTTGGCAATCGGAGGAGTCGCCCCCTGCTGGTCAGTAGAGAGAATACAAGTGTAAGGCTCTTCTGCATTGGCTTCACTTTTATCTCATTTTTATAAACTCATTTATCGGAACACATTTGATGTGTGTTAATATATTACACCAGTGTGTTTTTTAGTGACTGATATTCAGATTCAAATAATCAGCAACTCCCATAAAAGATCCATTTGAAAACACTTTGTCTTTGTGCTTCAACTTACCATCGCAACATCATCAAGAATACCCTGAGGGGTGCTGTGTGCCATCACCTGGGAAGAAAAGAAAAAACACGGTTAAAATAAGCAGCTGAGCAACGCAACAAGTTTCAAGACGCAAAAATATCAATGGCTAACGAATATATTCAGTAGCTTTCATATTTTCAACAGGAACCAGCGTTGTAAATGAAATAATCACAAACCTTTGAACAGACAAAATCAACCAGCGTGGCTTCCTCCTCGCCGATGTATTCGATAATCTTCTTATTGATCCACGGTTTAATGCGACGATCCATCAGAGTCTAAAGAAAGAAAATTCACAACAACACACGGCCTCATTTTCTATTATTGATCATGTTATGGCAGCAAACAAACAGGGCAGAATATCAGATTACTACACTTGATTTGACCTTTTTAATATTGTTACATTTTAAAGTTAATGAAATTGTTGCAAAGTGAAATGCCAGAGGCTCCCTACCGAGTCGACCATGGTCCAGTCCAGAGGGTAGGTGAAGAGCTCGGGCCTGGCTGTGGGGATCTTCTCAATAAGGCTCTTTATGTGCTTGCGTTTCTCCTCTGTGTTGACGCTGCCTTTGGCCCCTGGAATTTCAGCCCCATCCAGCCCCAGACTCTTGTCGTCGTCGCCGTAGTCCAGCGGAACCAGTTTCCTTTTGCGAGGCTGCTCGTCGGCCTCCTCCTCATCAAACTTGTTGAAAACACTTTCCACGGTCGCCAGCTTCTTTCGCTTTCCGACGCTGAGCTGGCTGGGACTGTTGGTGGCACCTGGAGAAGAGAAACACCAGTTATTTCTAGCACAAAGCAGCTGAAGAATTAGATTCCTCTGTGTCCTCAGTTTGCTACTGTGTACGTACCAAGTTTGAGACTGAGACCAATCTTGGGCCGAAGTTCCTCCGGAGGTTGGACCTCAGGGGTGTTTTCGCCGGGAATGATGATGCCGCAGGGAGATTCGTTGCCGGGTGTGTTTGGAGTCACGTTCCCACTGGCAGAGGACACTGAGGGAGCGGTGGTGATTGGTCGCATGATGGGTTTGAGCTGCGGCTTGGCCTCCTGCGAGTCCTCCCCATCGTGGTAGTCATCTTCCTCGCCTACTTCCTCTTCGTCATCATCCGAATGCTGCTGGGGGACTCGGGGCATCGGCTCCGCGGGCCTCCCTGAACTTCTCTTCTCCCGATCCCGATCCTTGTGAGCCTTCTCCTGGATCACGTCCTCCTCGGGTTCAAGCTTCAGAGGAGGCTGCCGTCTGCGCTCTGCCTCCTCCTCCATCTGCACAAACATACACAACACACCAACGATGACATCCTGCTTTTCATACTGTGTCAGCAATCAATATTTGGTGACATTTTAATAAGACTACTAGATAGAAGCTACTTTGTGTTTGCTTCGGTTTTAGTCAGACTTTGGATTCCATTATTTTAAATACAAGGACGAATCCCTCAGTGTAATGATCTATGGTTTCATCCAGCTGCTCCTTTACTTCCAATGTTTTGTTTTAGTCTGGACACGCATTCTTGTTTCTGGTTCACAACTAAGACATCAACTTGCTGCAGAAGGCCGAGTATAACGAGGTTACTGAACGGAATGACTGACTCACCCTCTGCAGCTCAGCATCGGGGTCAGGGTGGCCTTCAGCCAGAAGCCTCTGTCTGATCTCCTCCAGCTCCTCTTTCTCCCTCTTCCGGTCTCGCTCGTCCAACTCCGTCTCCTTTTCTCGGTCACGGAGTCGCTTCTGCAAAGCGCTGCCCCTGAGGATGAGAATGAGAAGTCAAGTGACGGACAAGTGTGCACCTCACACTTCTAAATGTGCAGCAGGATAATCACCTGTAGTATTTTGGGTCGTCTCTGTCGTCGTCATAATCTTCAAGGAATTCTTTCAGCCTTTTGGCTTCTTTCATCTGAATGTAAACACAGTTTAACAATTAGTGTCTCTGCATAAATCCAGCCACTCATCCTCACATATCTGGTGATAGAAATTGTGTAACAACAAATAGGATTCATTATTTGATATGGTGTGCGTTCACCATTTCACGACGCCGCTCATCCTCCCTCTCCGTTTCTTTGCTGTAGTCACGAGCCTTCTTCCTCTCCCGGATCTCCCAGTTTTTCAGGCGCTTTAAGAAGAAAAATAATTCAACCATCACTCAGACATCAAATCAATTCTCTTGATGTGCAATTATTTGAACTTTTGTTTAATTGATGAAAATCAAAATGACAGAAGAGATGTCATATGTACTTCTTGGTAGGCTGCCTCCTTGTCTCTAAGCCTCCTCTCGAGTCTCCTCCGTTCGTACACGTCCTCCTCGTCTTCCTCGCGGTCTCGTTTTTTATCTTCTCTAGTCCTCTCTCTGCAAACGACAATTAAATGAGTCGAACACCAGGAACACTTTTATGTTAAAGTAACAACAAGTAACACAAAAGGTCAAGCACTTATTTCACTCGTAGACAGTCTTACTGATCTGGTCTTAGCCAAAGCTGTATTTTTACTACACTGGTTTAATGATTTGATATCTGCATGAGCCAGCACACTTGATTTCTTCAGGGTTCGTACAGCTGCAAGAGTAAAATGGTAAGAGTAAAACTTCAGCACTTTTTAAGATACCTAAACCAAGAAGTTCCAGAACTTAGCACTAAAACTTGTGTGCTTTTAGTGCAGATAGAGGCTAAATGCTAGGAAAGAGGATAATTATCCGTTTATTATCAAATGGATTAGTTCAGTATTAGTTTCCTTTTGATGCACTCTCTATCGCAGTACAAATACATTGAGGAGTTCAGAGGAAGTTTCTCTCCGACTGACCGTGATCTGCTGCGACCTTCACTGACGTCTCGACTCCTCTCCCTCTCCCGCTCCCTCTCTCGCTCCTTCGTCCTCTCCCGTTCGCGATCCCTCTCCCGTTCGCGGTCGCGATCTCGGTCTCTTTCCCGCTCCTTGTCCCTCTCTCTCTCCCTTTCCTTCTCTTTCTCGCGGTCGCGGCGCTCCCTCTCGCGCTCCCGCTCTTTGTCCCTCTCTCTCCTATCCCTCTCGCCCTCCAGTCGCTCCTTTTCTTTCTTTCCTTTTTCCTCCTCAAGTTTCTGCAGGAGCCCAACAGGAAGAAAAAGGAAAAGAACGTGTTAACAGATCGTCAATACCGAAAACATCATACTAAAATACATGAGTACACGTGTTGTCAGCACTGTAAATGTTTTTGACTCCCTTGGCCAGACATGCTCACATACTGCCATGACTCATTGCCTTGGAGAGGCTGGCTGCTGCAAGTGAGGAAGTCCTCTTAGCTCTGGTGTTTCCTCCAGGAAGAGTGGTCCTCTGTTTGAGCAGGTTTAATACAGATGCTGCTCAAGTCAGGACACACTTACTTCAACCCATAAATTACAGGTCAATCTTGAAAAACACCGATAAACTTAAGGTTATCCGAGTTACGGCAAGAGAGGAAGTTAAAACCATCTACCAGTTAAACTTTTCTACACCTTTTTTTAGCTCTAAACATTTACACTATTGTATTATGTGGTGCATAGATTATTTCCTGTCCTGGCAGCCGTCCCCTTTCTCACAAATTGATTTGTTTTTCCCATATGTAACAGGTCAACTTGACTTCTGCAGTACCTCTGCGCTCTATGGTGATCTGAGATTACGCTCTGTTAAGAGGCCATTCCAATAAAAACTATACATTCTGGTGAAACCCATATCCGCCCACTTTCAAAATCAATGTAACATACTGTAATAGACTTGACCTGATGCAAGAGATGCTGTGGGTTAAAAGCATCATGTCTGACACGTAGAGGTTTAATGGTACACATTAACGTAATGCTTTATGCAGTCAGCTTTACTTGATACCATACGTTCATGGGTTTCATTCAAAGTGGGGCTACTAATACTACACTTAAGATAAAAGTATTTACCAAGTGCTGAGTCAGCTTTGAACCATTAGGTCAACAAGTTCTAACTGTACACTTAAGATCACCACTATATAAAGCCCTGGTTTGGTCTTACCTTTAGGTGCCAAGTGGATTAAAACAAGCCCAGGCTTAACATGGCAAATGGCCCAACTAAGTGAATTACATAATCTACTCCCATGTGTTTTCTACATGGTCATACAAGATGCAAGGGAGGAGCTCCAGACTGCAATTCAAGTGCTCCCTCAGTGTGGGAGTCCTGTGTGCAGCAGAGTGACAGACGGGAACTGGGAGCACATTGTGTTCGTTGTTTTTCATGCTAAATGAGACCTGGATCCAGATGTTTGAAGGTGTCATATGTGTGACTGGATGTTTAACCTGGATGTATTTGAACTGCCAAAAGATGCTAAATGAATTTTAGTGTGAACGGACCATAAAGTTCGTATCGTATTATCGTTGCTTTCTAACTGGTTGACATAGAAATCATGGGATTTTCTACAGACCGTTTTGGAGCTATTGGTGTGCAACTCACAGGTGATGAACTACGGTTTCAGCACTTCTCTGCCCCTACACATCCTACAGGCTACGTGTGGGAGGAAAAGCAGGTCATGTGTAAAGTCAAAATAATCAGAAAGAAAGAAAAGCTCCAAACGACACCTGTGAAGCAGTTCATCTAATGTTCATCCACATAAACAACATCAACAACAACTTTAAAGTCATGTCTGAAACAAGTCAGATATTTCATTATGCCACAAAGAAATGAGTGAAACAGTCTTACCTGCAGGTTGTCTTCGAGTGTCTATTTGGCCTCTCCAACCCAATCAGTAATATAAAAACCTCAACCGAGTCAGGCCCACATTTCACACAGTCTGATTTAACAAATGTCTACGAGCCGTTAGTGTTTCGAGCTGTTGGAAATGTGGGTCTGACAGTTTAGTGAAAAAGAAAGGGAGAGGTCTGAACTGCCTGTTGTATGTGAGCTTTATGTTCTACATTATTTAGCTTTTTGTCTGATTTGGAGGGAGAGCTTTGACACACATAAGCAAAGCCACAGTAACTTACAAGTTGTCATTTAACTATCTGGCTCTAATTGTATTGTTTTCTATCTTTTTTCCATCCTACAACTTACCTCTTGTTCTACAATTCCATTTATGGAAAAACGCTGATTTTGAGGCTAGTTTGAAACCACTTAAGAAACTAAATCAAAGATTCAAACACTGTTACAGTGGTGGACTATATTAAGTCACATGCAAACTAACAGATGTTGGTAACCACCATACTGCATGTCCGAGATATCCCTGTTGTATGGTTTCAAGTTCCAGGTTTCTCTTTGTTGATGGCAGTGTGTTTGGCATGTGATATGCATCGTGTATTTTTAAGACGATTTTCAATTCATTTTTGGGCACCTGCAGTTTTGGTTTATGTGTTTTGGCCTCTTTTGAACCTCACGTAAACAATAATAATTTAATGTGATTCATACATTAAATTCATTTTTCTTTTATTGTTTACCTAATGGGGTGGGGGTAGGGTGGGGTGGGGGGGACTAAGACACAGAAAAGATGAAAAAAAAGTTTGCAAACAAAAGAAGAGAAATAAGAAATAAAAGCACTTACCTTGAATGTCTTCAGACCACAGAGTGCTGTGGAGGGGCGCTCCCTGCTTTAGTAATACTACAGGCTGCAGTTCAAAACACTGCAGTGGTTAGGCTCATTCAGTCTGTGTGTGTGTTCTTCAAACACATAATTTATCACCAGAGGACCTGCAGAGGTTCACTGAGCTGCCCCGCCTTCTGAGACCTGACGGAGGGCAAGTGCAACATGCTACGTTCGGACATCACTGGCAATGTGTGCATTCCAACTCCACCACTTTGTTTCCCAGAGTCTACATGTAAATAGAAATACTGCAAGTGAACTGAGAGCCAGTTGCCCCTCTGCAAACCCTCCAGAAGGGAGCGCCCAACAAGAGTAAAGAAGAAGTGAAAGATCATACTTACATCCTATCCTCGCAACTTTTTCCAAAGCTGAGATTCTGAGATTCATCTTGCTCTAGTCACCAAATGAACTCTACCACATTGGTGGGGTTTAATCAATAGATTAGCTTTGGATGGAATTTAACATTGTGTCCATGCACTCTGTGTGATGACTTTCGCTTGTGCAGAGCTAAATCCTTTAGTCTCAAATCAGTATTATGAATAAGAATAACTTGTCCAATTTGGAAACACTGACAGATACTATGAAACCATCTATGAGTGGTTGATGTAGTATTTGAACACTTTAAATAGATACTATAAAATATTTGTATCAACATCTACTACTCTCTATTCCTTTAATGTTTGTATTTGACTAACTGATCTATATATTAACACACTACCTCCTTACTATAGTTGACAGTAACAGAACAGCCTTATGGAGGAATTACCAGAAGTTATATAAATTGCAGCTCCATTTGCTGTTGAGGAATTTCTAATTACAAATGTGGAGGATTTCTTCTCGGAAACCTAAATTACAGCGCAATAACAGCAGGTTGATACATTACCTTGTGCGTGTCCCGGAATTTACTGATCTCTCTGGAAATCAAGTCTCTCTTGTCATCCTCCATCTCCATGGCATTGATATCCTCCTTACACGAAGGAAAGAAAGACAAGAAAACACACACTAAGAACTCAACAGTTACTATGAAAAGCTACAAATCACACAACATCTTCATTAGGACAACAATACCTCCTCTTTCTTCTCTTTACGCTTCTTGTTGCGAGGTTGACTGTCAGGGTCCTGCGAGGGAGCATTGAGCTCACTCGCATACTCTCGGATGAGGACTTCTATTGCCCCCTTTACAACCTGGTCTCGGCGCTGGGTTTCTTCATCGATGACCTCCTCCTCATCGTCGTCCCCGTTCTTTGACCCACCACCGGCTCCCTATATGTTACAGCCAGAAGAATTAGGCTTATGAACCCAATATAACAAAAGTATCACCGTATCAGAAACGTTGGTCTTTCACTCAGCAGGTGAACGGCATACCCCATTGGCACTCCGCTTCTTGGCCTTCCACTCATCGAGCTGGGCCTTGGTCTTGGCATCGACCTTCACCAACAGCTTCTTATCGCCCAAGAGCAACTCGTGCAGAAGTCTGAGGGCTCGTAGTGTTGATTCAGGCTCCTTATACTCACAGAACCCAAAGGCTTCCAGGAGAGGAGAGCGGACAGAAAGTTAGTTCGACAGATGATAACAAATAAACAGATAACTTTATCTACAGGGAAAACATATCGACTATACCAACTGTAAAACATGGTGGGGTAAGTCCTCTTAAGTGGCATTACAGTGTCTCTATAATGTAGTATCTGGTACAGTAACGTGTATTCACATCATAAGAAGGTTTAAATGTGTTGAGCCCTTTTTACCTTGAAGTTTCCCAGAGGCACCTTGGACCCTTTTCCAGCTTAAAACGATACCACATTTCTGTTTTGAAAGAAAACAGGAGTTATTTTTTATTTCAGAAAACAGATATATTTAATTAATGATCAATGAATCGCTGATACAGAAGTTGACACAACAGGGTTTGTTTATCTCTGAGGCAGATGTTCCCTGGGATTTGTCACTGGTTATGTGAGATGAGTCATGAGCAGCTATAATCAAAATCTGTTATGTCGGCAAATGTTCTGCTGTAAAAAGGGTTTGTATGAAAAAGGGCAGTCACTATAAAGACTTTCATGATACACGGTGCTGCATACCTTGATGATGTGTTCGAGGGTTGAATTGTACAAACTGTTGCTGCCATTCCACTCTCACAATATCTATACCTTGAACTGCATTTGAACATTTTCTGATTAACAAACAGGCAGAGTGGGAACACACACTGTCAACTCACCGCTAGAAGCTGTCTGACTAACATGTCTGATGCTTTTTCAGAGATGTTTCCTACAAAAACCGTGGTGGTGGGGCCGCTGTTGTCGTCTATGTCCTTCGCTCTGATGTTAGGCTCCTTCTTTAGAAGCATCGGTTTATGTGCGACAGCGACTGTGGTCGGGACAAGAACCTGCAACATGATATTACATTTTAGGTATTGAAGTAGTTTGATTCAACAAAAGAAACAGTGCAACCATTACAATAATCTGATAATAATTTTAAGGGTCAGTTAAACTGCCTCGGCTGAGCAGCAGAGTTGCCCAGAACAAACTGCATGAACGGAGCTAAACTGATAATGTGTAAGGATTATGTATTCTCTAGCAGGTCATGCACAACAGCTGATGCTTAAATTGGCATTTAGTACAAAGTCCTGTTTCTGACTCACTGTGGTTGTAGGGGTCACGACACCCATATGAACCGGGATCATGGGAGTACCTGAAAATAGAAACAAAATACAATAACTGAACCATGTATTGAAGCATACAACTACAGAAAATCATACATTCTTTTGTGTGTAATTACCCAAGGTAACAACCAACTAGGTTTACCAAACAAATGCTGGCAGCTGTCTTGCCATTTGTTCTTGTAATAAGTATAATTTGTGATTCTAGGTATTATATTTAACCTATAGGTATGTATATATATCGTTCCCTTAGCATTTACAGGTACAGTTCACTAGCCTTTATAAGTTTATTGGTCCATTTAATTTTTCAATTCAATTGGAAGCCCAGTAGCCACAGCTTTTGTTACAGAAACAATGTCACCTTGCTTCTGTTCTTTCACTCTCGCAGAGCTAATCTGAATTGTTGAAGTGCAAGACAACAAAAAGGAACTCCTTACACCTCGGGTCACGTATCCACAGGCTGATTTACAAACACACACAAACAGCTGTTTCTGCTGATGTGAAGGATTCTTACCTGGCGGGACACCCGGGGCAAATCCCGCATACTGAGGAGGTGGGATCCTGGGAGGTAACTGCGGGATGCCGATCTGCTGGCGGTTGAGCGGAGGAGGGTAAGACATCCTGAAATATACAGGAACCTGCAACGAAGAAAGGATGTTCAACCAAAAGACCACAGGGAAAACACTGTTGGCGCTTTTCAGGGTTAAATTGGGTAATGTCAAGTTCATCATAGTATAACATGTTTACCATGGATGGCGCAGCTGACTGGCTAACGTTACAACCTAACTAGGTGTGATCCTTGCTTAGTCGAAAAGTGGGCTTTCCTCCACGTTTGACGTTAACTAGCTAAATTAGCTCAAGCTAGCTTAGCACATTCACTGTGTGGCCTTGCTAGTTCACGTTAGCTGCAGCGGTCATGTGAGAATTTACTCACCTGTTATCAAGTGTAAAATAAAGCCCAGCGTCTGATAATACTATGGTTTATCCGAGTAAAAGCCCATTAAATACGGTTAACAGAAAAACGTTACACTAAAGATTAGCGTAATAACTGCCACCGGCGCGCAGCAAGAACACCTATGGATACAAATAACTGGGACCTATTCTTTTCGCAATGAATCATGGGATACCATAGCTTCACATTTTTTGGTTTTATTGCCCTAAATTCGGTCCGTCAGGCAGTCACTCACGCGATCACAGGCACTTTTTTATACAATAATGTATTATATTATTATGTATTATTTTTCACACAGTCAAACAAAGATCCAGACAGCACGGATATTGCCAAATTACAGAACAAATATAAGAAAATTAGTAAATGGGTTACAAAACATACATATGAATTACATTGTATACATTTTTGTATACATTAGTACAATGTCAAAAGGAAAGAAAAAACAGCGTCTATGACTTAGCAGGCACCCTTTCTGCAGCAGGCCAACAAGACCACCAGGAAAATAATCAAGGAAGGGTTGCCAAATATCATGAAACCTCTGTAACACTATGTGACTGAGGGAGCTTTCTCTACTTGAGCCACTTGAACATAATGCATCACCTTGCTAGAAGCATATGTTTACCCATACAAGTCAGCTGTCCCTTGAAATAAAGATAACTGCCCTGTAGGTATATTCAGGAGAAACAAGCCTTGTTCTTTACTGTTATCTAAATAATTGAGCAAAGCTCCATGGCAATATTTTTCCAGTCTCAGGCACCTCTTTGCTATCAGTTCGCTCACAAGGTAGACCTTCCATTACATCCTGGTAATGCAGCCCCCCTCACAGGTTTGGTATGTCTTTGGCCTGTTGGTGACTAGTTAGTTCATAAGTGCTTCCCCTGTAGCACTTAAGCTGAACAAGATTTCCTGAGGGACTTCTAAAGTCTAATCAGCTTTTTTGTATACTTAAAAAAAATCTATTAATAGAGTGAAATATACTATTGAAAAATACTTGCAATAAAGTGTCAATGATTAATTCAAGTCAAAACAAATGGTCTAAAGACGAAAGATGGCTGATTATATTTCCTTAATTTGCCTTAAAAATGTATTTGGCAGATGCTTTTATTCAAAGTGACCAATTATAAATAGAAGGTATCAAAATCACACAGCATGCCATGGAAATTTGTTCATGAAAATGGGATTTGTAATAAATAGACTTAACATGCAAAAACCAAAGAAATACAACCACAACGCTGTAATGATGACCCTTTAACCATCTATAACCTAAATATTTGAATGAGTAGATGTTGCAGGCTATACACAATCTGTGAGGTTCAATTCAAAGAAAAATGGTCCATATGCTTAATCACAATAACCCAGACTGCAACCCCTGACATACTTTGTAAATCAAATAGTAATGTCTAGGACCTAGATTGGACTAAATTGGAGTCGGAGGGGGAGATTTGTATACACCATGAAGAAAACTTTGCCTGACAGGCCTCACTCAGGGTATATAATTCTAATGCCCTTATGAAATTCTCGGAATTCTCCGTTTCCAACGCTTGGTGGCGCCAAAGGCATCGTCAGTACCCGATCCGTTCCGCGCATGTGCACACCTACCACCCTCCCTCTGGTTCTCCAACATGCTCTGTGGGGCCCTAGCTTGAATCTTAGCCTACTACGGGAACAAAAACGCAAGCTGCCGTGGCTGAGTCGCTCTTACCCGGCGTATCTAGTTCAAAGCGCCGGTTAGCATCATAGCTAGGCTAACGTTAGCGTTTAGCAGCAAGTAGCCAATCAGAGGCAGAGTAGGGGCGGGTCTTCTCGCAAGGATTCTGGGTGGGCGGTCCCGCACATGCGCAGAGCAGATCCAGCAGCTGGAACGGATCGGGAACTGACTTGTTTTTCTTTATTGTTAAAGCGCGAGACCCATAGGGCTTTACTTTCCCGGACGTGTGCGTAGCTGTACTGTACACACTTTTAATGTGTATATATGAGTTATTACATATTGATGCCATTTAGGCCTTTTCCACTCAATGTATCCGACTTGATTAAATGGTAGATTAAGATAATTTACAGGATTTTAGATTCTAGTTCAAATTAGCTGTGCCTCCAACAGATAACCATTAAATCCAACGTACACATTAGTGCATCAGTAATAATAATGTATAAACATGTAACATATATTCTGCATGATGAGTAGCCTAGTTGTACTTTTGACTGGCCAAGTAGCCTACATTTAGCTGATAATACCTTTAATTGAAGGGATTAATGGAGTTGTTATAGTGTGGTGTAGCAACATTTTATGTAACAGGTTTAAATAGGCGTTGTTCTTTCGCGGGACACTAGAAAAGACACCTTAGAGTACAGAAACAGAATATTACAGACAAACAACCAGGTCAAATGCTATCATGTAAACAAGTCTTTAACTCCCACTTGGCTCCGTCTGTGGAAAATTTCCACTTAGATTAGACTGCAGTAAAGTGATTCACAACAAACAAGTCACGTAAAGCACCTGACACGCAGGCCACGCCCACAGAGCGAACCCACATATTTCGCCGTTTCCCATTGGCTACTCTGAAGTTGTGTCACACAACCTGACGTCAGTCGCTGTACATGAAACAGGACACCCTGCCATCAATAATAAGTTTATAACTGGTCATAAACGCTGAGCGTCACTGATAATTCCAAATACAAAGTTTCTAAGAAAAAAAGTAAGGTTAGATCACCTCTACTATTCTTCCAAGTCCTCCTCTTCACCCGCTCATGAATATTAAGTAGCTGTAGGAGCAATAAGACCAGCCTCCTGCACCAACCAGGTCACATTAAGCATCCACCAGCGCAACATCTACAGCGCTTTCGTCAGACTTTTTGGGGCAGCGTCTGGGATCGAACTGATTTGCACTGGGACGATTCGGATTTTTCTTTTTTTAAAGAAAATAAAAATGGCTTTGAGAGGACCTCTATCCCGTCTTCTCAGATCTCAACTCGGCCACGCGTGCCAACAAAGCAGAGCTCAGTCCGTGGCTGTGCTGGGAGCTCCGTTTTCAAGAGGACAGGTAAGAAATTATTTTGTCCACATATACATACATACATACATACACACACACACACATATTATTAATCTTCATTTTCAAATAACATCTTCAGCACTGAATAAACTCCTTTCTGTTTATTTCAACACAGAAAAGAGGAGGCGTGGAGCACGGCCCTAAAGTCATCAGAGATGCGGGGCTCATCGAGAGGCTCTCCGGTTTAGGTAGGTGACAAACGCGGGGATAATAAAAAGGAGCAGCCGGTGCAGCGGCGTTATGTAACAGTGGACGGGTGTAACACGCAGGTTCACCGCTTTAAACAGATTTACCGTCTAGCTGTTGTTCTCTCAGCCAGCCCGTTACATCATCCGGAGGCTGTAAATATAAACATCCGACATGTAGCCGGGGAGAGGCGCACGTGCTGTAGAGAACAAAGTGATCCCTTTTTATTTTTTGTGGGGGAATATTATGAGATAACATGACATTGAAGTTTTTAAATGGACTATACATCTCCATTTAGTAACAGTGTTTTGTTGTTTTGTGTATATTTTTGCAAGAAGCAGAACGATGAAACAATGGCGACTAGTGTCATTCAGTCCCCGCGGGAACATCTAAAACGATTGTCCATAAAAGGGCAAGAATAGCATAAAGTAGACCTTCCGCAGGGTCACTCTGTGAGTCGACACGCGTGAGAGGACATTACATTCGTTTATTCAGTCTGGGTTAGTCATTCTTGCCTCCGGCACATGGTCTGAAGGGCGCAGGAAGAGGACACGCTGCGGATGTATTTCCACTCCTTCGTCACCACAGACTTTCCCCCACAACATGTTGCCAAATAACAACTTTTTAAAATCTTCCGTTTCAACGGACACGTAGACATCCTCGTGCGGGAACACAGAGAGAGACAGAGAGCTGCTTTGAATCTGAAAGAGGACACCTTAGACTGAAAGAATCTGTTATTTATGTTGGCTCGGCAGGTCATTGAGGCTGCATTGTGATTGAAATGTCACGCTCACACACATGACAAAAAAAAAGGAGATTTAAGAGACGAGTCAGGAAGGAATACTGTAAAAAAAAAAAAAAGAAAAGTCAGCCTGCCAAGGATAAGTCTATTTGTAGTCCACATACACACATATTTCTAATTTGAATACCAAGGACACACTGAAGATTGATATGGTACAAAATATCATAAATAAATAGGTATTGTGTACAATAAAGTAATACGGTATTTAACTGACTACTCATATTATGATTTATGGTAATTCAGTAACAAAAATCTTTGTTATATATACATTTATAATGCTGACAAATGCCCATTTTAAGTGAGCCCAAAGTAGTTTATCTACATCTCTCCTTAATAAAACACAATCAAAACTGTGTCATCATACAACTAATCTACTAGCAGGCAGGATTATCCAACAAAATAGTATAGTTATACCACAAGAAAAGGACAAATACCATGACCTATGGGGAGGTCAAGTCAGTGGTGCCTGTTGACTCCACAGAGGATTTAAACTAGGCTACCATATGTATGATAAGGTTACAATAAATACACAAACTATATAGTTTACCACAGTCTACGTATACACATCACTACACTACAGTGGACACAAGGTCACTTTAAACTCACTGCTGCACCTATATACATATATATATATAGAAAATGAAAGAAGTAATAATAGCAGCGTTATGCAACTCTTAATACAGTAGATCATCTACGTGCGTGACAGCAGGACTGACAAAGGCAGGACCTGTTCCCGTGTTGCAGCCAAATAAACAGGCCAGGAGCGTTACAGCATTTCTACTGGCATGTCGAGATCATCAGCCGTAAACGTCAGACGTTGAGCAACAGTCGCAGCCCACCCTTCCGTTCTCTTCCTCACACAGGATATTTCGACGTCTGGGGTTTTATTTTTACGCACTCTTTTATTCTGCTGGCAGAAGCCACAGCGTTATTAATGCATGCATTTATTAGAAATGTATATATTTTCCTGCAGTGTATGCCACTCAACTAGAATAAGATATTCTGCATGAAGATAACAGCATCTAATGTGTTGAAATATGTATTTACAGTTCTGTCCCATGTATTAAACTTGGTTCAGAATACAGTAAACAGCACAGATTGAAAATGTGTTTCTGGTGATTCAAATCCAATTAATCATTTATTAAGGACATTTTGAATTCCTGGTGTATTTTGAAAGTAACTTAAGAACTATTCAGACACTAAGATCTATGCAAACTGTACTTTAAAGCATGGGGAAGAATTCATCTTGTCACTAATTTTGCCTCCTTGATCTTGTCTCCTTGATTTCAAATAGAATTGTTTTCAAACCCTTTTTATTATAGGAAAGTACTAAATCTCAGTCAGGGGTCATTTTAGTCTGCTCTGTAGTATCTAATATACAATATATGCATGTACAGTACTGGTGTACGGCACATATGTTAATGTGTTGAGGCAACAAGTGGAGACAAATGATTAAAAATATATTAAGTTACAAATAAGATTTGTAACATTACTGCAGCATGCAATCATAGGATTTCATATAGAATGTTCATATTTAAAAAATTAAAATGAGAGGTTTGAGAAATGTCCTGAGTCTGCTGAAGTTGAAAGCAATGAGTTGATGAGGAATCATCTCTCTGGTAAAGTGGTGTCAACTTGGCAGCGGTGAAGAAATATACAGCTGCCGCATCACTAGCTGAGCCCAACGTAGGAAACCGAACCCTAACTGAACTAAACACCTTAAATCTCTCAGTTTGTCCAAACTGTCTCAGTAAAAAGTAAAGTCATACATATAATCAAACCAGTACGGTTTAACCACAGAACTGTGAACACAGCAGCAATCTTGCATTTCACAGAAAGCAGAATCAGCCTGCCGCTGCTATAACAGACTTTTTTTGAATTGTCATGCAATAGAGGCTCCCTATTGCACCAAGACGAGGGCTATTCCTGTCCTGGCTAGGAATGGTAATGAACCATCTCGGTTCCCCTTAGATCAGCAGAGTACACTTTGCCAGATGGACCCCCAATATGGTAGATCACATCACTTGTTTACTTCGCAGTCCATGTCCAAACCCAAGTGGAAATTTTTTCGGTATTTACTGCTAGGACTGCTTAGCGCAGGGCGACTGAGCGGCTGAAACCTGAGCCGACGTGGGAAATGGGACAAGTTGAAAGTGCTCAGTCACTAACGTTCCACTGGCGATGAATGAACCGGCCTCCCCAGACTGAAAGGTAGACAGACGTCAGGGGCTACGGATTTATGTAGGCTTTTCAACTGAAACTGGCACCTGCAGTATTTAAAGCACGGAGGTTTCGTCAAAACAGACAACAGGGCAGTGTCCTAACAATTGGACAGATTGTCCTAAATCAACAGTTTGCAGGTTCAATGCAACAGCCAGTGTGTCCACCAACAGTCATATGTTCTGGTGTAAAAACTCGGAACTCTTTCTCCATCACTCGTAAACTTCATCAAAAGAGTGACTCGGCTAAATGCCTTAAAAGCCTTCCCCACTATGAACAGATTCAGTGTGCATCTGCATCAAATAGATTGTACTTTTGAACTAAACTGTAACGGTAATGTAATGATAGCGAAGTGTTTTCATCGATGGCCGCTTTCTGTCACTGTGTTTAGACTACTCTGTCCACGACTTCGGCGACCTCAACTTCCACCACCTTGAGAAGGACGAACCCTACATGAACGTCAAGTTCCCCCGCACTGTGGGTGCAGCAAATAAAATGTTGTCTGGCGCAGTGAGCAGAGCCGTCGGTACAGGACACACCCTTGTCATGCTCGGAGGTGATCACAGGTATAAAGAATGTGCCGTTTGTGAACAATACCTGTATCAAGCAGTATACAGCTAGTACAGTATTTAGGTGTCCAAAGGCTACTTACTGAATGTCATTTTACCATATGTTTCTACGGTAAGACTCTTGTTTAAAGATACTCTCGTCCTCTGAATTGAACTGATATAAACACCAGATATTTATAAGACTGTCCTTCTCATTTCAAAGCCTTGCTATTGGATCGGTGGCAGGCCACGCCCAGCAGTGTCCTGACCTGTGTCTCATCTGGGTCGATGCTCATGCCGATATAAACACACCGATGTCTTCTCCATCGGGAAACCTTCACGGCCAGCCTGTCGCATTCATGCTCAAAGAGCTGCAAGAAAAGGTGAACACTAATTAATACAAGCAGCTAACTTTTGAACGAGCACTGTATCTTCAAAATCATATCATTTAATGGTAATACATTTTATTTAGGAAGAGCTTTTCAAAAAACTCAGACAATTTACCATAGGGGATAAAATAGAGAGAAATACTTAAAAACATAGATCACAGAAATAGACGATAACGCAATTACGACAGACAAGTAAACGGTTAGATGCAGTCGTGAAAGTGTATTTTAAGGGCTTTAAATTTGACTTGTTTTGATGAAGGTGCAGCATATCTAATGTACAGCGTGATGCAACAATAGAAACCTGCGTCAGAGACAACGCCCTTTAGCTGTGATATAACCACAACATAGCCGGCAGCACTGACATAAATTCCTGTTGTGCAAACATGGACAGATTATGAGATAATGGACCTTTGTGCACAGAGATGTAAAGGCAGCCCAGCCCTACTACATAGGAGCAAGAGAGTCAGACTGAATGAGATCCAAAACATTGCCCTTACATATATACATATATCGATATACATATCTATATATATACACAGTTGTGTGAAAAAGTGTTTGCCCCCTTCCTGATTTCTTATTTTTTTTGCATGTGTGTCACACTTAAATGTTTCAGATCATCAAACAAATTTAAATATTAGACAAAGATAACACAAGTAAACACAAAATGCAGTTTTTAAATGAAGGTTTTTATTATTAAGGGGAAAAAAAAATCCAAACCTACATGGCCCTGTGTGAAAAAGTGATTGCCCCCTAAACCGAATAACTGGTTGGGCCACCCTTAGCAGCAACAACTGCAATCAAGCGTTTGCGATAACTGGCAATGAGTCTTTTACAGCGCTGTAGAGGAATTTTGGCCCACTCATCTTTGCAGAATTGTTGTAATTCAGCCACATTGGAGGGTTTTCGAGCATGAACCGCCTTTTTAAAAGGTCATGCCACAGCATCTCAATCGGATTCAGGTCGGGACTTTGACTAGGCCACTCCAAAGTCTTCATTTTGTTTTTCTTAAGCCATTCAGAGGTGGACTTGCTGGTGTGTTTTGGATCATTGTCCTGCTGCAGAACCCAAGTGCGCTTCAGCTTGAGGTCACGAACAGATGGCCGGACATTCTCCTTCAGGATTTGTTGGTAGACAGCAGAATTCATGGTTCCATTTACCACAGCAAGTCTTCCAGGTCCTGAAGCAGCAAAACAGCCCCAGACCATCACACTACCACCACCATATTTTACTGTTGGTATGATGTTCCTTTTCTGAAATGCCGTGTTACGTTTACGCCAGATGTAATGGGACATACACCTTCCAAAAAGTTCAACTTTTGTCTCGTCAGTCCACAGAGTATTTTCCCAAAAGTCTTGGGGATCATCAAGATGTTTTCTGGCAAAACTGAGACGAGCCTTTATGTTCTTTTTGCTCAGCAGTGGTTTTCGTCTTGGAACTCTGCCATGCAGGCCATTTTTGCCCAGTCTCTTTCTTATGGTGGAGTCATGAACACTGACCTTAATTGAGGCAAGTGAGGCCTGCAGTTCTTTGGATGTTGTTCTGGGGTCTTTTGTGACCTCTTGGATGAGTCGTCGCTGCGCTCTTGGGGTAATTTTGGTCGGCCGGCCACTCCTGGGAAGGTTCACCACTGTTCCATGTTTTCGCCATTTCTGGATAATGGCTCTCACTGTGGTTCGCTGGAGTCCCAAAGCTTTAGAAATGGCTTTGTAACCTTTCCCAGACTGATAGATCTCAATTACTTTGTTTCGCAGTACGATGTCTAGCTTTTGAGGATCTTTTGGTCTACCTCACTTTGTCAGGCAGGTCCTATTTAAGTGATTTCTTGATTGAGAACAGGTGTGGCAGTAATCAGGCCTGGGTGTGGCTAGAGAAATTGAACTCAGCTTTCCAAAGATGTGATAAACCACAGTTAATTTATGTTTTAACAGGGGGGGGCAATCACTTTTCCACACAGGGCCATGTAGGTTTGGATTTTTTTTTCCCCCTTAATAATAAAAACCTTCATTTAAAAACTGCATTTTGTGTTTACTTGTGTTATCTTTGTCTAATATTTAAATTTGTTTGATGATCTGAAACATTTAAGTGTGACAAACATGCAAAAAAATAAGAAATCAGGAAGGGGGCAAACACTTTTTCACACAACTGTATATTCCAAATGACATTATATCTATCTGTCCACCACAGATGCCAGATATCCCAGGGTTCTCCTGGACGAAGCCGTTCCTCTCCTCGAGGGACCTGGTCTACATTGGACTGCGGGATGTTGACCCCGGAGAGCAGTAAGTACACAACATCAACCTTTACCATATGTGGCTGAAATGAACTCAACTCTCCCTGAATGCACTGTGGAAATAGTTCTTGATATTTCTGATCCTGTTTATTACAGCCACATCCTGAAGGACCTGGGCATCCAGTACTTCACCATGAGGGATATCGACAGACTTGGCATCCAAAGGGTCATGGAAGTCACTCTTGACCATCTTTTGTCGAGGTAACTGATTATATTCCCTGACTGTTAAACATTTTAAAATGTTTAACTTCTACTGAAAGTTTTAGTTTTTTCATATATGATGAAAACCAAATTATTCCTCACGTCTGAGTTGAAGTGATCCTCAAATTCACACTTGAATTGTCTCACCTTGGACAGAAAACAGCGACCAATCCACTTGAGCTTTGACGTCGATGCGTTCGACCCGTCTCTGGCTCCGGCCACAGGAACACCAGTGAACGGCGGTTTGACCTACAGGGAAGGAATCTACATCACAGAGGAAATCCATAACACAGGTACAGATGACTACAAACATGGTCGCAACATCCTATGTAGGCAGCGTCACATAACCTTATATTGTCTATTTTCCTCTTATCGTCACGTATTAGTATCCAACTTGTGAATGTGTTCAGGTCTGCTGTCAGCCATGGACCTGGTGGAGGTAAATCCGATGCTGGGGGCCAGCCGTGAAGCGGTGGAGGCCACCGCCTCTCTAGCGGTGGATGTCATCGCGTCGTGTCTGGGACAGACGAGAGAAGGCGCTCACGCATCCATCGATGAGATTCCCTCTGTGAAGGACGACACGGAGCAGCTTCGCCTCTGAGAGCACGAAGCAAAGCTTTGAACTTTACCGACATCATCCCTGAGCATTCCACAACAATTCTGAATACAAGACTGTAAAGAAAGAATCTAATAGTAGCTAACGGTTTTGTTCTAATCTCTTTGCTATTTAGAGTTATGTTTCATGAAGAAAACAAACGTATGTCTGAATTCTTTCATCTATAAAAAGGACTTTACATATTTGAGGTAAAACGTTCACGTTGATAATGCTCAGACAAAATTATTGATGGCAATACTGTTAATTGAAACAGCAATGCCAACTTATTTGGCTCCTGTATGTATAATAAGTTACGTGTTAGAGGACACAGGTGCCACATATTTATTATGCGTTTGGTTTAAAAGAGAATGAACCTGCCCCAGAGGTATGATAAACCAAGTTTGACTTATTTTCAAGCCCACGGTCTAACGTGGACTCTCTCAACTGTTTTGTGGCTGTGTCCGTTACTAAAAGTTAGAAATGATGTGTTTGCACTTTGGACCAGCTGTGGTTAATGTATTTTCTTTAGAGTTTACTTTTGTATTTTCACTATGAACCTAGCAGTACATGTATTAGCATCCAGCTTTGATTCAAAATGGATTTGGATTTAGGTTTGATCTGAACTAATGTTTGACTTGATGTGGCCACTAAACGACTATTGTCTATGTAACAAAGAGTTTATACAATATTTTGGGCTTCCATAAATGTGATGGCATTTTTTGTTAGTGTAAATGTGTCTTATTTCCTCTGTGGTTCGTTTCATTTTATTTTCAATGCATACAACCAAGTACAAAATAAACTGAGGCTGATGGGAATGCCATTGGTTCTGCAAGTAAATGGTCATAAACCAGAAAGTTAGACAAAGTATCGTTGACCTAATGAAAAAATAGACTATCGCCAAAGTTATTGCAAATTTAGGGCTCGTCGGAAAGAGCTGCCTTGAATTCCATCAGCGGCAGCCAACAGTCAAAAGTGCACCACAAAACAAATATGTTGGGATGGGAATCAATAAAATGGCAACCATATTTTCCATGTTGGCAACCACTAAACAAAGTTAGAGTTGTGCCCTGAATTTATCCTGAAGTGAAGCTGATTGTGTACCAAATATCATGGCAATCCATCCAATAGTTGAGATATTTCAGTGTGGACCAAAGTGGTCGACCATCACTGCTATCTGTAGAGCATATCGCTGAAAAATGATGCAGATACATTAAAGAAATAATGGCCAATGTTTGGACTGGTATAAATTGTTATCAGTGTCGCTGGCATCATAGTTACATTAATGATTAGTTGCACTTATATCACATTAAATATAACATAATGTACATGCAGTTATACAACCACAGTATGTACTGTTAGACACAGCACAAGTTGTACTTTATTTGTTGTTTTTTAAGGGGACGTGAAAGCAAAACAGAAAAAGGAAAACAGAAAAGATTCACACATTTCTTTCGACCCCTCCCTGACCTGATCCACAAAAGCAGGTCACCAAACATGTTTTTGTACTTTGCACCACTTGGTATCTATGCAGAAGAACAATATTGTGGCAATATTGTGTTCCACTTCAATTACATGGCACTAAAAATAACCTTATCATTATGATTATAGTAACGGGTGCCGTTCACCCAGCACTACCATGGTCTGGTTGTAACAAATCTCGGTGCCGTCAGGTCCAGTGGCCGACCCTGAAAATACCAGATACAATGTAGACCGAGGTTAAAGATTAGCTTTAATGATGTGGAGACAATCAAATCAGGAATGCTGAAGCTTTGTCTAAGATTGTTTTTTGTATTACACAGCGATTAGACAACATTATTTACTGTTAAGTTAAGTTGCATGTATTAAGAGTTTCCACCCATTTTTAATTCACATCTCTGACCGACAACATTTGGCCTCAGGTCAGGACTCAGAATTGGAATAATGAGCTAAATACAAGTATTTGGATACGGGGCATGATGACACAACAACAACAAAAAGATTCAACTAGTGCCACTTCATCAAAGCTAATGTCTATCAGTAACATGTCACAGGGACAGTGAATGGAGAATCTACACATGCGGGAGAAGGTCAAACATCACATCACGTCCACAACATCACCCTGCAGGGCATCACTGGTGTGAACAGTCTGATAAAACTGTGCAAATCTCAGGGAAAGGTTTGTGTGTGAAGTTTCTGTAGGTTAGGTCCATTAGGAGGTTCAACAATCATCATTAGTCATTCTTGAATACTTCACCTGCCCATGGACAGAATCCTCTGTCAGTAAAGGTTCATTTTAGGACTGAACCATCTCAATGTCCTTATTTACTCACAGAAACAGTTGGCTGCAGACAGCAGAGGAGCATTATTGCTGCTGGAGGGTCAGTGGAGACGGATGAAGAGAGTCTGGGTTTGCTCTGAATCGAGAGCTTAAGATTGTTTTTGTTTAGTTTGCTCATCGTCGGAAGAACTTCAGATAAATCACAGCACCCAGAATGGCCAACTCCATTAAAATGATCACACCTAACAGCAACTTGTTGGTCACCAGCCTACAGGACAACACAAGATGAAAGTCAACAATAAACAGAGGGTCATTGTTCCACAAACGCATTTCATGAAATATCAACTGAATGATTAATCGAGAAGTCGATCGATAGAACATTTTCAAACACAAATGCCAATAATTTGCTGGTTCCAGCTTCTCCTAAGTGAGGATTTGATGATTTTCTTTGTCATTCGCGATCGTAAATTGAATATCTTTAGGTTAAGACTGTCTGACGACAAAACTTTGAGGTATTTAGGATTATATTCTGACATTTTTATGGATTAAACAATTATTTGGTTAATTGAGAATAATTAGGTTAGTCTCCTCAATATATAAATAAAATAAACATTAGTTGCAGCCCTAATCACCAGCATGTTATTCAGAAACACATTAATCAGCCAATCAGAATATTTATTTTTCACCAAATCCATGTTTCAGTATAATCAATGTGCAGCATTTTGGCTAATTAATACAGTATAATATAATTAGAGCTCGCTACAGAGACAGAAAGACCTCACATCCAGAGAAAGGAATTCAAAAGGACAGAGAACAAATCTTCTAAAAGTCAGCAAAGCAACTTTTAGTATTCAATCATTTAGTGCATTAATTAAAACAAGATAACTTAAACGTACGACTTCCTCAGGAATAGAACTTACCGCCGTGACATGGCACGAAGAATTTTCCTACTTCGACTGAGGTTCTCTCCGGTATCCACCAACTTCAAAATAAACAAAAGACGGATTAGATTTAACAACATCATGGCCTGACAACAACAGTCTTTTTACTTCTCCTTATATTAAAGTAATAAAATAAACCTAACAAATATAGATTATACTGACCCAAATCTGAGCTGTACCACCTGCTTTTGCCCCAAAACATTTGATCAAATATAAGAAACTAAATATTAACCATACAGGATCTACCCCCAAACGGATTAAAACTAATGGAGCATCACAATCTCATCCCGAACAGTAGCAGAGTAACAATTGACAGCTCACTCTGTTTCTGCTGCGGTCCAGCTGGTCCCTCTGCTCTCCCAGCTCCTCGATGATATCTGTGCCGATCTGATCCGTCTCAGCGGCGATGCGCTGACTCCGTTCAATACTCTGGCTGGCATTGTTCAGACAGTCTGAGCCCTGGAGGAGCAACGCTCTCTGGGACTGCACGTGTGTCTGCATAGGGGGGCAAAAATGACAAAGCAACCAGAGTAAATATCCCTTATTGTGAGCGAGGAGCAGGAAGAAAATCCATTCTCAGATATTTTGACTTCCTAAGAGAACCATTTGGGGTTATTTGGCAGTAAAATTCATGTTAGTGTGCCAACGTTTCTTAAAACTTCTCCAAAATAAATTTATTGATTTCCTGCACTTCCACAGAATTTGTTTTTACAAAAATCTGAAAGGAGATGTGTACTTCTTGCTTTCAATCTGTGAGACTGAAAACCAAAACATACATTTTCTACTGATACTTTGGACAGCTGAAATGTTTCCTTTTCTTTAAAGTTTGATAACCCTCATAATGAGATGAGATATGTACAAAATGTCACGAGTCGACAGCCACACACTCACACTTTGTTGGTTCTGTGATGAATAGATGCCATGATGACTTCCCTCCAACGTCTGGGAAGACGAACCAAAGCCAGGAGGAGAGTTCTTCATGTCTCTCTGCAGCTTGCCCAGATCTCGGCGGTACATGCGCAGCTTGGTACTCATTGCATTTCGGTAGGAGGAAGGTGCAGCACGCAGCTCTTCTTCCATTCCTTGTAACTGGACACAGAAAAGAAAATAGTGTAATTTTGGGAACCGGTGTTTCTTTGGGCCCTCTGCAGTCGACTCACTGGTTTGATTGACTCGTGTTGAACTGTGATTTGTCAGTCCATAGTATGGTCAGCTAATATTCCCTGATCCAGTTCAACCCACCTGTTCACATTCCAGCATGTTAGAGGCGTTACTGTGCACTTGACACTGAAACCTCGTCCTTTTTAAATCTGCACACATTTGGATGCAAAGCTTCCAGTTTCTTCAACTGTTGGCTCTTTCTGCCCTTTAAATTGTCCGTCTCGTTGAACCATTCTACAGTGTTTTGATCTAGTTTGTAGTATTTTTTATTTTTTTGCAAGCCTTAAATCCCAAATAACAGCTACCTAAAAGCATGAAAGACAATTCAAACATATAGAGCCGTCCTGTCAAATGACTGTAAAGTGATTTTGTGGCAGGTCTCAGATTACAAACTTTTGAACAGAAATGCATGTGTTTATCTTTGTTGTCCCTGTTTTTAGCTACATGTCTATTGATGTCTTCCTGTTAATTGTTCCTGGAACTGTGTGGAAGTACATTGAGAACAACTTCAAACATTTAAGCTTTAATTAAAGTGCTTATTGTTAGCTGGCACATATCACTTCCACAACAAACAAACAGACAGGACTCACCACTTCCTCAGCCTCCCCATGCCTCTCATCGAAGGTCCTCACCAGCCTCTTCCTTTCCTCTGTAGATACAAAGCGAGTTTCACAGCTCAGAACACATGCTCTCATGACTTTGTAATACAGTTAGCGAACATAAGTTGGTAAAACAACATGAACTGTTTACCTCCGTGGCATTTCAGAGCTTTCTCTGGCATCAGCTTGAGCTCCTCACACAGTGATTTGTAGATTTCGTGCAATTTCTCGAATTCCTCCGACGACATTTTTGATGCCTTTTTAAAGCTGCCTTTTTCTGGAGGAACTACTCAACACTAATCACAGTCACGTCAACTTAAGTTAATCTACTGTTTTTGCTTTCATGTTAATCAGGATTCCCGGAACTTCCGCATGATGGACCTCGTGATCCAGTGCCTAAAACTCCAGATCAAAAATCAAACAACCATGTCTTTGTTTTGTTTTCAATAACAGGTTGAAAGTAACATTGTAGATAAAAAATACAACATGCAAAAAAAAAGCCAAATAATGGTAAAAGATTATTTAAAAATCACCCCGACAACAATTTTATTCAGGGACTACGCAGACAGCTTTCACTGCGCCTTCTGGGAAATGACGTTTTGAGACACTACTTCTTCTTCTTAATGTACATTAAAACAATTTATTTCTATGATTTAGTTAATTTTGAGCGGATAAAAAAACAACTTTTAACGTAATTTATTTTTGGGGAATTGTATTATTTTATTTTATTTTCCAATTTCTACATCGATGTAATTGTTTTATATTTTTTATTTTGATTGTGTGTTTGTATTCTTCTTGATAGTAGTGAATAGTTATTTGTCCTAAAAGCAGTTGTATCGTAAGGTAAAGTTAACAATTAGAAACATAATAATATACTTGTCTTATTCAGTCCGTTAAGATAAGGTAATTGAATTGCCTAAAATAGTTTATATTATATAAATTAACACATTTAAATAATTCGAATGACAGTTTACTTTTTCATAACATGGATATGATTTTAACGTAAAAATACTAAAGATAACCTTCACTTTTTTTTTTTTGCCAGGCTGTAAAAACTACATTTCCCATGATGCCGTTCGCGGTGTAGCTTTCACCCCTGCTACGCTCTACACCCCTTTATGCTTTGACATCAGCTGTTCTGCCTACAGAGCAGTAGCATCCTGCAGGAGGAGACAGGAAAGGCGCACATCCGTGGTATGATGTTGCTTTTATTAATTGTCGCGGGCCTCGGAGTGGTTACGCTACTGGTGATTTTATTTGCACCACACATAAGGTAAGCAGCGATGAACGCACTCGTTTATTCTCATATTTAAATCCAGCGTCTAACACATCACGTATATTGTTGCTTGGCTGACAGGGCATCACATTGCACTGATGTAATCATTGCGATGAGGGTTCATTCACATCATATAAAATACTGTCCGTCCACTGAACTCAACTGATCGTTATTTTAAAGGTTGTTGGGTTGTTTTTTTTTTTCTATCAAGTATTAGTTCACGCGACGCTGACTGACATTTCAAGCAGAAAAAAAATCAATGAAACACAATGATGGCGCTGTGGGAGTCTTTGCACAGGAATGAACCGGGAGTCCATCTGAGCGGCTCGGGCCTATCAGCAGGCTGAGCGTAGGAGGAGTTATATTTGTATGCATTACTCCAACAGAGCGATTGGTTATGGGGCCGTCCTGCTCAGTGGCGTGGGTCGTATGACTTGACGCTCAAAACTGTCCGTTTTCCAAGTTTCTCTGTGAATAATTAAGACAGGCTGTCCATATGTCCAATCCTCACGAGGACATGACTATAACTGCCTGCAGAACGGGGGCTACTCGTCATGCAAATGTGAGCTGTCTGCTGTGATTCAATGTCCCCAGTATTAATCTGTGGTCATTGTGTATTAACAGGAAATATGCAGCAGGAGGAGTGTGCAGGCCCTCAGCCAGTGTGGAAGGCAAGACGGTCCTCATCACAGGGGCCAACACGGGAATCGGGAAGGAGACGGCCCTGGACCTGGCAGTGCGAGGTGACTTTTTGGTTTTTACGTTCAAACACACAGCACAGAGACTCTTTACATCCATAATGTACCCCGGACAATAAGAAAACAGGTGTCTCTGTAGGGCTACGCAATAAGATTAAAATCAGTATATTTTATATCCCATATCCTTTACATTAATATATATTTATTTATATATAATGATATGGGAAATACATACAATGACAATCACACAGATGTTAAGTGCAATTAACCTTGTTCCACTAGTTAATCACGTTTCTTTCATTTTAAAATCACAATTCGCTGGAGAAAACTAATTTGTGCAACAGAATAAAATGATGTCATGGTATCATCACATCTTCACCACACAATAAATGATGATTCTTAATTGTTGCCCAGCTCTAATCTCTCGGCTGTAGGTCACGAAAATCAGAGCACTAAGTAATAAAATGGCTGAATTCCATTTAGCTGCTTCAGTGAGCCAGCGTGCACAATACCAGGACCCTGAGTCCTGGTATTGTGCACGCTGGCTCACTGTCTCGACTTACTGGGACACTTGAATACAACATCAGTAGTGTTGTTAGTGACAGCTGGGATTTTCCTACTATGACGAGTCAAAATGTCTGCTGTGAAAAAGTTTATATGGATCTTACTAAAGTTATATTATATTTGTGTATGTCACATTAAAACAGCTGTTGCCTTTGTCAGTTAGAGATGATGCTGGTTGGCTAATGTTGTTGGTGACCCGCTGGACGACTTTTAATATTTTTGCCTTCATTTTGGTTTAAACACCCTGCTAAGATGTACTGTATAATATAAAGTGTAAAAAGGCTCTTTTCAAGCTTTTATTTTTTTGAACTTACATGGGAATTTTAAAGGAGATTTAAAAGAACTCCATAATGTCAACCAAAGACCTTTACACAAATATTGTAGTTTATGATCTTTGGTTGACCATGTTATTACGGTAATGCTTGGCTTGAGGAGTGACATAAGATGTGGCATCACTGAGCAACAAGCTTAAACCAGAGACCTCCAACAGAAGCCCCCTCTCTCCTCCCTTCTATGAATTAATGCAGTTTTGTCCATAGCTTAGCTGCTGCTTGTTTATCCACACGACAGGGGCGCGGGTGATCATGGCGTGCCGAGATGTGGCCAAAGGAGAGGAGGCCGCGGACAGTATACGAGCTGCGTGTCTTAATGCGCAAGTGGAGGTTCGAGAGCTGGACTTGGCAGACACCTGCTCGATACGAGCCTTCGCTCAGAAATTCCTCGGAGGTGAGCACAGAGTCACATCTACCCACAGAGCCCGGCTTTGTTGTTTAGCAGGTATCACGGCGGCCATGTTTCTTCTTTTTATTTTTGTGATGTTCTTCAGAGGTCAACCATCTTCATATCCTCATCAACAACGCCGGCGTGATGATGTGCCCCTACACAAAAACAATCGACGGCTTTGAGATGCATATCGGAGTCAATCACTTGGGTGAGGCCGCACTTAAATGTATTTTAATGAATAAATAAATCAAACCTTAAACTGGATTGAAAACTTGATGGAATGCTGTATGCCTTTCTTACGTCTGGCAGGGCACTTCCTGTTGACGTCCCTCCTGATCGGGCTGCTGAAGCGCAGTGCGCCGGCCCGGATCGTGGTGGTCTCGTCTCTGGCTCACAACTTCGGCTGGATCCGTTTCCATGACCTTCACAGCCAGGGGAGCTACAACAGTGGATTAGCATACTGCCAGAGCAAACTGGCTAACGTGCTCTTTACCAGAGATTTGGCGCGTAGACTCAAAGGTACACGAACACCAAACACACCAACACGTGGGAGAATAAACAGGTGGCCTGCTCCGCGCTAGCAAACAGAGTAGTAACAGAGAGGGTTAGTGGTTAGAATAGGACACAAACAACTCGTCTTAACCAGCCCTTTTGTGGGGGGAAATGTAGGTGCTTCAAGACCTCGTAGTGCACAAAGAGCTCAGTTCTAAATGTGACACCCCTTTAATTTTGCTTAGTATTTTTTTTTTTAAACACACAGATGGTGTGTCCTCGACTTGCATTTTGTAATTAAGTCTTTTTTAGAAGATAGTACAATTTTAAATTCCACAAAAGAATAAATGTTTTTGCCTAAAATGTCAGGTAATGAAAAATAAAAGAAAGAACTTGAGCTCTTTTTCAGGCAATTTATAACAGTGTTTCGTAATAATCAGCCTGATACCGCCGATCAGAAAGAGGAAAAAGAGTAATTCAATCGATATAACAAAAACATACCAGACATATGCACAAAATGTATGTAAACTAGAGGAACATTGTTTCATCGTATGTGGCAATAAAGGAAGAATAAAACATTCTGCGAAGAGGTAAGAGGTTATTCAGGATTATTTCAAAGCAAATCTTATGGTTTTGCTGTTGGGCTTATATCCATATAATTATACATAATTATAGTAAAAATGAGTTATAGACCCAAGCTTGCTTTACGACAAAAAATGTATGGAAAAGATTCAGACCGAGCACTACTCAATGGACAAACAGCATACATTTGAGAAGTTATAGCGGCTCTTCATTAATGATGTTAATGATTTAGATTTAATGATCAAGTGATGCAATTTATGAGTTTAAAGACATTTTTGTTTCTTCTTAATATTTGATAAATTTAGCATCTATTGCAATTAATATACTCATTTTGTAAAGATTATAATTTATTAAAACGGGAGGAGCATTCTTGTTATGAGTATTTTTGTGTCTCTGTTTTATGCAGCAATTTAATGATGTGTTATATATGATATGAACGTTAAAGGCTGTATTTCATTTTAAATACAAATATTGTGGGATTAAAAAAAAGAAAGATGTCACACGTCGTGATGTTTGTTTGTTGTCCTCACAGGTACCGATGTGACGGTGAACTCAGTCCACCCGGGGACGGTGAACTCTGACCTGACCAGACACTCGACTCTCATGACGATATTTTTCACCGTCTTCGCCACGTTCTTAAAAACTCCACGGGAAGGAGCGCAGACCAGCCTCTACTGCGCTGTGGCAGACGAACTGCATTCAATCTCTGGGAAACACTTCAGGTAGGTGACAACAAGCTAGACATTTATTGTGTTCCTTTCAAAGAAAAGGAATGTGCCATGATATATTAAATTGTGCAACACACGGGTTCCCGTAGAAGCCATGCGATAACCTCATCTCATCTTCTTTATTAATGTTTCGCTCCCCAACGACACAAGCTTTAGTGTCACCATGAGGAAGCTTCCTGCTTCAAAACTTGACTGCATCATGGTTTTCCTATTAGACAGTTTGTCATTTTTTTAATATCATTTTATGATGTACGATTACTCTTGAGAATGTGGGGGAAGGTAAAGGAATGCCACGGCTAGTATTGGTTAGACTGGTATATAAATTCAACATGGATAACGGATTACAGGCGTCGCTGACCTTGTTGTCAATACTAACAGCTGTTGTGCAGTTAAATTCTGCATTTTATAATTCTACTACTGCCGACATGCGGAGGAAGCAAGCTGCTAATGGAGCGATTGCCGAGCGGCGTACGAAGCGGACGCTTGAAGTCACGGTTAGCGGATTTGAGGAGGGCGATGGACACAAAACGGACGACTTTCCTTTTCTTATTAATGCATATTTTTGTGGAGTCCACACAGAAACTGTAAATGAACAAAAGTATAAATGCTCTCCAGTACGACAGGGAGTTCTGCCACCCTGCAGAGCTACGAGTGTAAAAAAAACAGACAACGAAACGAGTGACAGTCCGGGCCAAAGTGGTAGACAGACCAACACAGACCGACAGAAAAACAGTCACTTCCCGAGACACGCAGCACTAAACTTTCATTGCCGTTTGGTAAACTGAAATGATTTGGGGAGATTTCCCTCTGGAACCAGAGCCACTGAAAATAGGCTGCGGTCAAAAAGGCTTTTTTACTGAGTGAAATGACCCAGATGTATCTAAGTGGCAGCCATGATAAGACCTGGGAAAGGTGCCTAAATGTTTCCTTTCTCATCTCCTTTAGCATAGGGAACACTGGACCATCCTGTATGAAAGAAAAGGAGATAATGCCATCCCACAATTCCTTGCGGCAGCTACTTTTAAAAGGGACGCACATCAATAACATCCGGCATTGTGTAATTACATAAGCTAGTGTAAGTGCAGTCGGATTCTCTTAGTTTTCCTTTTGAATTGGCCCTTTTCACAGAAGCCGTTTTGACATGATTATAGTATACTAGCACTCATTACACCTGGGTTTACCCTGCAATGACTTGTTAAAATGGCTGCTGTGAAAAGACCCATCAAAGTGAAGATTCAGGACGCTTAATTTACTGTAGAGGGAAAAAAAAGACGGAGATAAGTTCCTTGTGTCTGCGTGGGTCCAGCCCTTCCAGACACGTAAAATACTTTGATGCTAAACATTATCATGCTCAAGGTCAAAGAGTAATGAGATCACTGCACCCAGAGTGATGACTCACAGCGTCATTAGCCGTTATGTAACCATAACCCCTTCTTTCATTTCAGTGACTGCGCCCCTGCCTTTGTAGCCCCACAGGGAAGAAGTGAGGAGACAGCTCGGAGACTGTGGGACATCAGCTGTGAGCTTCTTGGTATCGAGTGGGACTGATTCAACTTTTAACCATCTCAGTTCTCAAAGGAGTCCTTAGTCTTTCTTTGATCATTCATTTCAATATGGTTTTGATGTTCTGTACTTTGAGCGTTTACCTACTAAGCAGTCAGGTAATACTGTAAGAGGTACTATAAAGGTGAAGTTGCTTTTTTGTGTAATAATGCAGTAATTATATTATAATAACTTGAGTATTTGGTGCTCCTCAAACCAAACTCCACTGTATTATCATGTTACCACAAATAACTTTTTGACTATATTTTTGTGACACAATGTGAATACAGTGTAGGCAAAAAAGCAACTTGATGTATTGTAATGCTGTAGGAAACTGAAGGGTCAAGCCAGGGTAAACGACCAGCATCTTTATCGAATATCGCGTTCTTTTGATTTCTCTAGAATTTGCAGTTAAATTGCTCAACTTTTGTGCCAGCATTTCTAAACAATTGCAGGGGTTCTTTACAGTGTTTCCAGGTTGATAAAATAAATTAGTAAATTATCGAATATCAGCGCCTGTCTGAGCCACGATTACCGCTTGAATTGCATAAATGTATTTTGTGATAATTGTAGTCAATGTAGGTTATAAGGAGGTTTTTCTATATTAACCAAATCCGACTTAGAATCATGTCATTGCAATATTTGCAGAGTTTTTTCCCCATTTGCATTGCCAAAAATTGCACATTCCTAGAGTAACTACAGTTTTACATTTTTAGGATCTCCCTCATCATGTTTCCTTCTCAGCATTCACATGCAAGGTTGCCAAGAGTTTACATTCTGTGTTTTATACAAGTGCAACATGCCTTTTACTACACTTACATTCATGTTAAGAGTTGAATGTTTACATTTGATGTAAATAAACAGAGATATTACTATAAGGGTATTTGTATCAGTCCTTTCAAATTACAGTTTGAGATCAACAAAATGCCATCAGTAAAGTGTGAACTGGATTAATAGACAAAAACAGAGAAATGGTTCATCTCAAGCCGTGAAACATTAGATAAAGTTGAATTATTGCCCAGAACAAATGAGTCAGATTCTATCACAGCGTTACTTTGGAGGGAAAGGTTTGACATTTTGTGAAATGGGCTTATTTATTTTCTTGCGGAGACATACAATAATTATACCACTTTCATGTCTGTCTGCCAAATATATATGAAGCTAGCAACACTGAAACAGGGAAACAGCTAGCTTGGCTCTGTCCACAGGGAACACAAGTTGCAGTTAGCCAGGCTAACTGCTTCCCCTGCTTCCAGTGTTTATGCTAAGCTAAGTTAGCCCGCTGCTAGCCTTAGCTACATATTTAGCATACAAACATCAGGTTGTCATTAGTCTAGCTAGCAAACTAATGACAAGTAAATTTATGTCAAACTTTACCTTTCATTTCAAGAAACTTGGCAGCATTAAGCTCAATTTTCAATATCAGTTTTTATTATTTCATTTCATTTCATTTCATTTCATTTCAATTCATAGGGGATAGAGAAATCAATTACATTTCAAAATCATTAGTCTCTACATCATGAAAGCATGAATTACATATTTGACCAATAGGTTTATTTTTGTTAAACTCACTAAGTATAAAGTGCGGCAGTGATGAGACAACAGTCGACGTTAAGGAGGATTAGAGTGCAAGAATGTCAACACTGGCTTCTTTTCATCTCTTGCTGATCAACACTTAATAGGAAGATCCATCAGTCTCAGTCCTCAGACTAGTGCAGCAGAGGGAAGCAAGACAAAGGAACACAGTATCTGCTCTAAATAAAGAAGACATTGACCATGTATCAAGAGTCGTATCCTTGAAAAGGCAGCTTCAGCAACATAGTTGATTGTCCCGTAAATGAACTGAAAACATGTTTTGTGGTGGCAATGTTTTTGCACTGTTATCTTGAGTTGGCCAGGGTGTTTCTTAGTGAACAAAATATGCAAAAACAAAATTAAACAGAAAGATATGGCAAAAGTGAAATCCCTTTTCCAACATTATTTGATTGATTATCTGTGCAAGTTAATCATTGTGGATTTATATCATTCAAACAGATATTTGTCAGGTCTCCCACCAGAACAGAGTGAAAAGCATGATTTAAAATTAGCAACACTCTGGGAAATTATTTCCAAAACAGGAGACACAAGATGAGACATAAAACTAGACATCCAGAGACAAAACTAATTGATATTCTGGATCAAATCAAACTTCATCAATAACATGATCTATAAGCGGGTCCCTTTCTGTATCCAACCTAAAACTTTTACTTTCTTGTAAGTTGCTCAACATCATCTTAAATGCCCTAAAATACCTCAAATCCTGTTTGATATTAATTTCCCTTACCAAAAGGGAATATACGCTGAAAGCTGGCCATAAAATATGCTATACAATATCAGGTAAAACAGGTAAACAGCTTCATCAGGATTACAAAAACAAGATACTTTTAGTAGTTAACTACTAGTTTTTACAAGGTTTAAACATGTACCGTGCTTGGCGGAGGACATCTAATTGCATTGACGTCTAAATTCACACTCTGAAACAGTCAGGACACATAAATAATAAAAATAAACAAAAGACAGGCAACACATTTATCAAAGGCCCTCCAGTCAGTTCAAGATATTTTCCCTTTTGGCTGAGGTAGGAGATTAATCTGAGTTCTTAGATGAGTTTATATTGTGTAACAACGACTGCATCGGTTTACATTGCAGTTTGCAATAGTTGTCACTCAGGTCCAGTGATATTGTTCCCTCTCAAAAAGTGTACAGCAAACTATTTCCAGAATGGAAATAAAGCACGGTGGTGATTCGTCAGTTTTACGGACAGGAAGGCTGCACAAACATTAAGAGAAAGTGATCGTCAGGGTTTCGAGATGTTTCCACTGAAATAGAAACAGTGTTTCACTAACCTGTCCCGTTGAAAGCTTCTCGTCTGTGTCACCTCTGACCACACCAGGTATCAATGGTGCATCACCACACCTAAAAGCTACATCACAGGTTCAGGGAGTACAGCTGTACATAACTGTAGCAAGAGGAGAATTTAAACTCTTAGAAATATGTTTTTCAAACCTCCAACAACTAAATTTGAGCATAGACACCAAAATCCTTTTGACTCCTGTGGGCCACATCCACTCCTCAGCACAGACTGAGTGTAAAGTGTGCTGTATATCATTATAACAATCTGCATGTAATGTAACATGTGCAACAGCTGCTCTCCTGATACACCCAATGTGCAGTCATATCTATCTGAAAGTTTACTAATCCTCCACATTCCCCTGCGTTTCTATAACTGTGTAACATTAGAAACCCTGGATCCTCTTATTTGGGGCTCAATTGTTTTCAAGTGCTGTTGGTGTAATCCCTCGTCATGCCTTTACCTGGCATTGGGTCGGCCCTGGCGCTGCTGAGATGACTTGCTGTGGTGTTCCGACAGCCACTGGCCACAGATGTTTTGCATCACGGAGTCCTGCGCTCCCTCGGCGGCCTGGAGGACTTCCTGGACCAACGGGCCGGCTCGGCTCGGCTCCAGCTTCACCGCCAGCAGGTATGCTGGTCTCAGTTTACTGCACATCAGGTAGGCTTTGATCTGCAGATGGATGTGATGAGAGTTAGACCCCTGAGTATTTTTAAGAGTTAAGTATGACAACAGGAATAGCAAAGTGACCCGAGAACGAGGTAATTGTGATTTCTATATCTATTTTAAAAAACTGCCTCAGGAAAGAAAAACCATGATAGTGTCGAGCAGGGGATAATAACATTAGACACACTACCTTGCTCTCTGTGCTCTTGGTCTCCAGAATGAGACTTTCCAGCTCCTTGGCCTAAAATCAGATAAAAAGGAAAGCAAAAATTATTCATGACTAATGTGCTGGAAATTGCCTGCAAGCACTTGGCAGAAATAAACACACAAACATCATAGAGCCAAGTCACGGTCATGATTAGTTATCCAAGTACACTCTTTGTCTCTTCCTTGTCCATACTCACATCAGCTGGTCCCTTATCTGCAATGGAGACACAGCTGAGGATGAGGGCGTCGCAGTCGTTCTTGGTGGCGGTGCCCGATTCACCGACACATTTGAGCAGCTGCCGTACGGCTCCATACTGCCTCTGGCGGACGAGCCTTTGGCCGGCCCGCACGTAGACCGCCTGGGCCTCCAGCTGGAAGTCCTGAGGCAGGAAGAGAGCGAGAATGAATGAGTTTAGCAAACAATTGTGGGAAAATTTGTCACCAGGACAAATGAAGAGTAAAGGACATATGGGGACAAAGGTGGCATGGTGGCAGAGGTATGCTTTCTTAAATACTAAATGAGAGCAAATATTTGGCAAAGATCTCCTCACACACAGCATACCTGTATGACTCTATATGCAATGCCAAAACCTTCTTCTATGTTTTTTCCTCCAAGCATCACCTGCAATGACACAAAAGACATATTACGCCTCAAAAAGATAAAACTGAGGTTTATAATACATTCACTTTGCAAATGCTTTCATTCAAAGAGACTGAAACTAAGTGCATTCAAAGACTTTGGATTAAATATCCATGACTGGGAGTTAATACCCTTTAAACAAATATCTAATAGTGCCTTGATATATATTTATACTTTTCACATAACTCTTAGATCTCTGATCCAGTGGTTTAACTTATGAATAACGTCAGCAGTTAGGCAGTGTGCCATTTTAACAAACTTAATCTTTCTAAAGTAGATTATAGATTTTTAAGTACTGCGATATATATAACTGGAACCTCACCTTGCAGGCAACCTCAACTTTCACGGGGCTTCCTCCAAACAGTGTCGGTGGTGAAGTGGATCCGGGGGACTTGGGGGAAGGTAAACTGGTCTTTGGCGCCTTAGAGGAGGCCGCCGTCTCACAGCGTTGGAGGAAACGGGTCACCTCCAGCTGAAGCTCAATTGTGTTCATATGCCTGACAAAATAAGACAGAAGACGTCCGTACTTTAAAGTAAAGAGTCTATTTGACAGGTAGGAAACGTGTGAATCAAATATAATAATAAAAAAGGCCAACGTGTTGATTTATTTCTATCATGTAAATTGAAATAAAGATGTATTGAATAACCTGGATACGTCACTGGACGACATCATCTTCCTGAATGAGTTGACCGAAGATCTTTTCCTCACAGCTCCCCGACCTTGCTGCTCCTGCAGGTATGTCCTCAAGTGCTCTTTGGCTTTGACCAGCCAGCGCTGTACAACGACACGGTCACATTTAAAGTACTTTTTTTTTTTAAGTTTTGCAAACTGCAGTCATAACAAGAGACATACCTGATTTTCTCCCAGCTGTAGGTACGAACTGGCTCCATGAGTGAAGAATCGGATACAGGTCATAGCCGCCCGCACCTGATCCTGTCCAGGTAAACAGCATTTTACATATTACATATTACAATAACTGTAAAAAATGTAACATCACCACAACATCATTCTCCGATGTAAAATTATAAACTTTAAACAAATGTAAATTATTTTTGGGGACTTTTTTGGTATATAATCTAAAGGCCTGTTTTTAGTCAGTTGGTGCTAAGGCACAGAAGAAAATTTCTCTCTTTCTTTTTCTTCTCTAAAATCTAAAAAGAATATGACAATTCAAGAGATAAAAGAACATTAAAGAGTCTAACCATCATGAACTGCTGGAGCTGGTAGAGAGTGTTGAAGTATCCCCGCCGCTGCAGGAACTGACAGGAGGCCATTAGGTAGCGGCTGCATGTTTCCAGGCCAGGGTCAAGTTTTTCCAGTATGCCCTGCAGCATGCCCAGACGGCCCCGCTCCAGACTGGGCTGCAACACACCCTCTAGAAAAACCTCGTCTGGGCACTCCTGAGCCACGAGAAAGCAGAAAAACATGCGTCGAACTTGAGTACAATTTTCTTCTTGGAAGAAGAAGATGCAGTCGTACTCTGGTCAGCTTACTCAATTTCTGTACTGTAGCGATACACTCGGTACTCTGCTACTTGTTAAACCTTACTTTGGTGCAAACAGGGTACTAAAATGTAATTTTACTGCATTGATGTTGACTAGACAGTGTTTAGGTTGACATCGGCCAGATTTGAGATGTGTCAAAAGTCAGAAGTGGGGTCGGATTATCTTCTGACTTCAAACAAACTACACAACAAAAGAGGATTAAGATTTCCTAAATGAAACGCATCGCTGGTTTATTAAAACCTCAAAGCATGCCTGAAGCATGCCTGAATGTTCTTCACTACAATGGGGGGCTTCAGCTTCAGCCCCCTTCAGCCCCCCTAAAATGTTATTCAGCCCCCCCAATTAATTTGGCATTATTGGATTTAAAAAAAAACAAAAAAAACAAAAAACATTTTCTTTTTTTTTTGGTGATGTCATTAAATTAAACTATTGTTTCTCACATGGACAAGTTATTTATAACTCTAACATGCTACATATGTGCGTGCGTTCTGGTTTGTACGTTTTCTCCCCCATCAAATTACAATCCAATAGCCTATCATCATACTTAACGATATAAAGTTGGCACTGTCAGGTCCAGTCTCCATCCATTGTGTGCGGTCCCTTTAAGAATTAGGATTTGGGAGTGACGCGGATATGAAAATCAAACCTTACAAGCAGGAAAATTATTTCTCTCTCTTTATTTGAGAAAAGTTCATATTTGTGTTGTCAAATTTCACCATGACCCTGAAATTCTGTCTCTTGTGTTATCATATACTGAATGCAAGCAAAACTACAGAGCAAAATCACTCTCTTTGTGATTGAACCAATCTATGAACTGTCTGAAACAATGGATATCCAGGGCCGAAAATGGGCCCCAAAAAAACATGCCACTCCCCTTGGGGCTAAGCCCCCCTTTCTGTGAATCCTAGAAATGGCCCTGACAACAACAACAACAACTACACCTCACCTTGTTGAGCAGGTATGTCAGAGCCTCTGGCATGCAGTCATGACGCATGTAGAAGCTGATGAGTGCCATGTGAGTGCCGTATGTGTTCAGGTAGTAGAGACACTCCTGGTGGAGGTTGCTTCTCTGTGTCGGACCCTCTGGTCGATCCACAGGACTGGCTTCGCACAGGGCGTCCTCCAGCTCCCGTAGGGACGCCAAGATGTCCTCACCGAGAGACTGACGGAGACACACAGACAACACGAACATCGCACGACGGGTCAAGGATTTATATGTGCACATAAGCGAGCAGATTCACCAATGATTTCTGTGCTTCACTGTTACATTTTAAAAGGAAACAAAAACAAAACAAAAACACTGCCACCATTTTCCTACCGTGGCCAGACCGGGTTGCACAGTGGTCTCCAGGTACTGGACAACCTCCTGCAGCAGTAAGGGACCCAGGTTGAGCTGGTTGCGATCCACTGGAGCCTTCAGGAAGCGAGCAAACTTCTCCCTCGCTCCAGAAAGGTTACCTGCCTTGAGAGATGCCATCCCCCAGGCCTGCCACATGCCGCCAGGGTCCAGGCCACTCTTGGTAGACACCTGGCATAGCAGCCCAACAACCGGTCTCAATAAGAACAGCTATGGAATTTAATGTCTGCATTTATCTCACTGAATCATTGAATTGATTGGGATGGTTAATAAGCTGCCTAACTACCTGAATGTTAACCTCAAGGTGCTCTACTTGTTAATAAAATGAGATGTTTATAACAGAAGAACCAGGGGGATATACAAATTCAAGGTTTCATAAGCCAAACAAAAATCTCACAACAGGCGAACTTGTTAAAACGGAGCCCTGGAGAGAGATGGGTGTATGATTGTGAGTGTGACAATAACTGTGAAATAAGATCCATTTAAAAAAAACAAATGAACCACCAACTGCCTCACCTCCACTGCTAGCTGGTAGTGCTCTGCTTCCAACAGCTGGTTACGGAGACGTGTGACAGCAGAAGTCTCCAGAATGTCATCCAGAGACGGGATATACTTGTAATTGGCCGTTACTAGAATTTTGAGCACGTCTACTTTGCTGATGTAACTGTGGAAACAGAGAATACAATAAAAGAGGAAGCAAAACTGTGTGGGTCTTGAAGTATATTTGTGTAAAATCAATCATATCCATAATTTGAAATGTATCCATGTATTACATTCATACTGTGATAATGGCCAATATCATTGTCATATGTCTAGTAAAGCGGCCTTGGAGCCCAGGTGAAGATAGAGGGGGGATAACGTAGATAAACAAGTAGGGCAAGATTTCTAAGTCTCCTTCAGCTCATTGATTTGCTTTTACAGCCACAGCTTTCTAAGCTGAACATCAAGAAGCCAAAGAGTGCGAGTTAGTGACTGAGTATTGGATTGATATCAGTCGGGTGGCCAAAAATTCATATGTGATGGTACTGCTGCTCTGTGTCTGCTGGATACGTAAGAACAAAGATGTTTGCTAAAATGTTAGCTATAAAAACTTTGTCAGTCCCTGAACTCATCGGCTATCGGTCTGATGACGGATATATTTCTGGAGGTCCGGTGAAGACTTCCTTTTCCCAACACTGCTCATTGTTTAAAGTTCGCAGCTTGAGATGCGAGACCGGAGTTGCAGTTGAGAGACGAAGCCGGTTCACAAGCTAAGTTTAAACCAATAAAAGCTAAATCTTTGCCAGACGATCGCAGTTGGGTTCCAAGATTGCACTCAACCAATGCCTGCTAGCGCTCGGACTACAAACGGAAACGATTGCCTAGAGAATTTAATCTCGTTTATAATATTGTGTGTGTGTTGAGAGTGTGCTTATTTAATGTCTAATCTTACTATTTTATTATTCTACCTACTTGCCCAGCAAATCTGCTGAGACCCAGTACATTACTTCTCTCCTTGTTTTATATAAGGTTAATGCCGATTTAAAACGTGTACATACTCGTTGTCCAACCACACAGGTGTTTTTTAACTTATGTTACCTCCACTGACACTGTCTGGGCATGTACAGAGTGCACTTGATTTACAGCCCACTCCTTTCTGGCAAGACTTCTGTTATCAGGGTTCCGTGGCATTCCTAGAATAGCTGCAGCCAATTCCAACCCGACTAAAGGTGTAATTTGAGGTGAGCAGAGTCAATAAAAACCCCTGTGTGGCTCAGCAGGGCCTTTAAGAGAATGCCAGGAAATAGTTAAGTGTTTAACTCCCAGGCTTTGAAGCCTCACCCTTCCTCCACAGCCAGAGATAGCATCGCACTCATATCTAATAGAAGTGAATCCCCTTTGATCCATCTCACGCTCACTTTCCCACCATATAACTGATGGCACAGTGTCCTTAACAACAGAAAGAAATGGGTAACATCTTACCTGTCGCATAAGGCGAGATCCTGGCTGCGGCCAACCTTAACAAACATCATCTTAGCGCTGAAGAGCAGCTGCCGCATGATGTCGGTGAGGAGGCAGGCATCCACCTCTGGATTGGTCAGCTTACGAGACAGAGATCGACAGTGGCTGATGAGGTGATGACCACATGCCGTCTGGTCATTGTGCAGAGACAAGATTGCCACGCAGAGGTACGCACTGGGAGCCTTGGAGTTTTAGGAAAAGACAATAATTAGTCTTAGTAGGTTAATTCAACCGTAAGACAACTGAATAACAGTATAGTGGTCTGTCAACTATGTAAAGTGCTAGAAATAAACTCAACTTTAGGCTTGTTATACTGCACTGAATCAGAAATTCTATGTAAAATAATCCATAATGTTAAGTAGAGTAAGTAGCATTCAAGGATATTATTACAGGTTGGTGCACTTAATGCAAGTCGCCTGCAATGAGATGAAAATGACTGACCTGTTCATAGTAGAACTCGCTCCGCAGCAGCTGGTTCTCTGCAGGGTTTGTGCTGAGTTGGATCCGTCGTTGGACCACTTCAGGCAGATGCAGCATCCCGTCGAGAGCTTCCTCTGTGACCGCGGGGCTTCCAGCCACTGCACGAAGACAGAAGAGCAGAGAGAGCCATCATCATCATCATGGCCTCCATACACCACTGATTTGAGAACGGCTTCATTTTGGATATTCCAAGTGGCCAGTGTGCTTCTTCAATCCTACATCCTTTCCTGACACATTTTATTCTCAATCAGAGTAAATAGTTCACATGCCATTTCTGATTTTATTTAATTTACCTTCAGCTGGTTCCAGCTCATCATCAGAACTGAACACAGGGAAAAAATAAAAAAAACAAATAAATTAAATAAACAGTAACATGTCTGATTTCTTTTGTAAATTAAAACCTTCACATTTTTGTGTTCTTTCTAGATATTGCCATTGCTAAAGAAAGAGTTTTAATTTGAGGTTTGCATCACTTAAATCTAGAGAGTCTTACTCTGGGTGAAAGTAGGCATAACACTGGTCACAGACTCTGACTTCTTCATCTCCTGGGCGGCCATCGACAGACATCTTATGTTCTGAACACGAGTGACAAACCAGACGGCCACATCTCCGACAATGATGCCGCCTGTTGAACTGAAAAAGCAACAGCCGCCTCATTTGGTTGTGAAATATTAAGGGACAGAGGTGAGGTAATTTAATGTGAGGCAAGGTTTGATTTTCTTTATTTGTCCAAACTGGGAAATGTGTTTATATGCCGGCAAGTATTTCTTTTTAACTCATGACAACATCGGTGTGTCACCCAGTGTTTTGCCCACTCACCATGGTGAACCTCTCACGCTGGCAGACCATGCACACGTCCCGCTTGGTGTCAGGGACCCAGTCTTTGCGGGCCGGGGGTTGGTCCGGAGGCAGGAACTTGGCAGACGAGCGCTGTTTTCTCCCTGCGGAGCTTCGATCATTCTCCCTGTCCGTGCTGTTTGAGGAGGTGGTGTGTGTTGGTGTGCTGCCTGGAATTAAACACAAGAAAGGAACCATTTAGAAAATCACAAGTTTTAAACCAAGAACTTCAATCAATAGTTTAACACTCGCATAAGAAACGCCATCAAACAAATAGCTCAATTACCATTTTTTTTAAATCAATATTTATGTTTCCTGGGGAAAGAACCTATAATCCCTTAACAGTGACTCTCCATGCAGGGAAATTCTCTGTGGAGGATCAATATGTGTATCATATTATTACTGTTGAACAAGTGCAACTGTCTCACCTGCAGAGTTTGCTGGAGATTCGATTCGATTGGAAGATAGGGAGCAGCTGTCTTGAGCAGGACATTGCATCAGCGCATCCTGGAGGCTGATTACAGAGTCTGGAAAACAAGCGGTCAAATATTTTGGCATGAGTTGCTGTACTAACTGGCTGTGCTAAAACATGAACTTGTCCCAACAACAATATCTTTAGCAGCACAAGGACATTTTGTGTTTTAAACTTTGATTCCAAGCCAAGAACAATTTTTTAAAAGATCTTTTTCCAAATAGGTTACCAAAATGGCACCTGAGTGCAACAAAGGCCTCGTCAGTGTGTGTTAATTTGTATGAGTTTGTCTCAGTTATGTATATGTTACACACATAACACACTGCAGCCAGTCGTACCCACTCTTTGTAAACACATATCTGCATGTGTCAGTGACCGTCACCACACAAAGCTCACTCAGCACTGACCAGATCGAGACCTCTCTCTCGGGGCGCAGGGGAAGTCGAGGGCCTTGCCGGCATAGTCGGCCAGAAGCTTATCGATGTCCTCGGCGCTGAAGCCGGCCTCCTGACCAACCAGGAGGCTCCGCAGGGTTCGCACCGCCACCTCTGCCCAGTCGACCTTCAGGTTCATCAACAGCTGCTCGAGCATCAGCAGGGGCTCCGACAGCAGGGGGAAGTACTCCTGCCTGGCCGCTGGAGGCAAAGTCAGCAACACCTGGAGGATGAAACACATCCGCTGGTATTAACACAACCTGAAGATATGGAGCAATTCAGCAAAAACACAGTTTAATGGTATGAAACCAACATGTTTGACTAGGACTCATCTTGTCATTTGCTGAATACTTGAAGAATTAAGAGTACAGGACTTTAAAATTGGCCGTATTACTCTCTGTGGATAATACTCCATAACAAAACATTTCCCAGCAGGTGAAATGGAAGAGCTCATCCTGTTCTGCACAATTATACCTGTAAAACTTCTAGCTGCATCATTTTGAACAAGCTGGAGACGTGAGATTGAGTTTTGACTGAGGCAGGTATAGAGAGAGTTGCAGTAGTTTAAATGAGAGGAAATAACAGCATGAATTATGAATATATCACTGTGAGCTGCCAAAGGAAAAAGCCTCAGAGAATTTGGCAGCAGAGAGAGGATGGCTTTGAGGGAAAAGGAATAAGCAGAGCCTCAAATATAATTGCCTTGTGGTCAGACACACACACACACACACACACACACACACACGTTGTCACAAGATTGTCAAGCTAAATGAGAAAACTAGGTCAAGAGTATGATCCTTTACATAAGTGGGCTCATTGACAGATTGAATAAAGTTAAAAGACACAATAAGCTGCTTGAAATCAGTGACAAGCGCATGTGATGGGCAACAATCACATATGTTAAAATCACCAAGTATTAGGCGTGTAACTGAGGATTTCTTTTGACCTCTCAAAGGAAAACGGCTGTCTGCGACAGACAGCATGAATTAAATCCTCTGTCAGATAATCACCATTAAGAATTACATTGGTGCAGCATTGACAGACCTTGGAGCCCAGGTGGAGGGCGTGGATGTGACGTCGCCTTGCTGGAGACACCTGCCTCTGGAAATGCAGAGTGAGGTAGTCAGCCAGGAAATGACAGGCAGCCAATCCGGGGCGGCGGTCCAGAGCGCGCTCACAAACGTCTAGGCCGACCACAAAGTCCGAGAGGCCCTCCAGTAACTAAAGAAAATAAGTAAGATACGAAGCACATTAACAAAGGAAGAGAGGAACTGTCACAGTAGTAACTAAATATGTTAGTTAAACACCTATAAGGCTTTCTCTCCTCTACATACAGGAGTACACATTTACAACGATGAGAGTATGTTGTAAGCCTCTGCCTGAAGTCAGGATCAGATTAGTGATCCCTGACAAAGTGAGCAATGTTATTTTAAAGCCTGAAATGGATTTCAGTCTAAAATTAACCGGATGTTCAGTGGAGTTGACCTGGAAAGCCTCGTCTGTCTGTCCCTTCTCCAGCAGATGAAGCAATTGCTCAGTCTGTAGCTGCAGCCTCAGCTGGTCGGATACAGGATAGAGTTCAACCCACTGTGCACAAAGAGCAAACTCCTGCAAAAAATAAATAGATGATTCACATCACATGTATAAACAAATATGTGTTTTAGAGATTAGGTTGTTCCCAGAAGCAATGAGCAAACGGCTGCAGGTGTGTTGTACTTACTTTTGCCTCCACCATCATAGATAACAGGGACTCAGAGTTCGTCTTCGACTCCGTCCTCAGCTCCTGCCAAGTAGCCCAAGGAAACGGAGGCTGTAAATTCAGCATCTGCGACAAGAGAAGAAGAAAACAATCACAATGTAAAGTCAAAATATGTCACATGACAGTCTACTCATGACAAACTATGTCAACACCAGACAAAAACAATATGTAGTGAATGCCAAACTTGAATAAAAAGGTCACACAGGTGCAAGACAAGAACTAAAGTCAGCCAAAAGCAAGCCTGATTTCAAGGACAAGCGTATATTTATCATTATATCAACAATTATCACTCTCCTTTCTGTTGTTTTGACAGCTTCTACATGCATCTACTTGGTTTGAATGCATGCATGACCACTTTGCTGTATGGATTCCTCTGGAGATTAAAACTAGGTCACTTAGTCTCAGTTGAGCTCTATAAATTACCCAGTGATAGATGTCCAGTTCTTTCTTCTTGAGCTCCAAGTCCGTCCTCAGCGAGGTGTCTGTGCTCAGGTCGTTGAGGCAGAACTCGAGCAGCTCCAGGCAGGCGGACAGAGGCCAGCGCTCCAGAGCCTGGAGGGCAACGCGCGCTCGAAGGTTAGCATCCCGAACGCGGAACAGCTGACCGATACCTTTATCTCCATCTGAAGATAAACAGGAAGAAGAACAGCAAACATCTTAATTGCATAGATAACAGTTGTAAAGTAACTGCTGCACTCAACACATGTTTTAAGGAATACACAAAATTGGAAGGTAATGTCTTAAATGTGTTTGTTTTGTTCTAAACTTAATATAAATGTACTGTACATATATATTTACAGTGATGTGAAACACAGAAAAGAAGTAAATCTGCACATATGGAACCAGATGATTGGCATTTTTGCCTAATAAATTACGTTAATTGTCAATATAAAATGTACTGTTGATCAACGTAAAGCGACTACAAGTACGTGCTGCACATACATGTAGCTGGGCAACAATAATGTGTTTGTTACAGATGGAAGTTAGGTCGAAGCTCATATTAAAAAGCACATCAAGTGTCACCAAAGCATTAGATGAGCTTCAATATGCTGCCTTCTGTTAAAATGCATCATTTCTCATCATGTCTCACCTTCTAAGGCAGCACAGGCCAGTAGGCGGTCTCTTAGCGCCCCCTCCTGGCTGCAGCCTTGCCCGTACAGCTCCAACAGACTGAGGGCTCTGCTGAGGTCTCTGGAGGACAGAGCCTGATGGAAGGCCTCAGCAGCCACGGCCTGGGCAACTTCATCTTGAGGCCCAGAGAGCAGGAGACTGACGACGGGTTTCCCACAAACAACCGCCCCTAGTCCGGCAGAAACCTCCTCGCCCTCACTTAACAGGAGGGCGCCCAGCAGCGGCTCCGCCATGGTGTGAAGGTAGGACCGGAGAATAGGGAACTCCTTCAGGAGGTTATCTGCTTCACGAGAAATCTGCTCTCCATCTAGGGCAACCTCTTTACGGCTGCTACGGAAATAGCCAGACCATCCGGAGGTTTGTGTCCGGGCGGTTTCTCCTTTGCAGGCACTCAAACACGCCAGTGTGGCCAGTAAAGGGGAGCGAGACTTGAGGAAAGACAGAGCTGACGGTGTGAGGAGGAATGAGCTTGAGGAAGAGAGGGAGGAGGAGGAAGAGGATGGTGGCGAACTGGAGAGGTTGGTGGGTGTAGGGGAGAGGTCCTCCACAGAGTCCTCAGACTCCGAGCTCAGCTCAGACTCCTCTGTGATTCCCAGAGTCGACACGTGCTCCTGAGCATGCTGTTGGAGCAGGACGGACAAACTGGCCACACCGAACACTCCGTCATCTTTCTTGGCCCGATTAGAGTCGCTGTCATCAGCTGGATAGGAGATCCACACAGGCAGAGTCTCACAGCATCGCTGGACAATCACCTGCTGGACGCTCAGTCGCAGACCTTCCTGCTTCAGCAAGGACAGCACTCTGGGGAGGAAACAGGACATGAAATTTTATTCAGGGAAACTATAATTGCACAGTGTATGACCATTCCTACAGCAAACCAGCTGTTGAGGCTCACATCGTAGCTGCAGCTCAGGTAAACTTGTCTAACAAGAACTGCAGCCTTATGTATGCGTGTTCACATTGACTGTGCATTACCTGTCAGGAGACACCTGTCTGTCGAACAGCAGGTAGGAGAGGAGCTGAAACGGGGCTTGAAGCAACACCAGCAGTGGATTCCCGAGCTTCACTGCTTCGCTGCTCTGATCTAAGAGACACAGTAAGAGAGGCAAACCAGAATGAAACCAGGTGTAACAAGCAGAATAGTCCCTGCTGGCTCACGGTAAAGTCAGTATTTAGGTTAGAATTGCAGTAGTTTGGTATAAAAAGTGAGCGTATTACTAAGCACCTCCAGTACCAACTGGGATAATGAGTGAGTGTTGTGACACTGAGATAGTGACGTCTGAGCACTATGCTCTTAAACTATTGATACTTTTAAAGAGCTGTTGTTAGAGGTTGTATTTTAAGATCAGCATCTTTCCAAAACACATCAACTCCTCAAAGAGAAATTACCTTCTGAACCAAGGCTGCGCACTAACACAGATGCCAGTGTGTTGACATAGTCGAGGAAGCTGCGCACGTAATCTGGTCTGGCGAGATCTCCGCCTGGCTCGAAGGGGCAAAGCTGATCCAGAGAACGAAGCAGCTGCTTCATGCTGGAGCGCACGGGGTGGGCGTCGAGCTCCGACTGCTTTAGATTGGCCTGGTCAACCAATTGCGCCAGCAGAGCGCTGCCCACGCTGCCCTCTGTTCAAACGAGAGGTAATCATCAATCATACAGACTTTCCCACAGAATGCCAACGTGGTACAGCTCAGATTGTACCTAATTGTATCTGACATTACACAAGGCGTGACAAACAATCAAAGAGCCGACCTGTGCCATCTGTAGCGGTGCTCAAGATGTGCAGGGTGGTCTCCAAACGTTGAGCTAGACCGAGCCGAGCAGCGATGGACTCTTCACTCAGGGCTGGGTAGCAACACAGAAGCACTTCCTGGATGCAGCAACCAAATGGGCTGGTGAACACTTGGTCTTCCCCAACAGCTTCTATGAACAAGAGAGGATCCACAACAAAGAAACAATTATGCACATTTCATTCATTTTTCGTATTAAATCTCTGGTCAAGAAAGTCATTTTGTCTGCAGGTCATTTTAAGATGTAATTACACATTTTCTTTTTCCCATAATGAAAATGTTTGAGTATTTGTATTCACCTGTTTTGACAGAGCTCTTGTTAGTGGCAGAATGAGTCAGGATCTTGTTGATCTGCTGTAATACAACAGGAAATCCACAGATCCCATCAGAATGTGGAACCTTGGGGTCGACTCTTACTCCTGGGGAGGCAGACAGGGATTAAAATTACTACATGTGCAAAGCTGCTAATAAACACATGACGCTGTAGTTGGTCTTGTTTCAATTTCCATGTTCAAGTAAATCTGCTCTGCAACCTGCACCATCTATATAAATCATCATGATCGCTAAAAATTATTCCAAGAAAGACCCTAATACTCATATAAACTGCAGACCTCGAGCCTCCAGGCTGCTGCCGAGTCTGCGCTCCGTGGTGTCCAGCAGCTGTCGGGACGTCTTCCAGAGCTGACAGTGGCAGCAGGCCAGGTCGAAGGCCGCCATGGCTGCCGGGCTGAGCTCCTCCAGCAGTGTGTAAAGGAGGCCAGAGGGGTCTGAGGTGCAGCGGCTCAGCCAGTATCCGTCCTCCAGTGAGTGCATCGGGTGAGCAGGGGTGCTGAGGAGACGGTCTGCTATGTCAGAGATGGAGTAGAAAGCCACTCCTGCGGGGGAAAAAAAAAAAAACACACAAACAAGTCAGATCCTGAGTTATCTACTGTGCAAGACAAAAGGTCATAAAACCATTGAAAATGTAAACCTGGTATATCTGGCTGCGCAGAACTGTAATAAGCCCGACCAATAATTTCATTCAGCCCAAATGAAATGCCTGTGCGTATTCTGCCTGGGAACTCATTGTGCGTCACCAGTGTCTTTCACGAGCTGCTAGCTTGACAGCTACTGACAACGGCCATGTTGGTCGTTTACATTCATAATGATCATTTTTGGGGGAGCAACTTTGGAGGGAGGCCTGAAGGTCAGTGTTGCCGACTATTTCATTCTGCTTGAACTAAAAGAAACATAAAATCTTAAGTAGGAAAAAAGATGTCTAACCTGCAGCAGCCGCACTTCCGATGGCCTGCAGGGTTGATAGCCCACTGCTGCCCAGCCGACTCCTTCCTGCCACCGACACAGCTGCTGTCCCCAAACCCTCTGAGGAGGATGAGGATGAAGACCTGGACTGGCTCTCCATCTTCTGCTCCACCCGTCCCAGCTCAACCAGCACTTCATGGTAGTGTTCCATGAACACCAGCTCACCACAACAGGCAGACGCCTCCAGATTAAACACCAGAGACACCTGCAGAGAAGCCACAAAATACACCATGGAAATATAAAGGTTTACCTAAAGCATAATTAGGCAGTAAGCATACGAGTTGTGGGAGGTGTTATTAGTGGTAGTAATACTATATTAGTAGTAGCAACAGTATAAAATGTACTTTGTGTATCAAAATGAGGAACATTGACTTTTAAGCTGCTAAAAAACAAATAGGTTTTGTAAAAAGTCCAGCTTGCCGCACAGACCTGATGAGCCTCCATGAAGTTTCCTCGGTGGATGCAGGACATGAGTAGAGACTCTGGTGGGGACAACAAGGCGGGGACAAGCCAGCTGTGTGGACCTCCGCATGGACAAACCTCCAACTCCACACAACCTGTCCCTCCTCCACCATCTGACAAAGGACAAATAAACACTTCAAAAAGCCACACAAATAACAAAAGGCTTTCAAACTTCGGGGGACAAAAGCCTGGATTTAAGTCATGTAAATGACAGGCTGTTGTGTATGCGTTACCTGATGCACTCGTGCTAACTTCTCCATTGTGTTTCTCCACTGAGGTTTGTCTCTCTGTAGCACGTCTCCCTGGTCTCTTCCTTCTCCTCAGGCTCGAGCTCTTGCTGCGTCCCAGAGAAGTGACGGGAGAGCTGACCGCTGACATCTGGAGAGGACTTTCTGAACCTGCAAGTCAATTTACCGTCAAGACTGAGAAAATGAATGCCACAATTCTATCTGAACTCATCCAGCACTGACGCAACAATGAGAAAGATCACACAAATTAAGATGAGACACCAGTCAAATGTTTGTGAATTTTAGTTGTTGTTGATTTTCCTTTGCTATGTCTTGCATGCAGAGAGAACTAAAGAAATATCTTGTCCATCTCACCACTTCCACTGCCCTGATTGCTGGTGATGATCTGCAGCCTCCACTGAGCCTCTGCAGTGCGTTTGGACAACTTCTGCAGACGAGGCCCGAACGTCTCAGCCGTCACCGAGCAGCAGAGGTTCTCCACCGCCTCGGCCTCTCGAAGAAGTGCTCCTCCCGCCTCCTGGCCCTCCTGGCCCAGCACACGCATGCCCTCCAACCCTTCTTTCAGCAGCTTCAGGAAACCCGTCATGGCCGTCACGTCGGCCAGAAACCCCCTGCAGCCCTGGATAAAGTGCCCCAGCTCCAGGTGACTACGGTGGGCTGCTGATGGTGAACTTGAACGCAGCTTCTGGTTCTCTTTCCTGCTGTACTCGGTCTCATCCGTCTTTGCCTCGGTTCCCGATTCTACATTTGTGTTTCTTGTATCCACTAAAAGTTCTGACTGAGTGACATTCCCTGTGTTCTGGTTCCAGTTTGTTTCTTTTTGGATCTGCTGGGAAAAGTCAGTGGTGGACAGGAAGAGGAGGGAGAAGATGTTCTCCAGGAGCTCCAGGCGGAACATGGCAGGAACGGCCTCTAGATAGAGCTGACACTCTGACAGGTAGTGCTGGAACAGCACATGGTAACCTGGAAAACACAAAAACGGAGAAGATCAGGCTGTCGTTCAGAACTGTATAAGAAAAGAAAAGGTCGATAAACAAAGACAACCGTGTCAGCTTTAAACAACAAGATTCTACTTGTCGTATTCCCACTACAGACGCGACGCTTTCTGTGTTATCCCTGCAGTGGATGACCTAATCAAATTAGACTTTGCAATCGGATTTAAAATGAAAGGAAATACTCGAGATTTTAGCCCAGAGTCACCATAATATCATAAGTATCCAGACTTTGCTCTGATCAGACGAAAAACAAAATAATGATCTGGATGCCGCGATAGCTTTGGTGCATCAACGCAATGGACAGATGCAAGGATATCACCATGTTTCATAACGGTGCACTTCCACACCAGCGTGTGCATGTGGCATTTCCTGTTTACTGGCATCGTCTGTGGTGTGATCAGGTTAATCCAACCTCACAAAGTGATAGTATGGGGTTCCTTTTTTTTGTTGAGATTTTTTTTCTTGACTTTATAATCTCAGATAATATTTGCATTATTTTCTCACAAATTTGTTTTTATTTTTCTGTGAATTTCTAAATTGAATCTTGGATATTTAGAATTGTATCTCTGAATATTACCCCCTCCCCCCCAGCTCTGTTTTTCTTTCTTTTTTTAAACATACAATGGCTCTTATATGCAGCTCTACCAAATGTCTTTAAATGTTTTGTCAGTCCAAAACCCAAAGATATTCAGTTGAATATGATATAAAATGGAGAAAAGCAGGAAATCTTCCGATTTGAGAAGCTGATAAAAGCAAATTCCAAAACTAACTTCAAATACTGTATATTTAACAGGTTATCCATGAGGACAGCACTGTCTACTTATTTTGCAACAAGATTATAATCAGCTTCAATTATCAGACCGGAAACTTTAACATCCGTCATTAAACTGAAACGAAAAGAAAGACAGCTTTCGTACCTTCTGAGGACGTTTGGGTTTTGGTTTGGTCCACTTCTGCTTCAGAGAGCTGCTGTTGCTGTTGTTGTTGCTGCTGCATAGGCTCACACTCGGTGCAATTTGAGTACTTATGTGCATTTACACATAGAGCATAGATGGCATACTTCATGGCACAGAAGCCCTGGAACAAAACTATGTTCCTCTGCACACCAGAGCTGAGATTACTGACCACCTCGGTTTCTTCTGCAGGGAAAAGAAAATTACATTATTCTTTTGGCAGTCGACCCAAAAACATTCATGTGACATTCAACAAGAGAGGGGACGATGACGATGCTGACCTGTTCTTGGTGAATTTGGCAGTTGCTGCAGCAGATCCAGTATCTTGCGCTCCTCAAACTGAGCCAAAGGAGTCAGAGAATGCAGAATATAGAGGGCAGAGTGATTGTCCAGAGTGTGCAGCTGTGCCAGCAATGCCTCCATGGAAATCCCTCTGCACAGACACAATTATAAAAGATGTAAACATTAACAATAAATAATGATTGAGATGGAGTTAAATGCCGGTCAAACAAATGCTTACGGATTGTTGTTTTTACACCATTCAAGTACTCCAAGCTGAGAGGAGAGAAGATCAGAAAACTCCTGTAGAACAGAGTCATTGGCTGGGGCCTAAAAAGAAAGAGAGTGTATCAGCAAATGACACTTAACAGCTGTAAAACAGCTGTAGAGGTGGAGGTACGAGATGACATCTGACCTGCTCTCGGTGAAGGATGCTGAGCAGCGTTTGAGCCGAGCTCAGACGGCGACACTGAGTCCACCCGAGGAGCAACAGCAGACGAGATAAAGGCTGGAACTCCAACCTCAGTAAGTCTTTCAGCGGAGAAAAGTCCTCGTGTTTAATCAGGTCAAGTGCAGTAACCTACAGGAAGCAACCAATCTTATTACATTACTGCATTTCATCACATGTGATCGCTAACCAACTTCACTTGACGATCACGATCCAGTGCTAATTATGAAAAATATAGAGTCGTGATGCTACTGAAAGAAGACTGTGTACACTCTAATTTAAATCGGATTACAAAACTAGTTTGACTATTTTTCCAGCGGTTTACTTACCAGGACCTGCTCAAGGAAGTGCTTTCCACTACTAAGGCACTCAAAATAAATGGTCTTCCAGATGGATGGACGATCCTTGTGGCAACATAAACTGAGGGCCAACTTCTCGGCTTCAGGAAGGTCCACTAAGAGGGCGATATGATAAGAGTGGAAACAAGTTGAGCACTACATAACAGGCTATTATCTAAAGTTACAACGGGTTTTCAAATGATTATGAAACGGTCTCAATTAAATAATGATGTTTACATTTTCACAGGCAACGTTTGTAGCTGACAGAGAGGCACACAAAGCTAAAAGACACGGTGATGGAGCACGAGCGAAAACAAGAGTCAACCGTGGTCAACAAATGGAGAGAATTGCTATTTCAAAAGGATTCAAAACCGATCCTGAATTGTCCATCTTCCTCCTAGACTGGACTGTAATATTGCGAGTTTTGTATCAATAAAATTGTGTTTTGGTGGTTCAAACAAAGTTTACTTAGTTTCACCATCGTCATATTTACACAGACTCTGTAAATAAGATATTCTGGGAGGCATTTAGGGGTAAACAATTGCTCAACATTGTGTGTCTTCTTATTTTTTACGGTTTTCCTTGATACAAGTTTGGTTTGTGTCATTAGTCAAATATGAAGAATAAATGTCATCATTACATACAAGCTAAACCATCAAGCACCCATCAATCTTCACTATTGGTTTAATGCCACATTGTAAGCAAACAGATCCTTAAAAAAAAATTAAAGAAAATCTATGTAGACGCTAACAAAACTGCAGAGTAAGAAAAGCTGTCACGTATGAAGTTTTCGAAACACTAAGTAAAATCTGTTGAGCGTTCGCAACCACAGAAGCAGAAGTGTGATTAAAAGAGGTAAAGAAGTGATGCAAACGTTTGCTCTTTAAAACTGGAAGCACAGAAGGCAAAAAAACAGGTTATTTAATTATATTATACTCGTATTGGTACTATAAAATAAAAAAGAGACAACCTGACTGCTAAAACAGCTCAGAGGAGGAAGTGATTTATAGGAAGTTGGAACATATATGGCTATTTTACAAAGCAGTCTGTTCTAACAAATCAACATGGAGATAACTTAAAGGGACACATCTTAAAGCAAATCCTGATGATCCCAAAAGCATGTTAACATCAAATAATGCTTGTTTACGCGGCACCACAAGCTGTATATATCAGAATAATCAACGGGCTTCTGTTATTATCGGAGCTGAACACGCTCGGACTACCTTGTGTATCGGGCGCGCTCCTCAGCAGATGATCCCTCTGAAGTCTCAAAGCGGCGGAGCAGTAAACAGAGACGAGGGCATCGCTCCGGGGGCGGAGCAGCGAGCTCAGGATCCTCTCCTCCTTCAGGGGCTTGTCTCTGGCGGCCCACAGCGCCTCACACAGCGCCTCCAGCTGCCCGCCGCTTCGACCGGAGCTCCATGGCATCACAGACAACACGGCGTAGATCTCCTCCACCTTCTCCGGCCTTCTCTCCGGTTTTCCCAGTACCTTCATCAGGTGTTGGATGAAAGTGTGCTGCAGAGTGTGGTCCTCTGTGCATGACTTGTCCTGTCGGAGGAGAAGAATATATACGTAGACTCAAAAGTTTGATTTCAACTTATACAAGTAATGGGAATGTATTGTTACGTCTCTTCTGACATCCATAGCCATCAGTTTTATAAATTCAATGGACATGTCCATAAAAGAGGTTCTTTCTTTCTTTCTATTTTTACATTTATGTCTAGCAATATATAGAGATTTTAATAATTTTGCTTTGTCGTGACTCTACCTGTAAGAAGTGCGTTAAAGACTGGGCGAGTCTGGGCTTCTTTTTCTCCAATAAGGTCCGCAGGCAAGACTCAACAGCCACATCTGTTGAGCTGGAACCCTCTGGAGCTCTTTTCTCAGACTGTGTGTCCAAGAAGGCCATGTGCAACTCCTGCTGAAAGATAACTGATCTCAGTCTATAGTCACAACATGTAAAACAGAACACATCAAGTTAATCTCAGTACACTTAGCCTGTGTGAACAGAAAGTTTTGTCTCAATCTAATTAAAAAAGTAAACACTTTCCCATCTAGTTTTTACAACTTCATTTGTAAAATGAGATGAAAAGATAAGAACCTTGAGAACAGTGTCTGGTATGCTCTCTGAGCCCAACTCCTCCAGGAGGAGAAGGAACTCCAGCTCTCTCCTGACGTCGAGAGGGACCTGAAGTGGATCATAAACAAGAGTCGAGTTATTTTGTCAATTAATTTCATAACACAATGAAATGTAAAATAACACAGCGCAATTATCGAGATTGTCTTTCGGGTCGCAACAAAAGATTTGACCAAGACATATTTAGTAAGTTAACACAAACAGAGATGCTCTCAGATACCAACATACAGCTGGAGGACAAAGTGACTAAACATGTCGTTTAAGAGTAACTCAAATAAGCACAATAGAGCGAGCTGCGATACCGGATTCTTCATGGTGTTACCTGCTCTTCTGTCCATTTCTCCAAAACCTGAAGCCAAAACCAAGCCAGTTTGTGTGGACTGCCCACAGACTCCCATCTGCAAAATAAACACAGTGTCATTAAATCCACAGCTGAAATATAAGGGTTTGGTTTTGGGACTTTTGCAGACTTATAACAGTACTGCCTTACATTTTATTTATCTAAGAATTCATAATGTCTTGCGAGTATGCAGCTGCGCGACTCACTTTAAATTGTAAGGATGGCAGACAATAGCTTTGATTATGTCTCGTAGGTTTTCTGAAAGTCCTCCCGTTGAGTTAACCAGCTGTGGCACACAGGCATTGGCCAACTCCCACTCTCCATGCTGCAGGCACCTCTTGAAGTACTCAAACAGGTCCCGAAGAGAGGTCTCAGCCTCACGGCCAAAGGGATGCATGGCCACTTTCACTGGGACACTCCTCTGATCAGCTGTCACAACTGGAACAGCAACGTTACTTCCATATAGCCAAGGAGGACGCTCAAGCTTTCCTCACCTGAAACGGAAGTTTGACAAAACAAAGAAATGCATATATTCTGTGATATAAAGTCAATATATACAGAAGGATAATTGTTTAAACTAAATATAATCTGGAAACAATCATACATTCACAACTTTTGGATACATGCAGGTGCTAATTTGTTGTTTACTTTACAGATGATTAGTGTGGTATGATAATCTACAAAGTCTTTCTCATTTAGAGCCATTAATTTATTAAACAATGGGCTTTGTTGGTTCTGGGTAAGCAGCTCTCTACTGAAGTATACACATTGGATTTTTTTTCTACACAGTAAGTCATGTATGGCAGTATCAGTGAAAAACATATATAATGGAGTTTGATTTAATATTTCATTCATTTTATACAGTATTGCTATGTATTTTAATTAGCATCGACACATGCTATATGGTTTACAGCATCATTTATTTTATGTGATCACTCCCTAAAATAGATTTCTGACACTGTTAATATCATAATCTATTGTTTGTTTGTTTTGTAAACTAAAAATAGTTAACTGAACTTGCTTGTTAACAATATTTTACATATTTTCTTCACGTCACTCAGAGGCAAGATCTGAATCATAGATGTGGGATGTTTTACAGCAAGTCTAACGTTACCTTTAGTTGTCTTTTCAAACAAACCACGAAAGTTGAGAAAGAAATCAAAACAGCTGTGCAGTGAGCTGCTCAGTCAGCGGGACTAAATAAGCCTTTAAATACGTCAATGTTTCTATCGTCTCTTCTCAGATTTGACAGCTAACTTACCTTAATGTCTCCAGTTAGCTAGCTTTAGCATTAGCTACAAAATCTTGCTGACTGGCTGTAGCTGAAACATTAAGTTAGCTGAAACATTAAGTTAGCTAACTTCCGTAACAGCTGGCAGGCACACACATAAATCAATAACAAGTTAGAGAGTATTTAATGAAGTTACTTACTCATTTCTTTGTGATATTTCCCCCGAAAATGGGGACTATTTACACTCACAGCTACTGTTTTCTCTTGACCTATTATGTTAGGAGGCTAGGTGCGCGTTAACGACGGTCATGTGACAAAATCAGCTGATTCTCCAACGCTGGTTGGTCAAAGGTTGGAACGAGGTGGGCGTTCCTTTTACTGGTGCCTTCAGGTGCTATCGGAAATACTACCACTCAAACAGTAATTTACATACAGCCTGATTATTATTTACCCCACACATAGTAATATATATATACACATATTCAATTATATATTTAAATATATATATATATACATATATATATGTATATATACATATATATCTATGTATACAAAATACAGTAGTAGTAGTAGTAGTAGTAGTAGTAGTAGTAGTAGTAGTATTAGTAGTAGTAGTAGTAGCCTAGTGTTGTTATCAGTTTTATTATTATAATTAAATAGGGAATTAATTGCAGAATTAAGACAAAAGACAGTAGACATAGATAAAGTAGTCTGAAGACATTGACATTGTACTTGTTATTATTATTATTATTATTAATATTGAGGTTCCAGTTTAACGAGTAGAACCGTGACCAGTGAAGGCAGCATCAGGTGGACGGCTACGGCTTTAAAGGGAAGCACACAGAGTGTATTATATATATTTATATATATTTATTATAGAAATATGTAGCAGGTCCGCTGCAAACCAGCGACAGAAAAGCATTGAGCTAAATGTGAAAGGATGAACCCACACGTTCACATCAGTCCCCCAAAACAACCCTCTTCTTTAACCGACTTTTTATCCAAATCATTTGTATTGAACTGAAATATTCAGCTTGTAATATATCCCCCCCCCCCCCCAAAAAAAAAAATTCGGAGCCTGTCTCTATGACAACTACAGGCGGGGTTTGCCAGCTGGAGGCAGAGTCGATCACTCCTCAGTTGGCATCACCGCTCGAAACCTCCACACTGCATCACGCCCTGAGTGGAATGGAAGAAAAGGACAAGAAAGAAAATGTATGTATAGCTGTGAAAATTATGATTTGAAATTCTGATAATGTATAATATCTCACTTTGGCATTGGCTCACTGAAATAAATATACAGAAATATAGTTTGTGCAGCTCGAGTCACTGATTGTTTAGAATGTGGATCAATAACGCTATTGTTCCCAGCGGTGCCGTATAGGTTGCAGCTCACCGCAGATTCCGACATCAGCATGGCTGCATGATCACAGAGCACCATGCAGTAATGATCTAGTATGTTTAGCTACAGGCCTCATCCTGTGTGTGACCGCTCATCTACGTGAAACATCTCTATTGTTTCACAGGAGGAGTACACCGGAGAGATAAAGGGTGGACTGCGGCCTTCAATGAAACTGGTTGTCATGGGAATTATTAACAAAAAACCCAAGAGGTAAGTGCACACCTTTTTGCAATAAAAAGCGGATTATAAATTATTGATATAGCCTACTGTTGCACACATGATGTGGCAGCCAGTTAAAGTTATGAGGGGAAAACATGCTGTGGCTGGTTATAAAACAGGATTTCAGATAGATGTAGTCTGTGTTTGAGTGCATAACCACCCAGCGAGTCCCTGTTTTGGGAAAATATGTTTGTAATGCCAGTGCGTTTCCTAATTATAGGTTGGTATGTGAAAGTGCGTGGTAAAGCTGAAAAATCCCATGAAATCTGAAAATCTGAGTCACACTGGAATTGTTTTGGGGTTGATAACATCAATTGGCTATTTACTCATTCAGACATCAGTTAAGTTCCAGTAAAAGATGACAATTAGGCAGCTTACAAAAAAAAACATATTCTGTGCAAAAATGAACTAACGCAGATCTTTTTAAAGAAACATCAGGGAGGTTTTAAGGACAAATGTTCTCAAAGGACCATTTTCCTAAATACTGCATGAATGTGACAGCTTTCAGAGCTTAGAATGTGCTGCCAAAAGCATGTTTCTTTGTCATTTTGGTAGTCATATGAGGTCAAATCAAACATATAATATAATACAACTATAAAACGTATAGTATAATACAATAAACGTGTATAATAATGCAATGCCAGCAGCCAGTAATACAAAATTTCCTGCAAAATGCCAGATTGTTACAGCATATTGTTGTATCCGTGTAATCAGGGCCAAAGGCAGAGCATATGATGACTGTAAAAATAAATGTTCAAATCATTCACAAGTAGCAATATCCAGAATGCTCTAATACAAGTAAAGTTAAGTAAAAGCACTGAAGTACTGGCAACATAATACTTAAAGTATCAAAAGTAATAGTACTTATGCAGAATGGCCCCTGTCAGTTTTTGTATTCTCAAATAAAGTACCTCAAAGTTGTACTGAAGTATTCGAATAAATGTACCTTCAACCACTGAAAATTGTGTGCAAATTGTCTTATTACAACAGCACAGTTGTGATAAAGACCAGAAGATGTCACTGTTCTCCAAAGAAAACGACTAGATTTAAAATTCAGTTGATTCCACCAGAAGTAAAGAATACAAAATAATGAAAAATATGAGGCAGACAAACAGAAAAGCTACACGATATCAGCAGTGGTGGAGGAAGTATTCAGAGCCTTTACTAGAGTACTAGTACCACACTGTAAAAATACTCTGTTACAAGTAAAAGTCCTGCATTGAAAATGTTGCTTAAGTAAAATAATGTATGATATATTCAGAAAATCTACTTAAAGTATGACAAGTATTCAATGCATTAAAGTGACTGCTGATCACTATATCACTATGAATATCCCTATTAATATTACTCAACTAATACTTATTGTTATTATAAATTTTGTTTAAAGTTAGGTTTGTAAATTTTGTAAAATGTTTATAAATGCCTCCACGATTACCCAGAGCCCAAAGTGACACCGTCACAATATTTGCTTTGTCCAAACCTAAAAACTACTAAACATAAAGGTAAATAATCGAAAGGAAAAATGGCAAATCTTTGCATTTCAGAAGCTGGAATCATAAAATGATTTTCTAAATGATGATCAAAATAGTTGAACAAATCTTCTGTAAACTGACTTCGCTGTACTTTCTTTTTTTGGGATTTGTAAAGTACAACTAAAGCTGCCAAATAAATGTAGTGGAGTAAAAGAAATACAACATTTGCCTCTGAAATGTGGTGGAGTAAGCTTCATGTCTTGACTTTTGTCCCGTCCTTGATGTCAGCATCGAGGTGATTCTGTCCAGTGAGCCTCAGGAGGAGGACGCAGACGGTGATGTGGGACTTCAGTTAAATGTGAACTTCATGGATAAGGCCGTCGAACGCAACGCTCGCCTGGCTGGAAAGTGGGGAAGACCTGAAACTACTCTCTCCTACTTTCCGTTTGCACCTGGAGAATCCTTCAAGGTATGTTTAGAGTGTCTGACGGCGAGGGCCACAGTTTAATAAACTTGAACATGAGATTTTCATTATGTTCAAAAGGAAAATATCTGTCCTGCCTTTATTTTTCACCTCTCTGATCTCTGCATGATCTTCGATTGTAAAAAGTAGATTTGCTGGAGAGTTGCTGGAGATCTTCCTGTAGTTCAGAGCAAGCTATTTTAATGGAAGACAAATGCAAAAATAGAAATGTTCTCATGTTATAGTTTGAACAATCACCATCAACCCTTCCCCTCCTATCCTGGTCAGTAATGCAGTAAAGACGCATTAAGCATTGCTGAAAGATCAAGCAGGACTAATGCAAACAAACATGAAAATGACAATACATAATCAGGAATAAAGAAAAAGACAAAAAAAGCTGCACTTACTGCACTTCTTTCTATTGATTGTAATGTCTGTGATCCAGGAGTTACGCTAATATTTCTGCAGATAGACTCTGAATTACAAAACCATCTTTAAACATGCTCTAAAGGCAAATCTGCTCCAAACAACACGAAGTAATAATCAGCCATTGATTGAATTGTTGATGCTTCAAAATCCAGAAATCACCTGATATCAAAAAAAAACAAGACCTACTGTGAATTGAATTCATGCTGCAGAGAATAACAGGAAGATTATCCATTAGGATCGAGCTCATCTGACCCTGAAGGGAGCATGACCTCGTTGCTCTGTTCAAGACGCTTTCAGATTCGCCCTTAAAGACACTAAAAACATGGTTTCAAATCTTAAGCATTATCTTTTTTTATATATCTTTTTCTATTTTTCTACAAGCACATCTTTTTTTTTATATATCTTTTTCTATTTTTCTACAAGCACATCCTTTTTTTATATATCTTTTTCTATTTTTCTACAAGCACAGAGTTCAGAAGGGGAAAAAAAATCCCAAATACAGAAATCTCTCAAGTAAAATAACCAAAACTTTTCATAGAAACAGATTGAGAAAATATGGACCAACTTCTAATGGATAATATAACACTTTTCATACCCTGCTGGCAAATCTGTGACTTCTCTGTTCACGATTTAGGCCAGTACAATGTGTGTGTTTTTAGCATTAAACACAAACCCTGACTGTCTCCTCCTCTACTTCTCTTCTCTGACCGTCAGATGGAGATAGTTTGTGAGCACCAGCAGTTTCGCATCTTGGTGGACGGACAGCCTCTGTGCGGATTCACCCACCGGCTCACCCGGCTCGCTTCCCTCACTGCCTTACGGGTCTTTGGAGACTTTCAGCTCACCAAGGTGGCCTAGCACCAGCGCCTGACGTTGTGGGGACAACAGTACAAACGGTTAGAATAGAGCTACTTTGAATGAATTAACCCATGATGGGGCTGTGGGGGAACAAAGTGACGCCTGCCTCGTAATCACGAGTTAAGTGCCTGGTAGATTACCTGTTTGGGGACTTGAAGTTAGACTGAATGTAACAGTCGTCTGTGTCTTAAATCAACTGAGGAATGTGATTAGAACTGAAGCAATTTGTGGTTTAAACTATACTATTTTCCCTTCCTGATGAACATTTGCACAGATGTGATGCGTCGCTGATAAAAGGAGTGCTGCATCCGTCTGTGTGCTTTCGAATCTCAGACCTCTGGAGTTAACCTTTGAAAGCACTTACGTTTACGAGCACCTGCATGAAGATGAATGTTTCTGAAATCAACTGATTGTCATTCTGTGCCCAACTCAGTATATAATGATGTAAAGCGATTTGCGTAGCCTACGTTAGTGCATGCCAGTAACACACACACTGTTTGTTGCATTCCTCTCAGTTTGCCTCCAGATTAAACACAAAGCTGCAGAGGTTTACGTCACACTTTGTTATTGTACCATTATCAACTATGAAAAGCCACCAACACCCACTGGTTCATGTACTTTTCTTTTACCCCGAGCACTTTTTGTGTGAATGTTTCATATTGACTTAACTTTACTGCAATAAATCACTTTTGTTGTTAACTGTTTTGCTGTTTTTCCGCCCTTGTGGTCGAGTAACTTGTACTTGGAATGTACAGCGTTAACTTGTACAGCGTCTCATATCACTAAGGTTTTGTGTCATATATGATTTCACTGGAACAAGCCTGTAAACCAACACCAGCTCAGCTTGAGTCATTCAGCTGATAAAGGCTCGACTCAGCTTGGGAGCGCCCGTCTGTGATTTCTGGGAGCAGCAGGTCTGAACTGGATGAGTCGGACAAATACTTCCTGAGGCCTTTTTCTTGTCTCTACTTGTACTTCTTCCTGTGTCAGATCATTTTACTTCAGTGAAAGGATCATATAAAACCATAAAACAATATTCCACCGAGGGTTTCTGCAGCAATCACCAACAATTTAAGACCTTTTATACCACCTAGATTACATTTACACAGCCTCCTGTGTGAACAGTCTACCGCCACGACAATCCCAGTCTCCTGACAATCCCGCAGTCCGATACAGAAACATTTCATTAGTAATACGCCTGCCAATGGCATGCAAAAGAAAAGAGCTTTGTGAATTAAATTAAAGATTTTTTTAATACCTTCTAAGGACTTTTTTCTTTTCTTTTGAGTAAACTGAATCCAACACTTTCGACTCTTTAAGACCTGCAGAAACGCCGTCACCTACAAGTCAACATCCTGTTAAAAAGTAAAAGTACATAAGTATTATCAGATGTTTAGAGGAAAATGTATCTCACAGACATCTGAAAGATGACAAAGGCCACACTGTTATTTTTATGAGGGGACATACAGATAGTCTAATTGGTTTGGAATAATGTCTAATAATTCATTTATATATTCTACAAGCCTGTAACGTGTTGGTTTAGATCAAATATCCATCTGGATATTTCTGACTACAGCTGTCATAAAAGTAACGGAGCAAAAAGTGAAATATTTATCTCTGAAATGTAGTAGAAGTATAAAGTAGCAGAAAATTAAAATACTCAAGGAAAGTACAAGTATCAAACATTGTACTGAAGTATACGTGAGTAAATGTACTTTCACCACTAGTGTCTGGAGTTATGAATGTGGAGAATAAAGTCAAGATGATTTATGCTTTAATAATGAAAACATCTCGTAAAACACATGCAAAACTTTGAGCTAGTTGGGCTTTTAAACGTCCTCTGAGCACAAACCTAAAAGTACAGAATAGTCAAACTGAAGACACTGATATTTTAGAGAAACGTTTTGTGACCACTAACACTTTCATTTAAATTAATTTAAATTGCATGATCCCAGTTGGCTGCTACAGTATACATTCATGGAATGTGTAATTCTTTCTTCATAGCTGAATAACTGAACTAGTTAATATCTTAGAGTATTAACCGCTCTACGTCAGCTTCCTGATCGCATCTATCCAGTCCATCTTCTGCTGGTGAGTCGGAGCTTGCATGAAGTAATGTGTGTCTGACTGGGTGATGATTTTGAACAAGTTGCCTTGAATGTTGCCTTTCACACCTGTGCGGGAGGAAAAATCAGAGTTAGTAAACTAGAACTACTAACAGACAAAGCAAAATCAGTGCAGTCACAATTCAATATGGAAAGCCAATTGTTGAAGGAAGATGTGTGTCGTTGTAAACGGAATGAATGATGACGCATAAATAACTTTAGTGTTAAATACACCACATTTCATCAGGAGCACAAAATACAAGTATAATTCTGGCCTTATTCTGTATTTTTCAGTACTTTCTGACTTTCTGTCCCTGTTTGTGGCTCAGGGTTAAGTATGTTTCTTTCTTTTTGCAAATAAAAGGCAAATCATTTCCTAAGCCTGCGGTCCACTGTAGTTTTTAGCAAACATTACTCAAACAGGAATAAATGAGGCATTAGTTGGGAACAATTCCAGTTTGGTGCTCTCGTATATATTTACAGCAGCAGGACTTTGTACGTGGGATTAACTCAAATTAAACTACAGTGACCATGTTCATCTTGACGAGGGAGCAGAAATATATGGTTTTGAATGGACAGACAATAGTTGTTGATCAATTCATGAAATAAGAAAATAAAGTAGTCAGACAAAAAAGTGGAAAACAAAACCATTGCTTCTCATTACTCGTCCTGTCTTGCAATTATTTGCTTGAATAACTTTGTTTGGAAGTGTTCTTCTGAGGTCACTGGAGTTGCAGACAGCGACTCACCTGAGGGAACTCCGTTATCGTGCAGAGACGACACCAGACAGGAGCGCAGAGAGAAGCCGCCAGCGGGGCTGATGTCATCCTGATGAGTGAGTGACGAAAGACAGGAAGGAAGAGTCAGATTTGTGGAAGTGAATTACAGGGACTTTAAAGTAATGACTGGTTCAGAGTCATAACTGGCCCGAGGCTCAGAAAAGCACAACAACTGCTTTGTTTTGCGTCTCCTCTTGTATCTAGTGTGTTTGTAAGTAAATTACACTGATCAGATTTCTTTTAGATTCTATCAGGTAATTGAATCACCTATGTCTTTAGCACCATAGTTTAATGTACACTCACCTTGGTGGGATCATAATAGTGAAGGTAAGCAGGCTCTGAACGCAGCACAAACAGTCGCACCTTCCAGTTCTTCCTTCTGTGTCCCTGTGTTTGAAAGAAGGCCAAGGGTTAGTTTGAGGAGTCTCTATTTGATCACATCACGCATGAAGGAATTTGTCAAAGTCATAAGACATAAATAGTACCACTTCATAAAAGACAATATGTAAAAAAAGGCTTCTAAGTTGTAGTACTAATAAGAACACTTTTGGCATTGCCAGGTTGTGAACACCCTCTTTGGCTGGTGTTTATACTGCTTTTATAAATGTTGGTAATCCATTTATAGGTGGGGTCCTCACTTTGCAATAAGCCCTCAAGCCTGCAGTTATAAATATTAATAAGTTGTTCATAAAAACGATTTTGGTCCAGATCAACCATTAATGGAATTTATCAATGGTTGATTTAATACAATTAGGAATTAGACATAACATTGCCCGATTGGTACTTACTATTATTCATTTACTTACTTACTTACTTATGTATTTATTGTCAGGGCTTTTGCTTTATTTATTATTAATAATAATAAAAATAATAATAACTCAGTTATTCTTCGGTGTGCTTACCTGTTTAAGTAAATATCCTCTCTTGACCACTTTTCCACTCAGCTCCACTGCAGACAGCGAAGACTCTGCCTTCACACTTCCTCTCTTCTTTAAGCTGTCAGACTGTGATAAAACACAAACGTGCTATGGATTAAATACTACTCCGTCCTGCTTAATAAACGGATCAACATTGAAAATCTGTCTATAATGCATGTGGATATTCTCAGTGTGGCATCATGAAGCAATAAAGTGCTGGAGGTCAGCACGCAGAGACTTCCTGGTACTCACAAAGCTGTACAGTGCGGTGGAGTCATCCATGAACTGCTCACTGAGGCCGGCGGTGCGGAGAGCCTCCACACTCTTCAGGCCGACGGTCCGCAGGAAACCCTCCTCCAGCAGGGCCGAGGCCAGCGTCATGGCATCCACACGGGTCAGAGTCAGCTGCATGAACACCAGCCAGTCCACCACCGCTGAACCTGCAGGGACATCCCCATTGATTTCATGTGAATCATGCAGGGATCACAACCAAACTGAAATATTATAAAGGTGGATGCCTTTAAAAATGTTTCCAAGCAAACATCACCTGAGATGATGCAGAAGACTAAAGATGTTGTTAAAGGCTCACCTGAGAAACAGTTGCTGTAAGTGTTGCCCTGCGCCACGTGGTTGCTCATGTTGATGCCACTGTGGATGTCGTACATGGAGTCCAACACCTTGCTTTAAAAGAGACAAAGAGATAAAGAAGCAGAGACAGAAGTGAGATGTCTGCAGGGTGAGACAGTGAACACACCGTTAACATGTGGTAAAAGCCTGTGTGGGTAACATGTAGACTTACCTCAGATTGATGTTGTGTAAGTGGGATCCAGCAGGGTCCTGCTGCTTTGTCACATTCACACCTTCAGGCGTCCGCAGCTTGCCGACCGCAGCAGTGATGTCACCAGCCCAGTCATCTCTCTCCTCCCGGGAACAAGCCTCCAAAAAATGATCCGCCCCATTCTTTGTCTGGAGCTTTAATACCAACTAGGAAACATAAAGAGAGAGGAGATTGATGTTCAGTTCTGATGACAAATTCAGACAAAAAAAAACAACAAACAGATTCTGTCGAAACAGTAGCCTGAGGCAACATTCAGCCTCAGCTAAAGACACACCTTCAATGTGGTTTCTAGCAATACAAACATAAACAAAGGAAAACACTGAATAGAAAGCGTAGTACATCCGTGTGACCGACAGCAGACATGGTACAAAGAACAGTTGTCTACATGTTTAATCTTACTGGGTCTTGTGTATAATTCTGCAAATATATTTATGTTTATGTCAAACCAAATTAATTATTTGCTTTTTTATGATTTTATACCCTTCTGTCGGGTCTTTCTTTCATAAATGCTTTCAGAAAATTCTTTCATTTTAATCCACATAATTCACAAGGAGAAAGATGCCATCAGTTAAAGAGGACAAGCTTTACTTAAACTAAGAATAAGAATCATTTCTTTAAGGTTTGAATGAGGGGTGGCACAATATACCGGTAACTGCAATATTTTAAAAATGTTCTCTAGATATCGCGATAATATCGTTATCGTGAGTTATTTTGGCCTCGATAATCGTGCAGTGAAAATCTGATATCGTTACAGTCCAACTTTTGGAACTTCTTGAAAAGTATAAAAGTAACACTGGAGTCTGGAGTAACTCACCGGTCGATTTTCGTACTCCAGAAAAGGACACGTTATCACACAGTCCTTCAGAAGGATTTTCCCTCGCTGACACGAGTCCCTCTTGCCTCCTTCGTACTTGTAATACAGCAGCTTGTCTGGCATCAACACGAACCAGCGCGCCTTCCAGTTGTGAACAAGATGACCCTGAAATCACATTATCAGAAATGCTCAAGCGTGTCACATTCTCAGAAAATCAACATACTCTTCTCTCTTGCTGTTATATATCTTTCATTGTATGTATTTAAGTAAAATGTCTTACCCTTTTCACCAGGAATCCTTCTCTTAGAGTCGTGTTTTTCTTGTCTGTATCCATTCTGTTCAGTGTGATCTTGGCAATTGAGCTTTGCCTGTTCCTGCCTGCTCACGTTTTTAAATAGAGGAAAGTGCGTCACCCTGTTCACACCCGCACACACACACTCTCTCACATACATACAAAACACACACACACACACTCATACACACTTCAATACACACACACATTTTGCTCAACACTGGGAGGCCAATCCAATCCTGCGCTTTCTGCCAATTGCCACAGGAGGGCACTCTGACTCCTTCAGAGGCTCAGCACAGGTGATCGTTTAGTAAAGACTCAAGTTTCAAGTTATTGTCATGGGCACAACATGGTAATAAGAATATGAGACCTCAGACTAACTCTAACAATGCTCATAAAAAAAAAAACATGCAAGTAAAAAAAACAATGCACAAGTTAAATTAAGAGTTAGATAGTTATTGCAAAATTAATACACTAACACAAACAGGGATCTAACAAATATTTGAGCTATGCATAATGAGAAGTATAATTGTAGGCTGTAAATCATTAAGTAAAACAGTGAATAAAAGTATATAAAGGTAAAGTGACAAAAGTGATGAGATCATGAATCTTGTTTGAATTAGGAATGTCCATAATGTTCTGTCCAAAGGAACAGGATTGTCATTTAGCTAAATGTAATTACAGTTTAGCTGCACTATGTGTGTGTGTGTGTGTGTGTATGTGTGTATGTGTGTGTGTGTGTGTGTGTGTGAGAGAGAAAAAGGAAAAATCTTTCTTAACCCAAAGCTCAAAAGAAGTTTAGATTCTGTATCAAATTCATTATGTGAAGAATTCAAATCCAGGAGATAAAGCTGTAGGAAGCATCCTCCTGACGGATGAACGTTATTTTTTATCCCATTTTGATGAAAAACCAACAGCTGGTGGTCGACCACAGCTAATCAGCTTTGTAGCAGCTGTACCCAGTAGCAGGACAAAGTGCACATATTACTGGTTAATGTGAGTAATGCGGTCGGTGCACCATTGTTACTGAGACTCCTGCTTCTGCGACCACATGAGGCCCTGCTGGGCATTACTCTGCTCCGTCTTCTTCTCCTGAAAGAACATGAATGAGTGGATAGCTGCCTTCAAAATAAACCTCTCCACTGCTCTCACTCTGTAATTAATTCTTTCAGCTTATGTAAAAAGTGGCATGTTAGCATACAGCTACCAATTTCCACTTCCAGCAGTCACAAAGCAACATTCACTTTCATTTGTTTCTGTTTATCTGGCAGGAGTAAGTACAACTATGTTACTATGTTGTTACTATGAACAACGCCATTCATTTATTTCAATGTTATTACAAGAATATTAATTAGACTTTTCTTTATGTTGAATTATTTTTGATTGTGCTAGAACGAATATTTCTCTGATTTGAAGCCAACATGTGCAGGATTTGAAATGTTGTGACTTTGGCGCCCCTTGTTGGCAGTATCACACACTTCAACAAAATGTCTGTTCATGTTGCGTCATTTAGGTATTGTTACTCTGCAGTTTCTAGCATGCTGAGAGGATGAGGCAGGTAATATTCTACATTTTGTCTTGTTCTCAACAAATCCTATGATAACACAAAAACCATCATTGTGTTACTACATCTCTATATACTTTCTGACTTCCCTTCCCTGTCTGTGGCACCCGACCTCAAGCCCATTGGTTCCTTGTGAAACCATAAATTTTAAATAATAAGATAAACGGTTAATCATTATTAAGTTACATTTTTTTAAAAGAGCTAAATAATTATCTAGGGCACTGTAGTTTTTAGCAAACGTTACTCAGACAGGAGTAAACACTACATTCATTAGGGACTGGTTATTTTCAGCAGCGGATTAATAAACATTTAGTGCTTTAGTGAGTATTTCCATCAGCATGATGTTGTATGTTGAATTGAAATTGAATTGAATTAAAAGGAACTACAGTTTCAATGTTCATAGTTTTTAATTCATCCTATTTGATGGGGACGATGCAATTTGACATTCCAATACAGATCATGAAACTGATGTGCTCACTTTTTCAGCTTTTCTTCAGGATTCTTTTAAATCCAGCTGAAAAATCCTGCAGGATTACTTTGCTGAAGGAGTTACACATTTCTTCCAGGACTTTTTTAATATTCCTTCAAGGACATCCGAGTTCTTTTCAACAGGTTGTCAGCACGTTTTAATAAGTTCAGGGTGTCGTGTGTCGTGTAATGTTACACAACCCTTTATTTTGAATGAAAACCAGAGGAAGTGCCTTCATATATGAGGAGAGAAGCACGACTCTTCCAGCTCTCCTCTCTGCTACAGGACTCATGTAAACCCTCCATTGTGTCTCCCAGGTGAAGGAACCTGCACACACAATCATGAGGTTATAAGACAACTGGAATGTGCAGCAGACTCACTGTGGCAACCGGCCAAATGAGAGTCGGGAAAAGAATCTGTTCAGCACAAAGAGGAACAATAAACCCCAAATCCTGCTTGTGAGACTCAAGCTCCTTTCCTGAGTCAAAGTCAAACAAGCTCCTCTGGGTGTTAAGTCAAGTCACAGGTTTAAGGTGTGTCTGGAATGCCCTCTGTATAACATTAACCATAAATCAAACATTAATTACGTAAAATAAAGATGGTGTTTTGGCACGCCAGGATATGAAGGGCTCTGACGCAGGCCAGGTCACATGGGTCGCCAGTTGTCCTGGTCACGCACACACTTTAAACACAAACACCCGCCGGAGTCTGTTTTCTTGGTCCACAGCCTTATTGTTCACTGGGTGTGTGTTTGCGTGTCCACGTCTACAGCTGGTTACACAGATCACATCGCCAGTCAATCTCATGCTATATGAGACTGAAATGGAGACAGGATTCCATCTGGGATGATAAACCACAGTTTTTATTCCCCAAAAAGTATAATTTTGCCTGACGAAAATGTTACTTTATGTTCCAAATGATAATTTGAATAGTTATGTTTACAACCCCAAAACGTTCACACATTCCCTTTAATACTGGCAAGTAAGATTTGTATTTATTTTAAGTGTTGGCACTGAAACTTTTCAAAGTGCTGCAGCTGAAAGTAAATTGTTTTGATTTCTCTACACAAAGGATAAACCTTTCTATAGGCACTCCACAAATGCTGCGGTTGCGATTGCCCACATACAGTAGTGACATTAAATTGCCTTTATAATAAAGGGTGAAATGGAAAAACCAGGATGTTCCAGAGCCAGGAGGAAGAGAAGCACCGTGGCAGATTCTCCTGCTGTTTGCCTTGAGATTTCTCAACCAGTGGCCTCTTCAATAAAAAGTGACAGGGTGACACTGTGGTTTATGGCTGTTGACCTATTTTAACAGGCACTGCACTCAGTGTAATGAGTGTAATGTACATGCTGAAGGCCACACACTGTTTTCCTTTCAAGTGACTACCCATCATTCGCACAATAATCCCAGAATTATTGTGCAAACTTAAAGAGATCCTTGTCTTATTTTGGATTCTGCTGAGATGAAATGTCACCTACAGACTAATACTTTTTACTTTTTTTTTTAATACTAATGCATTTTATTTTTTCATAAATTCTCTTTACTTCTTTCTTTCAATAAACACACAAAATAACTTAAACGACATCTACTTTTAATCACTAAACTTTCAACATTAATACATTAAATACATCAAAAATAAAGTGCTTTCATCAGAAGCGTTACAGCTAAGGTTTGATACTCTGGTATTCTACAGTAACATGATGGGAAATAAAAGATAAATCGAGTGATATTTATATTTCTCTTATTGTCAACGGATATCATGAAAAGACCAAAACCAACAGTGAATTGATTTTACTACAAAGTCATACATCACTGATTCCTCAATTCATTGTTATCCAAAAACTATTAAAACATATCACTCGCTAACATACCAAATGTTTATAAATCCACATCAAAAATAGTCCCTGAAAAAACACTATTTACTCCCGTTTAAAGTGGCTACAAATGGTAAATGGACTGCATTTATGTAGTGCTGTTTTCAGATAAGAGGCTCTGAAAACCCACTGTACACAACCTTCTCAGCACTAAACAGCAGACAGATGCAGTTAGCAACTAGCTGGTGAACATAGTGGAGCATTTAACAGGTTAAGAGTCAGATTTATCCCTCGGGAGTTGGTCGAGACCTAAAACAAAGCTAAAAAAAAAAGATTAAATATTGGATTTATGTTCATAACTGTTTGCCGTATCAACTTAAAAGATGATGATATTGTGTTCACAACTTGTTTCTGCAGCAAACAAGTGGCCAAAACATTCAGTTATTGCATGTTTAAGTAATGTTTGTGGAACACTATAGTGCCTGGCTGTTTTAGGAAATTATAGAGACTTAAAAAAAACTGTGGTCATGAGTAGTATTTAAAGATTTCAGTGGAACCAATGGGGCTGAAAAAAGAACCCAGAAATGGTTAGTTTTGATCGATGTTTGGTTTGTTGACAATAAGAAAAGTATAGAATACTGTCAGCCTTATCCTTTACGATGGGTCTTAAGTACAGACTGATAAAGTGAGTTTGGCTTTATGGTGACTTTCTCTGCTTGTAAACGTTCTATCTAATTTAAACAGAGTGACAAGTTTTTCCCTAAAAAGGCATGTGAGTTACAAAATTCCGCGTTATATACGGCTAAATGCTATGAAGCTGACTTTGTTAAATTGTGTCTAAACAAAAACAACCCTAACTTCCAGCGATTAAACTTTGTTCGAAACCCCTATTTACAACCGAGCACCTGAACAGTGGAAATCTGGTGTCTCAGGGCGTTCAGAGCACTTTCAGTAGTTTACAGTCCCGTCCGTCAGGGATGACTCAGCTAGTGTACAAGACTGTGTCCATCTGTGGAGAAGCAAGCCGGCACAGCTGGACCTGCACCACGAGAGCGTCACGTCCGTAGAGCGTAAAGAAGACGCAAGGAGAGGAGGTTCAGGCAGCGCTCAGCCGGTGCCACGCAGACACCACTTTCTCTGGGTTAGCCATCGTGTCCTTCCACCGCTCCACTGCTTCTGGGACGGGGCTGTCGAATCCCAGCTGAACCTGCCAGAAACATTGGGAAAGCAATAAGTCCTCCGCTTGTTGCATTTCATCTTTTCTTCACAACATGTGTGTGTATTGAGGTGAGGCCTGGAGTGTTCTTTTAAAACGAGAACTTTTCCCACCTTAAAAAAAAAGAGCTTGGGGAATAACAATTAAAGGAAAAGTCTAACAGAAAACCTGGTGTCAGAACAACTCACCTGTCCTAGACAGTGTTTCCTCCTGACCGAGCTCCGGCTGTAGAGTTTGACTGACAGCGAGCAGGCTTGGTCTAACGAGGCCAAGAGGAAGTGAAAAGTCTCCGCCCACTTACACTGCCCCCCCGAGGCCTTCAGGACGCGAGTCTTCTTCTTGATCACCACCCGCCCCAACTGACGCATCTCCACTTTGACAAAAAAGGCTTCAGAGGTGGAAACAACAGCATGTTAGTCACACAGGAATCACTCTTTTTCTTCTTCTTGTAAAGCATTTCACTTTAGACTTTTTCCAGTCACACCTGCAGTACCTTGGGTGAGCGGTGAGGAGGAGGTTGGGAGGTTTTGGGCGGCGAGCACCTGGAGCTGGATGCGTCCGTTGACTGGTTGAAAACAGGTGGTGAGATGCAACTCAGAGTGGCACACCTGAAAGAAAAATATTCAATTATATCTCTATAATTATAATAGTATATTCAGATATGTATAAACTCTGAACTTTTCATGACACAGATATCAGTTTTCGTGTCCTCATTTCGTTTAAGTGTTCATTGTGAAAATGACAAAATATTAAATCTTCAATGGATGTTTGTTATAGTGAGGGATTTTAACAAGATCTTAAAGGTAAGTAGGCTGTGAATGAATGAAGACGACATGAATGAAGGCAACATTTTTGTGACCCCAAGCATCCAGTAATTGTACAAGGAAACTGTACGAGGTATGAACATATGTGTAATTTATTGTAAGTGGAGAAATGTGTTCCTTCAACAAGTCAGAGATATTACATTTGACTTGAAAAGGTTGAGAATTACACTGTACAGTAATTTGTTAAGGTACATTCTCAGAAACTTTCCTTGTGAATTACACTTTTAAAAACTTTGTCGTGACTCATAGACATAATACAGAGCAGATAAACACGGTGTTAATCCTTCTAATATTGATTTTAGCCATGCGTCCCCAGACGAACTCTAATATGGTCCTGCAGGAATGAGTCCTAAAACCCAGAAATAAGTTGGCACTTTGGAAACTTCCGGTTCCCCGTGTCAAAGTCAATGTTAGTATGAATGGGTTTATGGTTTGATACCTGAAATAAGGTCTGTGGTTAACACAAGCTTAAGATATTTGAACTTTTTGTTCTACCACATAAAGTATGTCAGTAAATATCCTAATATCTTAACAAAAAGGTGGTTGCTGACAAGTGACTTTGTCGACTTTTGTGTTACACTCTATGACTTTATTGATCCCTTGACTTTCCTTTCCTTCAGTGAACTGTCAACAAATATTGGATGGGTCGCCATAACGTTTGGTCTAGAGAGACACGTTCCCCTCAGCATGAATTGTAACAACTTTTGTCGATCCCCTGACATTTCCTCTAGCGCCAGCATCAGGTGAACAAATACCTGACAAACTAATGGCATTGTCATCAGCCTCAGCTTCACTTAGTTTTTAGAGCTAAATGCGGAACCCTAACACGCTAAACTACATTGGTGAATATGTTAAACGGTATACCTGCTAAACATCAGCTTGTTAGCCTTGTTATTGTGAGCATGTTAGCATTCTGATGTTAGCATTTAGCTCCCCGCCTCACAGAGCTGCTGTTGTTGCATGTTTGATTCATCTTGGACCACCAGCTGCTCTGCTTTTTCTCAAAATGCTGCTGATATTTTTCCTGTTCAAGACTTTGACGAGTTCAGCTGTCTTGAACCTTAAGCGCTTCGACTGACTGACAGTGATTTGGATAATTTGTGTCTTTTGTGTCCACAAGATGGATAAAATCACTCACTGAATGAAATCGACCCTCTGAAAGATGATTCACCGTCCGAACCACTAAGTGCAGAAACACTTCATTTTTACTGTCACTGGCCAAGCATGCATCCATTTATCAACAAAACCACTCTTTGCCATTGAAATGGTTTGCGGTTTGACCTACTTTCCAGGTCTTACATTTCCAGAATCCACGCTCTGGTTTCTTCTCTCCAATAGAAACATGTTTCCCAATTTCCCTTGATAATGAATCCCATTTCTCTATTTCCTGTGATTATGCAACAGCATAAAGTCCGCCTCAACGTTTCCCTTGTTGGGGCCAAGAGTACGGTACATGCCAGAGAGCTACAATGCATCATGGGGACAGTTTTATGAGGCACACACAGTGCTTTGTCCTGACTGTACTCTTACAAAGGGGTGATAAAAGACAGCAGCCAACATAGGAAACAGTGGAGAATAAATAATAAAAGTCTGCGATATTCCCACACTGCCAGTTTTTCCTCTTGGCCACAACAGCTGGACAGCAGGTTAGACACGCTCAGCTAACACTGCTGATGTTGATGATCCGCTGACTTTTTCCTCCAGTGCCACCATTAGGGTTGACATTTGGGGACTTTGAGATATTTGGGGTCAAACATTTGGTATAAACATTCATGTCCCCTTCAGGATGACTTGTAATCACTTTGCTGATTCTCTGACTCTTCCCCAAGCAACATCATTAGGTCAAAATTTCTGTTCGTCCAATACTTTGGCGTATGTCCAAATAGAGTGCTGTAGGGATGACAGGCCAACCAGGAAGTGAGCATTGCACTGGTTCCACAAACAAAAAGCCAATGGGATTTGGATTACTGCGGAAAATAAGCTATGTGACTATGAGGACTCGTCGGTGATGATGTTCGGTAGTCCTATTTAGACACTTGTTTGTAATGTAGAACAAAATGTTAAAATCTCGTATCCCGTATTTCAGTTATCTAACCAAAAACCCCCTGAAAAAAACCCCATTTACTTATATTGCATTGTCTTTGAGCACATGTTAGCATGCTAATATTAGCTCAAATATCAGCAATATCAAAATAACCAATAAACAATGTACTTTTGTTTTTAATTATAGATAATATACGAGGAGTTGAACAAATGGAAATCGTATGTGACCTTGAGGATATTTTGCAACTGTTAAACCGTGCTAACGATTAGACTAATGTACAAAGAAAATCTATTCTACGAGTTGCTTCTGGTTTGACATAATAATTCTTCAATTCCTGATCATCCTGTAAATGTTCTCAAACTGTGCTACCAGTGACAAACAATGTAATGGAAACAAAAACCGGACACCAGCCTTAAGACCAGTGCCAGAGGCCTGACGTGAAGTGAACACTCACAGAGGATTTGGACGGAGAGTTGAGCTCGAGCCAGTGCTCCGTCTCCTGAGGGCCGAGCTGTCGTAGGGAGAGGACGCACTCGGCCACCGTGCGTTTCTTGGGGTTGTGCGTCTGCAGTCGCAACATCAAAGCACTGCAGCGCAACTGCTGGAGATGCAGCGCAAACACGAAGGTCTCCATGAAGGACACATCCTAAAAGAGTAGACAGTGAAATGTGATGTTTTTCCACAACTCAATCTGAAATAATAAATCCATCTGATGCAAACTATTCTACTGGAATAAAAACCCTGCAAAGAATAGTTCACCTTTGCGTACAAAAGTTGTTTTATTAATAATCCTTCACTTAAAATGTAGCAGAAAAAATTCTGAGCTACAATTCAATTTGTAACCATGAACGTAAAATATCAGGTTTTAGGCAGCGGTCAGTACCTGACAGTAGTCCTTGATCGAGCTCTTGAACTGTATGGGTTTGGGGAGGGTGATGATCCCTTTAAATCCAATCTTCTGCTGTTCCACTCCATCTGGAACACGGTTGAGGTCTGAACACTGATAACGAAAGAAGGAAAATAACGTTTGAGTCGAGGCAGGTCAAATCTATTTATATGCTCTTAAAACAAACTGCTCTACCTAGCAAAAAAGGACATAAATACAAAAACAAGATAAACCTCAGATAAATCAATCCTGTATGTGTGAGTACTTATATTCATTTTTAGCATTTTTTAAATACTTGTAGAGAATGTTTTAATGCTCAAAGTACTCTTTTCTTTTCTTTGGAAACTCTATGTAAGCATGATATGCTTAATTTATGCTCCAGGAAAGACTAAATTTTTGTATTTTTTTAATATTTGTGCGACCCCGCCGCTCTACTTGTCCATCCAAATGTCCCAAAGGATAGTTCAAGTGCAGCGCTGACCAAAAAAAGAATTTGGTGGGAAAGAGGTGCCCAATTTTTTTAAGTTTGCTCCTGTTCATTGACGAATTAGTGCACATCTCTGCATTAAAGCCAGAAAACTGTAAAATAAAAACAAAAAATAATACAAAAAGATTGATTGTGCAATACACACACTGATCACTGTGTTTCAGCATCAATGAGGAAAGTTCTGTGTCTTAAAGAAAACAACCTTTTTCTCCCAAGTGTCTGAGCCAAAGTTAATAGAGCGCTGAGACAAGCTAACAGAGACCTGTGTTACTGACACACAAAGGTTTCATTGAGAAATGCTGCAGCAGAGCACAATGGAGCCGTTTGTGCTCTCGGGCTCTCCTCCTCTCACAGCACGTAACCTTACCTGAACCACGGTGATCCACACCTGCTCCAGAGCCTCCTGGTAGCTCACTCGGACGCACACCTTCCCCAAATCACGCTCGTCCCCAGACAGGGTGACGGAGTCTGTAACATCAGCAGCACAACAGGAACACATTACTGGATGTTATGGGATGTAATGGTGGAGCTATACGAGCGTTATAAGCGGACATATAAGGAAATGTATACGCTTTTACGCCAAATTAAATCCATAATCAAAGAGTCATTTATTTCACTTCTTTTTTTGTGAATAACATTACAAAGTACATCAAATGTTCTGCTCTTGTTATCTATTACATCTACTTCATTGACGCTTTCTGTCCATTGCATTGCATTAAATATGCAGAGCTACATGTGATGCTGCTTATTAATCCATGAAAAGCAACACTGTTTTATTGTTGCAAAGAATATAATGCAAGGATTCAAGGACAATTTATTGTCCTTATCAAACACAGGGTTGCACAACAATATACTTGCACAACAAAATGCAGTTGTAGCCCCTTTTAGCCCCAACAAAAACATGACAAACAAAACAGTAGTGCATAGAAGGAGCGTAAACAGCGTCAACAAAACAATTCTCAGGGCAATATGGCCTACATCTTGATATAAAAAAAAATTCAACATCAGAGAAACACTTTCCTTCAACGTTGACTACGTTTGAGCACCGAGCATCATTGATGTAAACAGAGTCTGTAATAGAGACAGAAGATTTTCTTGGATATTTTTTAACATATTTGTGACATACCTTTCAATTAAAAGAAAAAAAAAAAACACAACTTCATATAAATGATTTGTCTCTTATTATGACTAAGCCGTCTCTCCTTATGAAATACTTTATGTAACAAGGCTTATCTCTGAAGCTCAGTGGTGGACCTGAGTGAAAACATTTGCAAGTGATTACTGCCTTCCCTTTCATGACTGCACAATGCAGAGTGATCTTAATCTGACTTACTAGAAAGCATGAAAAGGGGAAATTGTTTGTAGACAAAACAAATGTGTATTTAAGTTACCAAGGCTGCTTTCAATGGAGCCAATCATGGAGGACGTGCTGCTGAGGACGCTGGAGACGGAGTCGAAGCACTGAAGGTTAATACAAACACACATAAAGATGGTTAGCATTGCATGACAGAGTCATTACTGTTTCCACTGAATCACAAAACTTTATCATTTTACAAGAGTACAGACACGCTTTTGACTTTGTGAGGCTGTAGCTAAATGAGCTATGTTAAGTAGGTGTAATGTTAATTATGTTTATCTTTGGTAATAAAACCAAAGTATAGATGAGGCTGATGAAAAAGTAATTTGTTAAAGTATTGGACAAGTTTAAATTAGCGCCGGATGCGAAGTTAGGGGATCAGAGTTATTGCAATTCATCCTCTGGGGAACATGAATGTCTGAACCAAATTTCATGCCAATCCATCCAGTAGTTGTTGAGAATTATTTCCTCATAACCAAAAATGGCAACCTCCTTGTGTTGCTAGAGGAAAAGCCTGCAAGTCACCAAAGTCGTCAGGATTCGTCTGCTGGGGATTCATGAATGTCTGTACCAAATTTTATAGCAATCTATCCAATAGTTTTTGAGACATTTCTGTCTGGATATTGCCATCCGTAATGAAAATCACTTAACATTCTGTCGTCTCCTAAATTTGAAAGGACCATCTCAACTGGTTCTTATTTCTTTACCTTCCTATTCAGGAAACCCGGGTTTATTTGTTTACCGTTAGATCTTCTGCCAAGGTGCTGTGCCTTTCACACTTTCATTACTAAATGCTCTTTGCTCATAACGCTGCCAAGCTAAACATTTGGGTTAATTGAACTGTAATCATACACCCACTGCATGTTGCTCTGGATATTAAAGTCATCAACAGGCATGAACCGTGAACAGAAAATATTTCTGTGTCGGTTCACAATAAGCAAGGCAATGAGTGTATTGCTTTAACGTTGCTCTTTGCAAAGTGCGTGCCCAGAATGAGACATTATAATGGTTATCACGGTTTTGGGCGAGACGTTAGACTGAATGTTTGTAACACGCCCCAACTTACTCTTTGTTTTACTTATTGGATTACTGATTAAATAGCACTTCGTCCAAGATAGTCAATGGATGATTCATATGCAGCAAACAGAGATACATTCAGGGTCAGCTGGAGGAATAAGTGCTGAAGCCGAAATTAATCATCACTTTAAGATTTCAAATACCTGTAAGATCATTTTCAGAATGACTCACAAGCTGCCCTCCGTTCACTTCCTGTAATACATAGAGGATCTCTTGAGGTGTTTTTGTTATTTTAAAGACTTGGAGGCCCAAATGAGACATAATCAATAACATACACAAAGAGATTTTGATTTCAGTGAGGCACTAATCCTGGTTTAATAAAGTTATAAACAATAAAGTGGAATGTAAAAAGACATATAATGGCATTATACATTACTTTACTAAGATGAATTACCATTAATCAGCTGATGAACAAAATTAAAACTGGATTTATTTCACTTATCTAGTGTGAAATAACTAGATTTCACTGGTCCTCTTTTCTACGGTAGCCCACAACGGACAAACCAAACACTGGGATTTTGGGGTGAACTTCCCTTTAAATATACTTTGTCTCCCTTTTTCAACTCTTCAGAAAGGAATGACCGTCTAACTTTGTACCTTAAATCAAAACGCCAGCCTGTGAGGCGTGTTTGCCAGATGTTCCTCTCTGCTGCTGAGGACAGTGGAAACTGTAAAACTATATTTAGTCTTGGTTGACACAGGGTGAGAAACGCTGACTGAATACAGATTAGATAGTGAACAGTCTCACCTGCATGTGAATCTGAGGGCTGGACAGATCAAACATTGAGCTGCTCAGTCGCTGCTCGTCGCCCACATTCAGCGTCCTACCTGGAAGCAAAACATCAACCCACAATTCAGTTTGTCTATAGGTATCTGTCATTAAATCAGCAATAAATGCTTTCTGAACAGCAGGCAAAGTGTAAATCAGGACTAACTGTTGAATGGATGTCTAATCTTTTGTTATCACTTGAGTCTTTATTGCCTTAAAACGTACACAAGTAAAACAAAAATATAACTACTGATGCAGTATACAGTACGATTTGTTTATTAAAACTTTTATACAACAATTGACATTACTGTCAATAGAATTAAACAGTGTCTATGTCTTTATTCCTAAACCTAATCCATTTTTCCCATTTTCTGTAAAACTCTTCTTCTTTCATTCTTAAAAGAAGAAGTCCTTTTTTCCATCACAAATATTTCCTGTACTATAACACAAATAGGTGTCTATTTTATGTTCAGGAATAGGTATATAATGATGAATATGCACGTTGATATCAAGACACAAACTTCCTGATTTCATATCGAGCATAAGCTCTTTGGAACACGAAAAGACGGTAAGCAGAATTATGAGCTATAAATGTACACAGATTGATTTCTGAAATCATTTACAACGTAAGCGAAGCATGGATGAGGATTCTGCTACCTGGGCTTTGGGGACCGGAGTCTCTGTTCTTCAGTGTGCCGCGGCGGGTTGATCTGGGGGAGAGGTACTCGGCCACCTGACCCTGATGGAAGCTGGACTCAGGGCTGTAGGTGAAGTGACTGGAGCCCAGAAGCTCTGCTTTCCTTTCTGCATACGTGCACCGGGCTGAACCTGCGGACAGACAACAGGGCTGGAGGTCAACATGCTGCCTTTTCAACAAATTATTTGTTTCAGTAAACTAAAGGACTGCAGCCATTCAATTAGAAACAGGACATCCTGGTAGTTGTGTAATCAAACGTCAGGTCATACAGCAGCAGCCTCTGAGCTGATTTTAATGAAACTTCGACACATGAGGCATTGTGGCACCTTGGCTCTGTGGAGTGGGTGGAGTAAAATGTGTCGGTCAGCATAATCTTGACCTAAACTAACCCTATGTCGAGGAAAAACTGCACGTTATTTCACCCTTTGTCTTTGTGTTTCAGGCTGCAGCATGGGGGATACTTGCCCACTGACCTGTTGAACAGGAATTAAATGTTGTAAAAATACCTATACCATATATTGGATGGGGAACTTTCGACACACTTCCTGCTGATGAGTGGCCTGATGGGGGCGCTGTTGAAGTGAAAATATATCGCACAAGCATAATTTTCCTGAATACGATCTTTGTCACATCAAGCAAACAGACATCTGGAGAAATTCAGGTTGAAAAAATCTTCAAGAAATAGACAGAAATTAAGCTACAGAGAACCAACCGATTGCAAATGAGTATCTACAGTTTCAGCTTTGTTCTGGCAGTGGAGGACCAAATGTTAGCTAGCTCAGATCTTCAATAGTTCACAAGAAAAGCTGTCAGCTTTGAATTCTACGAAAGCAGACAGACATGTTTACATTTAAACATTTCTTTTTTCTAAATTACCAGAGAAACAGAAAAGAAACGCATAACAATAACAGCCATTTCATTGGCCAAATATGAGCCGAGATGTCGTCCGGTTCTCGATGTGAACGTAAACCCAAAGCTGGTCTGACTCAGCGCTGCTAAACAGATTTCCACCCTCAGGTCCACACCTTCAAAATCCAGCCAATCCTGTCAGCCATGATGTACCAAATGAAGCACATGAGAAACCACACTTGCAATATAATTTCTTTCATGCTGTGTGTTCAATGTGGTTAGAGACACCATAATAACTTGCCAGCCCAACCTTTAAGTCAACACAAAGATCTAAGACAGGTTTCTACATCATTGCTCATTGCAGTTCATTTGTATATGATGGTGAGATTAACAAATGTAATCCTTCAAGATTATTTAATGCAAACAAAAGGAGAACAACCAGCTGATGTTATCTTTCAGTGGGTACGTACTCTGCGGGCCAGACTGTAAATTGGGGTAGCGGGAGTTTTTGGGTTGGATGTAGGAGGCCTTGAAGGTTGGCAGGACGAACGGCACCTCTCTGCCGTCCGGAGGCAGCTTGGACAGGAGGTAGTCTTCTGTGACTTCCCTTCGCCCGCCTTCCGGCTCCCATCCTGATGCCTTAGGAGGCATCTTCAGCACGATCACTTGAAAGCAAGCGGAAAATCACACAATCAGAAACAGAAACACTCTGCCAGAGCTGTCTGACATGCAGCTGTGCAGGATGCCATGTTTACCGTGGGCCTCCTGCTCCCTCCCCTTCTTCTTCATGAACTTCTTGCAGCAGTCTTTGAGGCACTCCATAGCTGCAACTGGAAATATTTAAATGATGAAAGAGTAAGTGGAGGTTAGAGTTTACACAGTAAACAGTGATACCAGTAGGGCTGGAGCAAACCTTTCTGGATCTAATCAGGAGTTGATAACACTCAAAATACTAAAATGAGTTATGGTGCCCCAAAATTTGGGAAAAGTCCATAGAATTCACTATTTGTTATTTTGTTTAATAACAAATTTAGTCACTAAGCCCCCATATCACCCAAATTTGCCATACAATTTGATACATTGTTGTAGAGTGGCCCTATCGACAAATTTAGCACAGTGTACCAAAAATGTGGTTTCATGATCCCAAAATGTAATCTAGTTTCCACAACAAAAGTTAGCATTGCACGCCAATAATATAGAATTTGATAAAACCCACAAATGTGTTAAAATGCTCCTACTTCCCTCCCCCTATTTATGAATTTTTATGATACCAAAGTATTTTAGAGGTCATCAAAACCACCAAAATATGGTATAGCACCAACCAAACATTTTTATGGCGCCCCAAAATTTGTTCTAAATATCGATATAATCCTCTAAATTGTTGTAGTTCCTCATAAAACAGCTATTGAGGACACAAAATGTGTTCATTAAATGATTAGTTGTAACACTGTTTTGAACCCCTTGCATATTGTTATAATCTTAAAAAGCGTTATTGTCCCCATAAACCCCAACGTTAGTGATTTGATGAAATAAAATCCTCCCAATCACAGTTTAGCTGTATATGTGTCATCGTGTTCTCAAATCCTTTACTTCTCTGCCATGGCTGGGAGGATATTTTTGTGTTATAATAACACGTTTTCCTTAAAAAGCTAAATTGTGACAAAAAAATAACATTTTAATTGAGTTTGAATTATTTAATTTCCTCAACCAATAGTCAACAAACACCGCTTTGTGTTGCGGACATATGAGGGAATGTGCGTCGCTTTGACTTTACTGAACACATCAAATTGCAGTTAATCAACCATAACTTCACATAACAAAAGCAGTCAAAAAGGGAACTTACCCGTGCGATGTTTCCACTTTAATAGGATAAAGTTTGCACATCCGGCGGTGCAGTTCTCTCACGGGCCGACTGGAGAGAAATGCCAGAGAGCTCTGCAGGTTTATGGAGCACTTCAGTAACCCCCCTCTCTCTTCCCGGATGGCTCATGCGTGTTTGCGCTTCCTTCCCCGAACAGCCTCGCTCTCTGTTTTGATTGTTAGCTGCTCGGTGTCATTTTAGTTTTCTACTCCCGAACAGTATCAACACGGTTTACACCATCCAGGTCCAGTATGTCTGTATTTACAGACTAGTTCTTATTTTTAATGTCAAATGTCCCCCATTGCCAAAGATTGTCATGATCCTCCAAATTGAGTTTATTCGTTGTTATAAAAAGTCTTATTGTGCACCCAAATCCCCCAAAATTTGATGCAATGTCCCCAAAGATTGTCGTTTTGTTATGGTCCCTAAATCCTCCATATTTGGTATAGCACCACCAAATTGTGTTAACGGATATAATATAATCCCAAATTGTGTTAAACACTGCCAACACTGGCATGGTGCTGCAAAATGTATCCCCAAATCCCCCATGTTTGGAATATCTCCCCAAAAATATTACATTAAAATGTAATATCCAATATAATTCCTGATTTTGTTATTCATTCTGATCCCTCTATTTGTTATAGTCTCCCCACAACATTACATTATAATCCCACATGTTTCTAGTGTCAGGAGTTCCAGAGCCTGCACCTCCAAAATCTGATAATTGATATAATCCCAAATTTAGTTTTTGTGCAACCCACTGCCAAAAATTGGTAGTGTTGAAAAACGGTGATATTTTTTAATTTTTAATCAACATTTTATGTAATCCACAAATGTGTGACCGCACCCCCAATTTGTGTCCCTACATTTGATATTCATAATCACAGTTTGTTAAAGTCCTCCTGAAAACATTACCTAATAATCCTAAAATAAAGTGTGCTGTTAGGGCCAGCTCATGCCAGAGACAGTTGTGTGGTGAAGGCATTTATTGGTGTAAAAGAAACTGTGATCAATAATTCAGTTAATGACTGGCTCATAATAAAAAACACGACGATGACGCAGCGACAGCTCTTGATTTCCAGCATATAAAAGTTACTTTCACAGTTTATCTGAAGGGGTGAAAATTCACAGACAACTGGGAGGAAAAAAACTGTTTTGTGTATACGCTGGCATTCAGTGAGGGTAATTCCCATCATTTTCTAAATAGAGGATGTCAGAAATTGTACACCATAAATACCCCTATGTGTCGAAAGTCCATATCACAGCCATAAAAGCCCAGCGTCCATTAAACCAGGGTGGGGATTCCAGCACAGGGATGCTTTTCCCATCAGCTGATTTTGGAGTCTTTATCGGACGTGTCTTTATTGAGGATGACATAATGATACAAAAAAAAGGTGATGAACTGTCTCAAACAAACCATGACATCAGCTGCAGATGAGGACAGCTCGATTCTTTGAGAGGGGGGGGGGGGGCGTCAAAGTTAATTTTATGGGCGCTCAGAACGGGTGCTCTGACACAAAGACCGTCAGACGAATGATGGAGCTGCCTCTGAAGTTGATGACGTTGTTGACCGTGACCATCTCCAAGTCCAGCACCATCTCTCTGGGCCCCTTGATGGGCCGCGACAAGACCAGTGTGGCGCTCACGTTACTGGTTTGCTGAAAGATGCAGACGACAGGAGAGGAATGTGAGGAATGAAGTGCAGGAAACGCTTCGAATGTGACAGCTGCACACGATGGAGGAAATCTAAGTCTCAGGGCTTTGTCGTATCATTTACAACCAGCAAACACGAGGACAGAGTCAAGGAAGGTCAAAGTGATTTCCGTAGTGCATACAGGACCAGACTAGGGTTTGTTTAAACAAGGACAGCAGAAGGTAACTTTAGAAAGATATTGTAAAAGCTCATGTGGTCAGGTATTCATGCAGCAGATAACCTTTATATATCCTCCTTAAAAGTCTCTGTTGAGACTGTATATCTTAAAAAAAAGAAAAATCACCCTCACAAAAACATTACACGAAGTTATTGCTCCATCTACTGGACAAGGTCAGGTGCTTCATCCTCCCCTTTCTTTACAGGCATTGTGCCCGACACACTGTATGCGTTTACTTGGTGTACAGCCCCTTTTCACAGGAGACATTTTGACTTTTTTCACTACTGTGACACGTCAACAAATGACATTAGAGCTGAATAATTTATGTTTTCATGGTTTGTATTCAGAATAACACCGATAACAAAATGCTCAAAACTTTTTCTTGTTTTTTTATACGCAAACCTACACGTTTATTTAGAAGGAAGTGAGAATGGGATCAAACACATGACCTTAAACTAAATACAAAGTACAAGCCCCATAACCCTCACATTTGGCATTGCACCCCCAACATTTGTTTTTTCATGCAAACCCAGTTTTATTCACAGTGTGGCACACTGTAGGAGTGAAACAATGTGTTATTATCCCCAAATCATATCTTCGTATAAAAAATCACAATAATTAAATTATGACAAATTATCAAAGGACTCCATGTTTTTTTTTTTTCTTTAATGCCAATTCAGTCTGATGCTGATGCAGAATAATCCTATTTTTGAATCGATTCTGACTCACTGTTCACCTCATTAAGGAGCACCATGGTCACATCAGATCAATCGAAGACTTCTTAATTATTATTTTAGCAACATGTTTGGTAACTAAACAATCACAACTGTGGTGTTTCAGTCAAACAGTACTGCTATCTCCTCTCCTGCTCAATTCTGCGATTTCATTGGACTGTCTGGTGATAGAGTTTGAGTTTCTGTAGGTGGCGCTGTTTCTTTATTTTTGTAAATAAACTATTTATATGTCAGTAACATAAAACCTGTTAAACTTGTTTTTTGTTCGCTAGAGGATCTGCTTAAAACAATTTCGCCACAGACACCACATCAGTGGACCATAGGCTCCATCACCATCATGTTACCTCCTTCAGCGATGGTGACTTAACAGACATTTATTTCAATGAAAATCTGCCCCTTTAAAGCGTTAAAAATGTGATACTTGGTGTCTCCAGTTTTATGGATCTCTGACGTACTCACCCTCATGTAAAACTCTCGCCCCTCATTGCCCGACTTTATCTGGAATATGTAGAAGGCGCCGGGGTAGCGCGTGGTGGCCTGCATCTGGAAGATGTCTGCAGGCACAGTGCGCCCCGACGACAAGTCCATGTGTCGGTACAGAATAGTGAAGGGTTTGTCCCTGCAGGCAGGGTTCTCAGCAGAACACATACACTGACTGCAGAGGACACACAGGGGCAGTTTAAGATATAATGCAACATATAACATGTCACTTCTGTGCGGTAACGAATACGTAAATGCAACGGTAGAAGTACTCACTTGTCACCAACTTCGACGTAAGGAGAGTGACACTGTAAAGCATCCAGGCATGTATAGCCTCCCTGGAAATTGAAACATACTTGTGCTGTTGTACAGGTGTTGTTACCAGTGTCACATTCATTGATATCTTTAAAATCAAACACACAACAATCAAAGTCAGTTAATTCATCATCATCATCATCATCATCATCATCAGAGAAGCAACATTTAGAGAGCATCAACAATACGGTATTTGAGAATGGCTGGAAATGGTACAAAGAACAAAGAGAGCACATAATAATACTTAATAAGGGGACACTTGTTTTAAACATTAGCTGATACACATGTGCAACTTTTCCAAATGCTGGCTTGAATGTCTTTAGTGTAGCATTGCGGGTGCGTTGTAACCACACACAAACAAATCTCAAATAAGACACATTTTAGGTGACAGATGAAAAAAATATTCCAAGCAAAATGTGATCAAAGAAAGCAGGATTAAATAACATTTAAAACGTTCCTGATAAAATAAAGATTACAACACACAAGACAATTCACAGCAGCTTTGTGAGTTGTGTTTTCATTCAAAGTTGGCCGAATATTTCCCCTCTTTGACACTGCATCTAAACTGCCCGCCAGAAAGACATTTATTCAGTTGTCCTCTGTCCTGAAGTTTACCTTCACAAGTCCTGCCGTCCTGAAATACATAATATCCCGGCGGACAGACGCAGGAGAAAGAGCCGGGGGTGTTCACACATCTGTGCTGACACAGAAACTCAGAGAAGCTGCACTCATCCAAGTCTACAGGGAATAAAAGAAAGAATTAATGATGATCAAATAACGATTGTGAGGGCCGCTCACTGGCTCAGCAGTCAGAACTAATGCCTAACGACAAAGTCTTGGGTTCAAATTCAACCAGTTCTGTGGATCAAAGAGGCTTTAAGTGTGAATATGTTTGTCTGTCAACAGTATAGAAGCCAGCCTGTGATACCCAACTGGAACAGGCTCCATCTTCCTGTGATGCTGCACTGGATAAGCAGTTATAGAAAATAGATGAATGGAAAGACAATGTTAAGGATATATTACATTATCTAATAAAATCAAGATTAAATCTAAAGTATATCTAGTTGATTAATATATAGTTTGGCTCATTTAGAATGATAACATTCCACGTTTATCAGTTGGGAAAAGTCTAGTATCAGTTTTATTCCATAGGATGTAAAACTTTAATGCTCTACAGACTGGCTTCAAAGTCAAAAAATGCCGTTTTCTAGATATAAAATATATAAAAACCAGAACCAGCTCGTCTCACCAATGCAAGTAGTTCCGTCGGACGCCAACTCGAATCCCTCGTCACAGTTGCACATGAAGGAGCCGTAGGTGTTGAAGCAGCCGTGACTGCACGGTTCATCTTCACACTCATCCACATCTGGAGGAACAACGGTGGACGGGAGTTTAACGCAACATTGGTGCACAGCATGGAGGTGTGCATGAGTATTTAACTGTGTGACAGCAAAGTAGGAAAAGAAACAGTGTGCATGTGTGTATGTGCGTGTGATTATTTGCACAGGGCAAGTGTTATGCCCCTGTGTGTGTGTGTGTGTGTGTGTGTGTGTGTGTGTGTGTACCTTGACAGGTCCTGCTGTCTGGGTTGAGGATGAAGCCGGGGTTACAGGAGCAGGAATAAGAGCCGGGGACGTTGGCACACAGCTGTTGGCAGTAACCATAGCGGCATTCATCAATATCTGTTCAGAAAGAAAAAGACAAACTGGTTATGTTTCAGAATATAGACATACTGTAGGTCTGTCTACTGTGTTAAATTACAAATAAATAAAAAACCCAGCTTAATAAGACACTGCTTCTTCATGATTTATTGATTTGATTTGGCAAAAAGTCTGCTGAGCTGCTCTGCTGCACATAACATGAAGAGGGCGCTGTTCTAGATGAGGAGGGTGAAAGCTTTAAGACGTAATAACATTTTGTAAATGAAGACAGGAAGCAGAAATGTCTTTTCTACATTATCCAACAGTCTTACAAGTAATATGGTCTTAAGTTTAGGAAATACTTGCACTGATATTCCTACTTGAGCATTGCCCTGAGTCATTTGAGACACGTATAAACCAGGAAGTGACTCAAAATGACCTCAAGGAAACTTTAAATGACTACAAAGAGACACAAAAGACTACTAAAACATCACAGAATTGATACAATCAACCATTGTATAACGCCAGAAATCATTGAAATCACTTTTTGGTCCCGATGTTTCATCGCTGGTTGCATTAAAGATTTTAAAGACTGTGAACGCACCACAATTTAAGGGCGTTCCAACGGTTTCTGAAAGCAACGTCATCAATTCACAACAACAACGTTCACCAATGGTTTAGCTTTCTTAAACACATCTCACATCTCTGCAAATTGATTTTCCAAAACTTGAATAAACTGATTGGTATACTTTTGAAAACATTCAGCACTAATGTGAAGTTCATGCAATGTTCATACACGTAAAGCCACTATATACTCTTATGCTGTGCAGATGTTCACTCACCCTGGCACTGTCCTCCAATGAGCCAGTATCCTTCAGTGCAGGAACAGGTGTAGCCGCCTGCTGTGTTGATGCAGACCTGGGTGGGGTTACAGTGATGAGAGTTTGTCTCACATTCATCAATGTCTGGAACAGAGAGAAGCAGCAGAGGAGAGAGAGGGGTGTTATTATTGATAATTGTTTTCCCCCCCTTTTTTTTGTGGTTAAAAACAAACAAAAAAGAAAAGTTCAATCCTGAGTGGAGAATGTAAGGAACAAGATAAATAGATGGATGGATATATGGAGAGAGACAAGAACTTTAGCGTGCGATAAAACCATTTAAAAAAGTAAAATTTGGGAAAAAAGTCCTTTTTCTGATTCACACTGCTGATGCTATATTTCAAAAATAAAAATTGCAGGTCATAAAAGCTACACAGTCGAGTGATGGTAACGTTAAAGGCCTTGCTCGAAAGCCTGTCCACTAGACTGCTGGCTGACAGATTGCCCAAAAGTCTGTTTCTCCAACGCTCAGGTTTTCACCAACCTGTGTTAAAAAAAAAAAAACATCTTAACACAACAGTTAACATTTCAATACAGCATCAATCTACAGTTGTTTTTGCACAAGAATAAAGATTTCTCAGATTGCAATCTGAATTCCTTTGGAGCAGCTCACACATAATAGCCATATTTCCTTATGAGGATGTGATAAATCACAAATTCCAACCTCTGTTTCTGGTTCTCAGACCATGAAGTCACCGATCTCTAGAAAAGCATTGGGGGAAGTGGGTGGGAGCCCAGCCAATGGTTGGACAGGCAGCTTTGATAAGCGATAACGTCCGTCAGTGGGACCGTCGCCCTTTGTGGCAACTGATTGCTGGCCCTTCACGGGGGTGGAGGAGGCCACCGGCCAACAGCTACAAGGCCCCCCCGACACCTGCTTGCAGTTACCAGTCAAAACCTCTCTGAATGATCGTCATCTGCACCCCATGTGTAGCATTACTGCAGATCTCCAACATACATGCACGAGCTGCAGGATCATTTCAGTTCAGCTCCTTATATAGACTGTTTCATGAGCTGCCCACGAGCTTTGAGGTCACCGCTGACAACCCTGATCAGCTGCAGGGAAGACAAGACCGATGGAGTTTGTTTGAACATGTCGGAAAACTGAGAAAACTTGAACCAGTTGACCTCAAATTTGTACACAAGCTGTTTCAAAATAACCCCCAGTGGCTGTTGATGCCACGTACTCTTGTTCATCATCTGCTATCAAATCAAATGGAAAATACACTGAATGTGATCATCAGCAAGCTGTAACTGTGAAATGCCACAAACAGTCTTGTTTTCAGCTATTGTGCATTTGTGGTTTTCAAAAGCCTACAAGATTGGCCGTTTTTCTCTCAAGCCACAGAGGAGCATGCAATCCTTGAACTCGAGTAAAACATGAAAATCCCCAAAAACCGGAGTTACGAGCGGAAATGAACTGCACGGTCCCAAGTGAAGTGTCATCATTTGACCTACAATACTCTCGGCTTGCTGGGTCATATGACGTTCACGTGTGTGAGAAAGTGTGCTTGAGCAATCCATGAAAGATGAAAAATGAAAAACCCAACAGCAACATGTCTTTCCTCTTTATTCGGGGTCATTTTAAAATCTGGTTGTAATTAGTTTTTATTTTAAGTGAAAACTGTTCCCAGTGAAGTCTCGTGTCCGGTTCGGGCGATGCCCTTTTGTATTCTAGTTAAAAGAATAGTTCAACTTTTTGTCAAACACACTTATTCGCTTTCTTGATGAGAATATTGAGAATATGAAGCTGGAGCCAGGAGACGATTCTCTTAGCTGAAATCAGAGGGCAGCCAGCTTGTCTGATTCTATCTAAAGATAACAAATCCACATACCATCACCACTTCATCTTGTTGGTTTAATCCATACAACAAAACTGTTGTGGTCGCAAGTTGTGCCAGACCGTTTCTTGGCTTTTAATACTTTCGTTTTTGTTTGGATCAAACAAACGAGATAGAACGTGTTATGGCTAGCTGTTTCCCCTTGTTTCCGGTCTTTATGCTCAGCTAATTGGCTTCTGGCTGTAGTTTCAAGTTATCATTCTTCTCATCTGATGCTTTTCAAGAAAGCGACACCACTCCTTTTAGGAAAATCTTAATGCACACAATGACTCTCTCGACTATAATTCTGAGTAAACAGTTTGGGGAAGGCCCTTTCCTGTTTCAACACGGCAAACGTTCTCCATTAATCTTGCGGGTGATTGGAAGCAAATTCCTGCAGCCAGGGTCTGAAATCTGGTGGAGTTTCTTCACAGACGCATTGGCAGCTGTTAATGCTTATGGTTTTGTAATAAGATGTTCAACAATCAGGTGTCCACATAGTGGATCTGCTTAGCTAGACACCACTAGGGAAGATTAATAATAGTCTATTTGTAAAGTGTGTAACCTGGTGCAGCAAGAAACCAGCTAAGACACAGGTAAGACTACTACACGCCATAATAGCGCTGCTTGTAAAAGGCCTTTGTAGTACTATCTGACCTAAAAAACAAAACCCACAAATGCATAAACGCAAGGCCTAATTTGTTCCATTAGTCTCCCACACTGGTGCCATTAGTGACATTGTTGGAGTGTAGTGCCTTAATGCCTCAACTTAAAGACAAAGCAATGTTTGTTGCAGGTTCAGACGGGAAGTCACAGTCTGTTTAATTTCTGCCCCACAGCAGCATCAATCAATAACCCACTACGTCACCACACACATCCACCCAGGGTCTGAGGACTGGTTACGAATGGCCTCAACAGAGGCATGCCTGTTCTCCATGAAACAGATTTGGCAACACATGACCTCATCTTTGGCACTGTGATGATGTAGTTTACCCAAACAAGGTTGTGAGCCGATTCCCTGACAGGTCCTCTGCCCTACAAAGACAAACAGTCCATATTTGTGCATGAGCTAAACTCTAAAGCTCTCTTCAGAGAAAACTCTTCTATACGTGCACATTTTCCACTCATTACAGGGTCACGGCTGATTTATCCAAAACACCCCAAATGGACTTTAAGGAGGCCATTTTCAACAGCTTGTCCCGGCTGGACGCACTGGGGAAATGCAGCATCAGACATTTAGTGTTTATCCAACAGCTGGGAATTCTTGCGGTTGTGAAATTCAACAGAATCAATCAGAAAGCAGAAATGTCTTCACCGAGAGGAGTTGAACGCCGCTCTGCTTCGGCTGGGTGACGGCAGAAATGTCGCTGCACCGGGCATCAAACGGCATCTGTCCCTGTGATCTGACCGGATTCATACGTTCCCCCTGGAGTTCAACCGTAATCTCTGGTAACTTGCACTGAATTTCTGGCCTCTATCGTGTGTTCCTCATGTCCCCTCGTCTATAGTTTCACTCTAACATCTGATACACAGCAGGAGGCGGCAGATGTCGGGCCTGTCGTTCTCAGACCGTTCACATCTGTCGCGCAGAGATTCAGCGAAGGGAGGAGAAACTGCAAACAGCTGCAGTAAGAGACAGACACCATCCATTCTTGGTGGTGTTTGTGTCCCGTGCAAACCATTTGTTACCAAAACATAACCAAGTAGTTTACTTACCTAAACATAATTAAGTACTTGCGTTTAACTTTTTTGTTTTGTTTCATGTGTCATTTGAAGCCAAAGCATAATGTTTTTTACTAAATCCAACCAATTCATTTTGTAGTGTTTTTTGTTTTGTTTCGCTTCAGTTGACAACGTTAACCTTGCCCAGGCAGAATCAGAATTGTCAACTCAAACTCGATGGGGTGGGCAGAGACAGATTCAAAACTTTTCTTTTTCTTCTTTGCTGCCCGTTAACTATCTCAGGACCCATTACATTTGTCATGTGACCTACTGGAGGGGCCACAACCCCCAGGTTGAGAACCCCTGGACTAAACTACCAAACTAAATAAAGTAGTTAAAAGTACCGATTACACATATTCATCAGTATTGACAATCAAACAATGTTATATTATTATTATTATAATATAAAATTCACAACAACTTTTACTGTTAATTCTTTAGTACATTGTTATGATGATACTTCTTTATTTTTTTGAATGCATGACTTGCATATAGTGGAGTATTTGTACATTGTTGTAATAGTACTTTTACTTACAGTTGGTCAGTTACTCACCATTACAGGTGCCATCCTCTGCAGGACTATATCCCAGGATGCAATGCGCAGTGGTCCTCACTCTGGGGTAGCTGGGCTCCACAGATCTCGGTGGGGCTGGGAGGAATTGGTCCGATGAGTCTGGGTAAACAGGCTCGGGTAGGGCCGGGATCTCCGGTCTGTACGGCTGATTGTACAAGTTCCTCGGGAGGCACAGGTAGCCTCCGTTCTGGTTCACACAGCGCATGTCTCCTCTGCAAACATCTGGCTGGGTACGGCACTCATCCTCATCTGGAATACAATGATAAGATCATTCCTGCATCCAGGACATCTGTCGGCTTGTGATTCATTTACTTCTCAACATATGGGAATTTGGGAACTTATTCTACTTCACACTCTACATACGGGTCTTAATGACATGCCCACAATTTAACTTATACATTATGTGAGCAGAAGTCATGTCACTCACCTATACACTGTCTCGACATGCGGTCATAAGCAAAACCTTCTGTGCAGGTCTGTGGAGAGATGATCAAGAGGCTGTTTGAAAATTCTGACAAACTACAAAACTATTCCTGAAATACGATTTCAATGAGAAGTTGTATCCGTTACAATTTGCCATGCATTATTCAATCTTTACATAGTGACAGTTCAATCACTCTTGACCATGATCTTGGTTTTAAAATGAATGAAAACACAGGATGGTGCTGCTGTGTTACCTGTCCGTGTCCAGGCTGGATACATAGCAGAATAAATACCAGAGCTGCCAACATCCTGCAAAGAGGGAATGTCAACATTTTAAACTTTTGTCAGAAAGTGTCGCTGAAAAAAAAAAAAAAAAAAAGGAAGGAAATCGGTGCAAGCATCCTGTTACATATCCATTCAAACACAAGTAAAGCACAAATAACTCCGTTACGCAAAGAAAAAAAAGGTAAGTTTACTGACTTTGCAGAAGAGCAGAACCTGAAGCCACGTACTTCAAAAAGCATGGTTGATGGTTTCTCAAAGGAAAGATTTAGACGACCCGTAAATTCTCCCCAAATCCCCTCACCACTACCCAGCAGGGCTCGCGCCACTCCTCCAACAATGCGCCTTTACGCGAAAACCGACACTAGGTTTTCATTAACCGCTGTCTTCTGGTCGAGCTGAAGCTGCGGAGCATTGACCAAGTGTTGCAGGAATGCCTTTTTCAAAATGGACCGTTTCTGCTCCGCTCTGTCAGGCTCCACAGATTATTTAGCAATGCAAATTGACTGGCCCCTTCCGAGCGCACTCACAACAGCTGGATTCAATCAGGGAGGGCCAGCCCCCTCCGGCCAGAGACAGCGGCGCGTTCACGCCAACAAGCTGCGACTCCTGTGCTGTGGGGGGCACAAAGCATACACAGTGGGTGTCTGTTTCCAAAGTTATAAACAGCCCCCCACACACAGGACTACAGCTGAATGACACTGCACACCTGGCGCAGGCAACGCAGGCCATCCACGCTGTAGTAGCCACATCTGGTTTGCATGAATGCGCGTTAGAGAGAAAAAGAAAAGCACAACAGTAAAGGGTCAGCACAGCAGTATCTTTATTTGATTTCAAATTCCAATTAAATCACGGGTACTTACATCAGTAATGATCATCCAAGTTCAAGGTAACCCAACTCCCTTTTGAGACGTCCTAGTTTCAGATTTTACATCTACAAAATTTATTTTACAGTGAGGATTTACAGTTTTTACACTTTAACAATACACCTGGAGAAACCCTGTAATACTCTGCAGCGGCTGACTGACTTCTGTACAAAAATGTACAGCAGCTCAGTTATGCGCTGGCCAGCTCTGGTCAGGTAAAACGTCTTAAATGTGCAGTTTTTACATTTTGTAAATATATATATTTATATTAACCATTTACAATCCTGATTATACAAATATCTAATTAGCAAAAATGCAGGCACTTAACTTCAAAATCTTCCATAGTGCCTATAAATAGGAAACAACGCCACCCATTTACATACATATAACTATATAATAGTAGTGTACTTTAACATATGAGCAGCCTCAAGCCTCTGATCAACCACAGTACGCAGTTACAGCCATAATTACTACGCTTGTTGCATATCACAGTCTTGCCGTCTGGAAAAGACAAGATTTCGCAAAAAATGTCTTTATGGTTTGAACAGATGTACTGAACCACAAAAATCTCTACGCAGACTACTGCTGCCAGAGTTTTTAGGCAAGTCCTGGATCAGAAACAAACTGCATCGTTGAAAAGAAAGAAGAAAAAAGACCCAGAAGGCAAGAAAATAATAGTTGTCCTGCAAGTCAAAGGATGAAAACTGAAGGACATGAGATGCTTCCTCTTGCAAACGGAGGTGAGGATTAGACTCAACCCGCATGGATTGAACTGCACACAGCGAGTTAACAAGGTCACTTGTGTTCAGAACTTGTGCGATGAAGAAAAATCTAAATGTAAGACGTAACTCATAAGACACTTTCTATGAAAATCCACCATGGTGCTGAAAATGTTCTCATCCTGCGACCTTTTTGCATGCGACGTCACTTCTTGATCATCTTCAGCTTGTGCATCAAAACATAACAATGATGTTGAGACTGATGTGTAAAGGGAAACTCTGTTGCATAGAACAGTGATCGCATAAAAATAAATTTAGTCTCCGTCCCCTCACAAAAAAAAGGAATGACTTCTGATATTTATTTTTGCAGGATATCTTAAAAAAGAGTAGCAATAAGTATCTCAGTCTGTGTAGTGTAAACCTCATGTTGAATGAATTAATATGGCTGTGGGGCACTCTTCATGGGGCCGATCACTGCTTCAACAAGTCCTTGAGCACAGCTCCAGCACTGGCCTCAGCGGAGACCGGCACAGGTGTGAAGGTGGGCAGGGCATCGGAGATGGGCTTCATCAGCAGGTGACCTAATGAGCCGCCGGAGCTGGAACCGGCCAGCAGGGGAACCGCGGCAGAGCGAGCGGCCAGGAAAGGGTTGGACTCGCCGAGTCGCTTGCCGTGCGCCGCAGCTCCTGTGAAGAGAGAGGCGTCAACTTTAAATAAGGTTCGATGTGTTTGGGGACGCAAGAGGGAGAACGACGCCTCCCGTCTGACAGGTGGTTTACCTGCAGCGCCGCTGGAAGCAGCACTGTTGGTTCGTCTCGGAGGCGGAACGCCCAGAGCCTTGATGTCATGGGCTGGAAGCTTTGCTGCGGGCAGCGAAGGGGTCGACTCGATCTCCAGGAACTTCACAAACATCGCTGAGAAGGACTGCAACAACAAAAGGACACAATAACAGCGTGCATTACTGCTGAATTACTGATGTATTTTAGCACGGAACTTCTGCTTTACACCATAAACATGGGGAAGAGTGAGCTTGAGAAAAGCATCCTGGTAGGGAATCTGTGTCTTGCTCATGGATACTTCAGCAGAGCACATGCTTGCCAGTTTCATAATTGTTTTTTAACCAGCTACTCTGCTGCCAGAAATCTGTATCCCTACAAATGTAATTATAATGCTGCTGGACGATATTTAAATTGTGTGTGTGTGTGTGTGTGTGTGGGGTAGTGTGTGTGTTGTTGAGAATTGTATTTTGAAGGGCACATGTATACATAAAATATATCAGTGACTGCTTTGCTTCTCTGTGATTACGCTGATGCCATGTCTGGTGCCTTGTGATAACTTGCTGAAAGACAGTCCTGGGAAGTGTAGTCGTTGCCCGTTACACAACACAGAGCAGAGTGAGAACTATTACATGCACACTCTCCTGCTTGGTCTACCGTTAGGGTGTAGTTAGTCTGACTCGCCCGATGTAGACTAAAAGTCTACGCATGGCCGCTTACTTCAGCCGTCATTCTCCTCCCCTTCTGCAATCTATCTGCCAATTCTCTGCATCCTGTGCTTAGCGCCAGCCTAGATGATTGTGATTGTTTGAAAGGAGTGTTTTTCCCCTATCACAGAATAATAATGTGTGGAGGCAGACCTTTCTTTAGCACTGAATTAAAGGTGATAGGTCTGGTTATGGGAGACTAGGATACAGAGACGGAGGGGGAAACTATTCAAGTGAACCTAAAAACAGAGGACACACTCAAAAAGACGCAGGAAGAATGGGAAAACTGTGGGATCCAAACACACGTTGACCAGATGTCAGTTTTAGGCTCAACATATTTCTCTAAGTCCGGTTTAAGCATTATGACAGTATGCAACTTGTGTTTTAGTGGAATGTGGATGAATCAGAAAGCTTCGTAGTATTATGTTTAAAAGTGCCTTAACTAACTACAGTAGCTTGCTAACACATAGCTAACATTAGCTCGCTAACAGCTAACTTTACCCATCATCATTTTAGTCGTCAACTGCACCCGAGGTAGACATTTGCCTGATTGCGGATTCAAAGGTCTGGAGCGAGCCAAGGTAGACAAAGGGTGCTGACATAATCTTTTGGCATTTGTTAATCTAGCTAAAGGCATTTTGTTAGCATTTCAGTACTGGGTTGTATATCGTGGTGTTGATTGTTTTCCCTTCCTGTGGGCGTGGTTTTCAGGGTTCTGCGCTCTGTAACACAGCACACTGTAAAAAATATAAACTGTGTGTGTCTGTGTTAAAGGAACTCAATGTGGCATTTCTTACCGAGTTCAACCCTTGGCCACTGGTGGGCCTCGGAGGAGTGTTTGGAACGCTCTGTGCTCCTTTGCCTCCCAGCCAGTTCGACATCCATCCAGTAACACCGTGCCGTCCGTCCTCTCCTAACATCTGCAGATGGGCGGTGAGGAAGTGCAGACAAATACTGTTGGACTCTTACAAGGAACAATGTCTTCAAATCATCAGAGAAACCTAATATTTTATGATCAAGTAGGCGAAATAAGTCATTTAACATTGGATGAAGAGTGCAGGTACAGTTGATGTTACAGTCTTTTAGAGTTCTATTTTGGAAAAGTTATTTTTTATTTTTTTCCTATTTCAAAGAAGCGGTCAGATTATTTTAGTTTGAATTGTTCTTGGCTTTCTTTCTACCTGCCATCACTTTCTGTAAAAAATATTTCGTGGACCCAATCACTAGTTTAGCTCATATACAGACACGCAGAGTCTCTGCTGACAGACAACTCTACACATTCATTATTGACCATCAATCATGCTCTCTAATCATTAGATGAGGGAGAGATAAGTAGAACGACCTCCAACACAATAAAAATCGTTCTTCTGAGGAGTTCTAATCACATTTGCCCCTCACCCTATCTGTTTTACTGTAGGAGTATTGGGTAATATACTTTGGAATCGTTGGACGGAGTCCCACAGGACTCCTGCCAGAAGATCTGTGTAAGGAAATGCTTTATTTTTCTGGGCTGAGCACAGAGAGGATTTTCCAGGGCTGCTGGAGTTAAAAGTCACAGTTGAATAGCGAGTTTTAGGACCGACTCTCTCAAGGACAACAGTGACAGCGTCTAAATACTGGACAACTGTTAGTCCTTCTCCTCCAGGCATCTCCATGATGCTCTCTTTCTCAAAAATCTAAAAGTATCTGTAATTCGGACACAGACGATGAAGCTCTCTTAACTCGTGTTGTGTTGAAAATGAAAGTAAGACCTCTAATTGTGATTCAGTCACTTTTAAGTGAAACTGCTGTATTAATGTTGTATTAATACCAATTCTCTCCTAGAAACGTGATTATGTGATTGCTGAAGTAAATACTTCAACATAGTCAAACATTCCTTGAATATGAGTCAAGGACTCTCTCACCTTATCAACATCTTCTCTGCTCAGTCCCAGAACACTTCCCATGAGCCTCAGCACGTCGGCCCGCTTGGTTTTAGGTGTGTGGAAGTATCCCACGAACAGGTTACGCATCAGGACTCTGGAAACAGAACATGAATAATAAGGCACGATCTAACTCAAGACCTCAATACCATTTTTATACAGCAGTACACAAGATATATTTATATCAATTAAATCACTGTACAGGGCAGGGGGAATACTTCTCTTTCCCATCATTGTAGCTGTCCCGTTAAAACCCTGCATCTCCAACTCGTGTTGAGCTAAAACAGCTCTATTGTCAGTTTTGAGACAATGCATTTTAGCAGGAATTCAAACACTTCTTAATTGCATGGTTATAAAATGACTTTCTACAATCCCTTGAAACTGTGGGAGAGTAATAATGAAAACCATATGCGTTTCTTATCATAATCTCATTTAGATGAATACAAAATGTAATATTTAACCCAGACAGGACCAAACTTACTTGTCTATCTTCCCCTCTGTGCTGTTTAGAAGGATCATCAGTTTCTTCTGCGCCTCCTCCAACATTTCCTGTCTAATTTCCACTGTAACACACACGCGCACGCACACACACACACACACACACACACACACACACACACACACGGTGAAGAGATGTTTTAATCATCAAGTCCCTGTTGCACATAACCCCAGTGTGTGCCTTTCATGTCACAACGCCTGAAGGTATCTCAGAAGCATCAAAGACTTCTGAACCATCTGGATGCTAATATAACAAATATGATAAAGAAGAACTTTAACCTGTTTCA